ACAGATATTTCTTGATTATAAGGCGATACGAAGTTCGCCGGGTCTAGTATACCTACTATAAAAGATTTGACTTGCTCAATAATTACACACATCTGATATACGGAATGACTGCTCCATCAATGTTGATTGAATGATTTTTAATAACAAAACACAATATAGGTATTGCAAAAAACAAGTAGGTACAATTAATGTTGCATTATACTGTAACCCACATACGGATATATCGGATTATTTATATAGGTGTGCCTACGTATTATATATGTATTATGATGTTATTAATGTACGCGAAAATGACTGTTCATATTGGCACTTAGAAAAAAACCGATATGCTACATGTAGCATAGTTGATTAATAAATTATTATTATATTATAAATTTCTATGGCAGTCGGCATCACAACCTAACACGATGACGTCTCGATAATTAAATTATAAATTATAATATACATATTGCCTTTTAATTACATAGCTACAAGCCTTTAAATCAAATAGTTATGATACAGTGACTACTTTGTATGAGATGTAATATTTTGTTCGGAACCCCTTTCCGAGGTCCGAGATTCGAGGTCCGTGCCGCCGCATACCTTAACTAGTATTGAACGACCCACAGATACCAACAGCGTCGCGACGCCCGCACCTGAATACATTCATGGACGAATGTAGCATTATTATGTATATACAGGGTGACTGGTGAATTACTATCGATATTTGAGGACGTGATATTTGACGATCATATATGACAAAATAAAAATTAATATAACATAAATATTAATAAACTTCTAAGTAAAGTTAACCAAAAGTTATGTAATTAATTACGCATCGTATGAACACCCTACAGATTAGGTATACACACACACTCACACAGACGCGGCGGCGGCGTAGTGTTGTATCAGCACGCCGCCGCACGCGTCCACACTCGGAACACTTGGAACGTGTACACACTTTATTTATTTATACGGAAATTTGGTCAAAAATTAAGTACCTATTTTTTTACATAATTCGAATGAGAATCATGTACCGAGTATGCTCCTTAAATATTGATAGTAATTCACCAGTCACCCTGTATACTAATATATACCTTACTATGTAGAAAAAATGTGTAACATATTATGTTCCCAGAGAGGGTTGATGCTAGGCAGGCAGCCAAAACTATTCACAACCTGTAAGGCAAACCCTGGCTAAATCAGGAAATTGCCAGGCAGAAGAAGAAACCTAACTATGTAGAAAAATGTGTAACATACTGTGTTGAAAATGAGTTGTCTGGACAATGATTAACAAAAATGGTGACAGAAGCAACAGACCAAAGACCTGGTGATTTATTACAGGTGTAAATGATCGAACGTCTTTTGATAGCTCGGTTACGATCAGCATTGTAAAGAAACCTCGTCGACTTAATATGATAATTATATAAATAAATTGAATGAGAGCCACCGTTGTTCAGACAGCGCACAGTACTGGTATAACCTTTATAGACAATAACATCTATACTAACACTGACTCTCAATCAAATGTACCATTGACTCATTCTACCAAATATATGAACATATCAACTATCAGTGGTGGCCTAGTGGTTAGGCCCACCTCTCATGCATGAGGGAGCGGGTTCGATCCTGGCCCGGGCAAGTACCAATTTGATTTTTCCGAGTCATATGCACTTTCTACGAGTATTTAGACATCACTGATTAATGCATTCCCAAAGAGGGTTGATGTCAGGCAGGCGGCCGGTCGTGAAAACGATTAGCCAAAACTATTCACAACATGTAAGGCAGACCCTGGTTAAAGCTGGGAAACAGCCAGGTAGAAGAAGATCAATCATAAGTCATCACCCTGTATCCGTACGGCTGGTGCTAATCAGCTTGTACTACACAGATCCCTAATCACTTATCCTTAATCAATCCTTAATCCAGTATCCTTTTACGCTCGTACCACACATTAATAGGTATTCATGTACCCTCCACCAACACTAACTTCATCATTACTGACATTAACCATGCAGTATAAGTGACTCTGAAAATCCCTCTGCTTACCTACCCGAGACACAACAGCACTTTCGAAATATTGGGTTCATCTACAAAATCATTCTATTTTAAGATAGTAAAAGTTGTCCTTCTTAAGTACTATTTGGAGAACACATTTTTAACCTTGAAAAGGGTTTATTATTTCGGAGAAATAAAGTTCAAAGTAGTCAATCTACGAGCTATAAATGAAAGGGTACAATTCAAGTATTGTATAAACTGCATAACAAATATTAAGTGTTACATAATGTAAAAAGGATAAATGTAGAAATATGGTTGTAAACAGTCAGTTCTCTCTGATCATTAATGGTGTTAAGACTTCCAAAACTCTATTAAATAGAGAAAATCTTCCAATAATAATATCTTCAATCACCGTCACATATCCGTAATCCCATTAGCATTGAATCAATTTTCATAAAATATTTCAAAGAACCAGACAGGAGAACGCGAAAAAACACGAAGTATTTTCTGTATGACGGCAGGAAAAAAGTATTCAGAAACATTGAAATTGTGTCCACGTTTAATATAATAACATATTGTGCGAATTTAAAACATATGTTGAATAGCAGGAAAATACTTTTTATGGCGATCTATTTAAAAGTTAAAAATATAAACTATAGTAAATAGAACCTAATCATGTAATTTGTTAGTACGAATTTAGTCTTACTTGTAAGCAGTGGCGTGCGCTGCAAAACTAAAAAAAATATAGCTAACTAATATTTCAATTACAAATAACTTATTTTAATTCAGAGTAAAAACCGCGGTATGGTTGATATTGTATGTTACAATCATTCTGGTGGCAACTACCTATGAGAGGAAAGATGTGAAATGTACTCAAATGCACCCCACGCGTTTTAATCCCGAATTAAAATAATTTCATTGTAATTGAAAATTATTTTCTATTTTCTAATTCGGTTAGGTATAAAGCGATTTTTTTTTAGTTTTTTAATTATTATTTATTTTTAATTATTAACTTGTATTAATTTAAAAAAGTAAGCCCAAACTCCAGACATGCGCAGACCGCACACTAGCTCTATCTCTCTCACTCCACTACAGAGGATTCATAAAAGAATTCTTTAATTCTCGGGGTCTAAATAAAGATATGAAAAACTTTTAATTTAATAAATTATTGCATTGCCATCGGACCTTGATAGTTGATACGTATGCAAGAGCGTCGCCAGCCGATGGCGCAGGGGGGGGGGGGGGGCAAGTTGACTTTACAGACTACAATTAATACTTTTCTCATTCTCTATAGAATGAGAAAAGTAGGTATGAATTGTAGGTATTCTGTGACAGTACAGAGTCTAATGTGTAAAGCTACATGAGCACGAGCTCTTGACTATGCAATAAAAAACTTATAAATAAGTTATAATAACATTTATTAGAAAAATAGAATAAAAAGGAGTTTGAATTTGAATAAGTGTAAGTGTGTTTTAGAATCTCTAGGGGGGGGCAGCTGCCCCTCTCTGCCCCCCCTTGGCGACGCCCTTGTACGTATGCAATATTTCAAATTGATTAGACTTCTGGAAAGAGGTAAAAAGCGTGCTCAAATATTCCGTTACATACTCGTTACAAACCAAGCTTATAAAAGTGTTAAAAAAGGATGCACTGCTTCTCGAATACAACACATGCATAGGTTTCCACACACACATACAAACATTTTTGCATATAACACGAAATTTGTAGATCGTCCTTGAAAATTTTTGTATGGAAAATAAGCACCGGGTAGTTGTGTACATTAAAAGTATGAAAGAATTAAACAATATAGGTTTAGTTGTTATATGCGTAGGGTATGCAGTGCTTCTTTGCATCTATGATGTGCACGCTACTGTATGTAAGTCAAGCTTCGACTCCGGATCAGAAAGTCTTTTAAAGCAACTAACTCTGTAATTGTTATTACAACACGACACGAAGTTTATAAACTTTATTCAATAATAATAAAGAGCGGATATCAGGCGAGAATAGACTGGAGGCGAGCCAAGCTCACGAGCCGCGGAAACGGATGTGACGTCACCAGATAAAGTAAACAACTGCGGCTTATCGACACGCAATTTACATATAGGAATAGATATATAATGATCGATATTAATTATTATGATGCATCGGTTTTATACTGTTCCACATGTGTTGAAAATAAAAACAAAAACATACACGTGATACATCACCAACCCGTTGAGCAAGCGTGGTGATTAATGCTCTAACCTTCTCCATGTGAGAAGGAGGCAGCTCAGCAGTGGGCTCTGATAGGCTGAAGACGATGACGACGTGATACAAAAGTATGTATGACTGACGAGTTGTTCATAAATGTGTAAAAAATAAGAAAAAACTATCTCCCTGTAGGTAGAGGGACCGGTTCGGTTATTTGAACTAACAGGATATGACGGAGGCTGAGTAACGGCACTTCGTTGGTTCACTAAAATACTATAACAAAAAAAAACACGCAGCCAGCTTACGACTACATGTAGGAGAAACTTTGTATAGTGCCCATAATGAAGTAACAAGTATAAATATTAAATACATAATGGTATAAAAAATATGTTATATAAATGTATAGATACTAATATATTCACTAACAGTACGACTAACAGTAATGTAGCAACACATATAATTGTATAAAAAATTGTTTAGGTAAATTGGTATTAATAATAAATAAAGTTGCTTAAATCATACTAAAATTATTCAAAGCTTTATAGTTATATAAAAAAAATATTAAGGACGATGCCTCCTGTGAGGATTGAACTCACGACCCCTGGTTTACGAGACCAGTGCTCTACCACTGAGCTAAAGAGGCGATGTAAGGGAACGCCAAATAGATAATCACATCACACAACCCTTCGTATACGAAGATAGATAAAATAAATTAACACGTATAAAAACAGAAGCAAAATATACGACAGACTCGTTCAGAAACACTTATATAGTTCTATTGATTAGACTTTTCGTTAAAAGAAAGTCTATTTATTAAGTAAATAAAAAACATTACTTACCTCACGTTACCGGAATCACCTGAAAAAAATATAACATTTTCAATTATGCATTCATAACAGACAACTCAAAAGTATTAATATATTAATAATATTTTATATTACAAAAAGATTGCCGAAACCCGGGATCGAACCAGGGACCTTTAGATCTTCAGTCTAACGCTCTCCCAACTGAGCTATTTCGGCTGCTTGAAGTGGAATCAAATTAGACGTATGTATAATAAACATAAGTAATGTCATGACTAAAATTAAAAATAAAACTTTTATATTTACAATACACACTACATATAAAAATTTTAATAAAAACTAATGATCTATACTATATGTCAATACATAATTAATTAGTTTAAAGACTGATGTGTCATCTTTTTGTTATCCTTGGCACTTCTTAAGCTTTTCCCAAGTAAAAAATTTACTAAAATGTTAAGAGATGGCGCTTTAACAAAAATCCTTGGCATGTAAGTATATTAATAAAAAAAATCATCAGGTTACTGGAGACCATGTATATAATAAAACTAGTTACTGTACGTTTTGTTAAATAAATGTAGTAATGTATGTATTCACGGATCTTACCAACATCCTCTACTTGTACAGCCTTGTCAGCGGACACCTGGCCTGCCTCATTCAACACAATCCCACACTTCTTGTACACATGACTCCGAATCTTTAACAACTTCTCCCTCTCTTCAAACTCCTTGATTTCATCCTAAAAGTTGTACAGGTAATATAATTTTTTATTTCAATGCCTTCATCAAATGATTTAAACATGTAGTAAAATAAATTATTTTCTCACCTTCAACTCCCTTAACCTAGTATGAGACCTACTAGATAGACACTGTCGATAGTGTGAATCAGACCACAATATTTGATTAGTGTTTACTAACGATGGAGCAGAGCCACGGGTTCGTCTGCTCCTATTTTGCAAATTGTTCGATTTTATTTTAGAAAGAGGCGATGTAGCAGGGTCTAGTGATTCCAACGTTTTCTTTGGTTTTACCCGAACATCCGACTTTCTTGATTTATTAATAGCTAACTCAGGAACATAGTCTTTAAGAACTGTAGGTAATTCACGATAACCACCCCGACTAAAATTTGAAGAACTCGGTTTCGCGCCAAGTTGCATAGCTGTCGGAGTTTCATGTCTTGTTACCGTAGAAGCAGCCTTCAAATTGTCCCGAGACCTATTAATAACCCGCGACATAACTCTCCCATAGTTGCTGTCTTTTTTATTTCTTTTTTCCATCCTGAATTATAACACAATATGTCTACAACATTAAAATAGCGTCGTGTTTTGACATTCGGCTTGGATTGTTGTGACTTGGACTCAGTGTTGCCAACTGCTACCAAAGGTATGTAGCTAAGAGTTTTACAGAACGTTGCCAGATTGAGTAATTTCTTTTCTAAGACTTTAACAAATTTTATTTATTTAAATGAAACTAATATTTTGCGGATAAACTACTACACCAGGGCCGATAGGTTTTAAAACATAATTAAATTATAGTAGAATAAAATTCATTAGAAAAGGAGGGGAATATTATAAAAAATTAAGGAAAAATAATTTACGGGCGATCTGAGATCGGGAAGGGTACGGGGATGGGTATTTAAGGGTAAAAAACGGGTTTTCTCGATTTCCGGCAAAACTAAAAGTACTGCGGAAAAATGTTATATGGCAAAGCTGTAGGTAATAACAAGACCTAAAACTTTTATACTAACATTTTTTTCACATAACCTCAAAATTTATGTAAAAATTCGAAAAAAAATTGCCGGAAATCGAGAAAATCCATTTTTTACCCTTAAATACCCATCCCCGTACCCTTACCGACCTAAGATCGCCCGTAAATTATTTTTCCTTTAATTTTTATAATATTCCTATCGTTTTTAAATGAGTTTCATTCTACTATAATTTATTTTCATTTTTCATTAATTTTATAGGTAGCCTATACGCGCCTTTATTTTTTTTAAAACTACATACTTACTTCTGACGTGGTGATGTGAGTTTCCATTGAGATACCTATCTGTATGTGTGAGTTTCCTATAAACAGTATGTGAAAAAGTATTATAAGGATTCCTATCTAAAGTATATCAAGGAAAGCTAAAGAGTTATTTGCATTTAATTCTATAGTAAACTGAATCTTGCTATTGATAGAATTAATACGGTTCAGAAAAGCAGATGTTTTATTTTATTTAATATTATGAAGGTGTCATCTAGATACCATATTTACATATATTAAAGGTCTTATTGGAGGAGAGCAAAGGGCTCGAACCTCGAAGTCTTCCATGAATATATCAGCGACAAAGGGGGAAACTTGCTAAACCATTGCAACTCCGTCTACTTGTATGTCGAATTCATCCTTCCTCGTGAGATAGCCAGATGTTAGGCAATGCTTTAACAGCTCTGCATATTCAATAGGCATATTTTTATCCTTTAACTTACTTATTATTCTCTCAATGCAGGGGACCAAGATTGGCTAAATGATGATGATGATGAGTCAAGAACAGGTATGTAGTTTTAAACAAAAATAAACCACGTAGTATGTCCGAAAAACATAAGTTCATTTAAATTATTTCTTTTCCCTAAAAAGTATCTAGAAATAGTTAAATTTCCCAGTAACAAATAATTACGTTCTAAATGAACTTACTTACTAGAAAATCACACTCTTTTGATAAAGTTAAACGAATTATATCAACTAGCTGGTTTTAACCAACCTTTAAACTCATCGCCTCATGTTCTTTCTTTTACACGGTAAATCTATTTTTACTGTAACTACCGAACACCAGCTGAGTGTGCCGCGTGCGATGACGATCAATAGATTTACAAAATAAATAAAATTAAAACAAAACCCTAGTATGCAAGTAGTTAAAGGGGAATCCCAACAAGTTATAAACACGACTTTTATTTTTGATTACAAACTACATACCCCCGACAATAATTATATAGGATGGCAACCGGAGGTTTCTGGGAAACTACGAAACATACTTATATTTATATTAAAATAAGAATTACATGTTAAAACTTATAACCTATACCTAAGACTACTACATGATTGCCCCGATGTTAGGATGACAATGACATTCTATTGCTTGTATGGTGTAAGGAATCTTCTGGCTCACACGGCTTGGTGTTGGCTCCGCGGAGTCAGCGGCGTCACTCGATATATTGGGTTGGCAACTAAGTCATTGCCGATCTCAAATAAGAAGGCAAATTCGGAATTTTTGTTTAAAAATATAACTTTATTCAATTAGATATTGGCCATTCTTGTCGATGACCTTTTTCCATCGTTCTGGCAGAGTAAAAATTCCCCGTTTGTAAAATGTCTGGTTTTTGCTATTAAAAAACTAAATTAGGTGTGATCCGACATCATCCGCGTTGTTAAAAATTTTACCATTTAAAGAGTTTTGCATGGAACGAAACAAATAGTAATCCGAAGGCGCAAGGACAGGGCTATATGGTGGGTGTGACAAAACATCCCAACCCAGTTCCAATAATTTTTGCCGAGTAACCAAAGATGTGTGGGGCCTTGCGTTATCATGATGGAACACAACACCCTTCCGATTTGGTAATGTCGGCCGCTTTTCTTCAACTGCATCCTTCAGTTTTTCGAGTTGTTCAACATACACATTTGAATTTATCGTTTGGTTCTGCGGCATGAGTTCAAAATACAAAATTCCTTTGTGATGCCACCAGACCGACAGCATAATCTTTTTTTGGTGAATCTCTGCTTTTGATACTGTTTGGGCTGGTTGATATTGCTTCACCCATGATCTATTGCGAGTAACATTGTTATAAACTATCCACTTTTAATCGCCAGTGACTAAGTTCTTCAGAAATGGATCATTCTCATTGCGTTTCAGTAGCGAATTACAGATGCTAATCCGTTGCGTCAAATGAATTTCCTTTAACGGGTGAAGGATCCATAAATCAAGTTTCTTGACATTACCAAGGGTTTTTAATTTTTTTCAATGCATGTATGCGACACATTGAGCTTCCCTGCAATATCTCGTGTTGTGCTGTGACGATTTGAATCGATAATGGCCTTGATATGGGTGTCATCCACTTCGACTAGGCGGCCAGATCGTTGTGAATTTTTCGGTGAAAAATCACCGGAACGAAATCTTTCAAACCAATTTCGACACTGCCTTTCTTTTAAGGCTTTATCTCCATATACGGCACATAACTTCTTTTGTGCTTGCGATGCGTTCTTGCCTTTTCGGAAGTAATACAATAATATTTGTCGTAAGTGCACGTCCTGTTCTTTCATTTTTATATTGGGATAAAAAAAAAACTAAAGAACTTATCAAAAAAATTTTTTTACTAATTAAACGTAGAAGCCCATACAGTAAGAAAAAAATATAGGTTAGATGCTCTGGCTACGTTAACAAAACAAAAAAAAGTGTAGAGTGAATCTATCAACAAAAACGGCAATGACTTAGTTGCCAACCTATTATTATGATATTTTACAGATACAAATATGTCACCTCGGCGGTGTTCATTTTTCTCTTCATATGTAGAGCGTATCGAACACGTTTCGGTTACTTTACAGCACCCGTGATTACGTTTGTATACAAAATTAATGACGTGATCATGTGAGAAAGTGAGCTATCGCGTGAATTTAATTTTGAGAATAATTATTAAAGTTATGATAACTTTCAAATGGTACTCCGGATTAAATAATTCAAAAAGTAATTTATAGGCTTTAACACGAAGTTATGTATTTTGATAAGAATTAATACTGTAATTATGAAAATAGCTTTCCTATAAACGCTTCATGAATGACAATTTTTAAAAGTAATAAAATGGATATAGTATGTTATCTTTAAGAGATACATATAATATGCCATCGCGGACTTTTCTGTAGACTTATATGAGATACACAATTCCACCATACATTATTTTGTTATATCTGAAAGGGTTTTGGCAGTGTTTTAAATTTAAAATTATATATTAAAACCTGTCTCAAGTATCACGATATCGAATAGTTTAAACCGCTCGCACTTGGTAATTGGTGCAGTAGTTTTTACTTTTTCTGTTTATTGCGATCAGACAGACTTTGTCTTACATAAATGTTTACTTCATTGCTACTAATCTATTTTTCGGGGATTCATGCACCATATTTTTTTCATCTCTCTGCAACCAAAAATAGGAGCTTAAAAATTTTTTTACTGTGAATGCATTTAAAATTAAATTTAAATATAATATTTTTAACACGTAAATGAAATAGAAGTGTCTGATTTTAGAAAAACAAAAAGGGTTTTTATTAAGAGCATGTAAATATATTATACTCGTATATCTAAATTTTTTGTTTGTCAATCTGTTTGTCGAAGGTAATTTCTGATACATCTGGACCAATTTCATAAAAAGATAAAATATATAACAAGGAATAATGTAGGCATTATTTAAAAAAAAATATATAGGTTTTTTAATCATTGTGAAATAAAATGGGAATGGGTATATACAAGAGTATATTACAGTGATTCAAATATTATTATTATTACAAAGTAGAAAGAAATAACTAAAAAGAAAAGCAAGTCTTCAAGTATCTATACCCACATATTTAAAATTATGCTTTTTTGGATTTGTTTGTTATTACTTTTTTACTGATAATATTAATTTTCGGTAACGTTATTAGCTATGTAGTCTTAAAATAATTAGTTAATTCTAAGAAGGAGAAACGTTGCCAAAAAATAGATACATTATATTTATATGAATACTTTCATAATTCTCTGATTATAAAAATGTGTAGTTATAAAGTTTTTTTATCATTACAACTTCAAGTGGAAAACTACTGCCAGTGTAACACATTGCATGCTTTTAATATTGAATTGCTGAGAAATGTTCTGAGGAGATGGTTAGAGCATATAGGGAATTAAATTAATGTTGGCCTCATAAGGAATATATGAAAAATAAATAAAAATGCAGTTAGCAAAATATAATTTATCTACAATACATTTCATAATGGATTTTCAACTTAAACAACTGGAGTATGATTCAGTTTCCGACTAGTTCTTTGTGCTTTTGATCGTAAAGGGTTTTGGCTTCTATGATGTACCCGTCACATAATGCTAATATTTGTTTATTGACACTGTACACCAAGTCTTCAGATACATCAGTCTGTTTCTTTGTTTTTTTAATATATTCATTTTGAATGTCCTTTATGCTGTCTCGGCATTTGATAAATAAAATCTTAGCATTTCTAGCCAAAGCCTCTCTGTGTTCTTTAGTTACTTTTGGTACTGGAACATATAGAGTTGTACCGTCTTGCTGTGGATTCAGATTGAGACCTGAATTCTGAATTGCTTTCAGAACGTCTGGTATAACTTGTGGAAAAGAAGCAAAATTAATAACCAATGTCTTAGGATTCTTTCTAACTATTTGTGCTAGTTCTTGGAGCTCGTACTCCTTGCCGTCGTATTTAATTGGTAAAGTATCTATGGCACCAGTGGTCGAACGGAGGGATAAGTTTTTGGTAAAGTCTTCCTTCATTTTTTCTATTGAATTTTGACATCTTTCCTTAAGTTTATTAACCGGCACTAATTCTGATATCATGAGAGGGTTGATTTCGACTTTACCACCCTTTCCCTTCTTATCTTTTCCTTTGTCTTTACTTTTCGCATAGTTTCTGACCGTGGTTAAGTTATATTTGTTGACAATAACCCTTTCAGAGTGACTTACGAGGTTAGGTATAACATATTTTGAATTTAATAATGATGGCAATAAAAATCGTCCTACAAATCTCGACACCATGTTTTGTAACTCAAGTATGTCTTAAATTAGAGTATTCCATTAGTTTCATAACAAAAAGTATTGTAAAAAATTACTCAAACACAGTTTAAACAGTCAAATGTCAAATAAAACGAATGACAATTAATGTGATAAAATAGAATTTTAAAACTTTATTTAATTAGAACTTTATGTATCATATAAAAGAATTATTTACTACCTTAAAAAAATCCATTTCTTTTATTGAAACAACACATTTTTATTGACATGGATAAAATCGGTCGAAAATGAAATGCGTTACACTATTGACCCTAATTACCGAAATTTTTTATAAAGTCTCTTAAATCATATTTGAATTATATTAAAGTAGATATTATATACATTTTACTATTAAGCTATGGCAATTTCTAACGTTAATGTTACAATTGTCATTTGACATATTTCAAAATTTGAATATGATGTGACATGTTATTTGAAGTGTTTGTTAAACTAAATATATACAAAAATGTCTGTATTATTTCAGACAGGAAAGTATTTTCTCAGAAAATCTTACAGTTATAGTTTTTGTAAATATGTATTGTTAAGAAAAAAATCGGGTAAGTATTTAAAAAGTCGTAATAGTTTTACTAGAAGTCAAGTTATTAATAGGTTATGTTTAACTTGTAGATGTTCCTAGGAAGTTCATAACTTTCGACGAGATCGTAGCCCAGAGGAGAGCTGAGGCACGACGCAGTCTTGTCGTACAAGTAAATTCTGAATCATCTTTCGACGAATTGTATGGTTATTGCTCTAAATACAGCTCAATAAAAGATGTTTACCATTATAAGAATTCAGGTGAAGAGGTACGTAAGTCTGCGATTCATGTTTATTTATTCATAAAAGTGCTAAATTTAATGAAATGAATTAAAATAGAACTACATTTAACTTCCAGCATTTCATGCTAATAGAATTTAGTTCAGAAGATAATCTTCAGAGTATTCTGCAATCATGTTGTTCTCATCAAAAAGACCTGGAAGTGATGGCGGTTCAATCACCATTTGTTTGGTTCCGAGCCTCAGATGCCAAAGAGAAGCTGACTGCCAATGGACTTGAACTTAGAGTAAAGGACGGCAACAATAAATACAGTGAAGATGTGTTATTTGATGATTTAATGAAATGCCAGACAGTGTCGGAACAGATTCAGATGTTGTATGATAAGACTATACTGAATGATGTAGGAGCCAGGCTGAGGTATATGGTGGCAAGACAGGTGAGCTTTACAACACATGAAAAAAGGAGATCATTCTTTTTGGGCCTTTTTTAAAAGTGCCGGCCAACAAAAAAAAATGGTACATATTTGTAGAACTAACCATTTGGAACAATAGTTAATATGGCGCTAAAGTTGTAGGATCCAAGATATAGAAGTTATACAAGTTTCAAGATTCATCATTTTGGTACTTTATTTTTTAAATGAAACTAATATTTTCGGATTTTACTTCGCGTTTTATTTTAGAAACTACATACTCCCGACGTTTCGGCTACTTTTCAGCAACCGTGATCACGGGCAGACGAGATGTGAGTGTCTGTCAGTTGGTCTGGTCATTTTATCTCCTACCGCCATCGATTTTAATTGTCTTGCGTACCGCTCTGGATGCCGGCAAAATGCGCTCACGGTGTCTCGAGGTCCTGCGGTGTGGTCACGGACATGGGATTTTATATTTTTAAGAAGAGGATCCCAGGTGTTTGATAGGTTCCAGCCATCTTCTCTATTGAAATTAGGGTGTTTTTTAATTTCAATAGCCTCGCGGATTAACCTTGGTATATATCTGTCTTCACGAGCGAGGATATGTGGTTGATCAAATCTAATGTAATGGCCTGGTTTGTCCAATGCATGTTCGCACACTGCTGACTTCGACGCGCGCCTATTCCTGACGTCTGAAATATGTTCCTTAACCCTTGTACCGATGCTTCTCTTTGTCTGTCCGATGTATGACAAGCCACAGTCACAATCAAGTTTATATACACCCGCTTGTTGTAAAGGAATGTTACTCTTGATTGGTCTCAAGAATTGGCTCGCTTTCTTATGTGGTTTATAAATAGTCTTAATTGAAACCTTCTTCAAGATGTTGCCTATTCTGTCAGTAACTCCCTTCACATATGGTAGAATTGCAGGTTGTCGCTCGACTGTAGGTGGCTTCGTCTGGTTCTTGCGATGCTGGCGAAGCACGGGCAGGCTGTTGATGGTCAGAGCACGTCTTACATGCTGCAGCTCGGCCTCTAGGTGGTCAGCATCACAAAGGTGTTGTGCTCTCTGTAACAAAGATTTACCAACGGTAGCTAACTGTACAGGGTGGTGGTGTGATTTACCATTGAGATACCTATCCGTATGTGTGGGTTTCCTATAAACAGTATGTCCCAAAGTATTGTCAGGATTCCTGATAACTAGTATATCAAGGAAAGCTAAAGAATTATTTGCCTCTAATTCTATAGTAAACTGGATCTTATTATTGATAGAATTAAGATGGTTCAAGAAAGCAGATGTTTTGTTTTTATTTAATATTATGAAAGTGTCATCTACATAGCGTTTATAAATTAAGGGTCTTATTGTAGGAGAGCTAAGGGCTCGCACCTCGAAGTCTTCCATGAATATATCTGCGACAACGGGGGAAACCGGCGAACCCATTGCTACTCCATCTACTTGTATGTAGAATCCTTCCACATGAGATAGCCAGATGTTAGGCAATGCTTTAACAATTCTGCATATTCAATAGGCATCTTATTATCCTTTAACTTACCTCTTACAATCTCAATGCAGTCAAGAACAGGTAGATTAGTGAATAATGACTGTACATCGAAACTGACCATAATGTCATTGTCTGTCAATTTTAGGTGTTTAATGTCATTGACAAACTGGTAGGAATCCTTAACAAATGACTTTGTGTGGCCCCGGAGTGGTGATAATATCTTTGAAAGGAATTTAGCCAGTTTATAAGTTGGTGAATCAATCTGGCTTACAATTGGCCGTAATGGGACATCTTGTTTATGGATTTTAGGTAACCCATACAATTTCGGTGGTTTTGAGCACGATGGTACGAGTGATTTGATATCCAGATTGAGTTTAGAACCGTTTTTATTAATTAATAATTTTGTTTCCGTTAAAACTTTACTGGTCGGGTCTTTGTTAACTTTTTATAGACAGAATTATCCGAAAGAATGTCAGTTATTTTACTATCATAATCACTCGTATCCTCTCTATCAATAATAAGATCCAGTTTACTATAGAATTAGAGGCAAATAATTCTTTAGCTTTCCTTGATATACTAGTTATCAGGAATCCTGACAATACTTTGGGACATACTGTTTATAGGAAACCCACACATACGGATAGGTATCTCAATGGTAAATCACACCACCACCCTGTACAGTTAGCTACCGTTGGTAAATCTTTGTTACAGAGAGCACAACACCTTTGTGATGCTGACCACCTAGAGGCCGAGCTGCAGCATGTAAGACGTGCTCTGACCATCAACAGCCTGCCCGTGCTTCGCCAGCATCGCAAGAACCAGACGAAGCCACCTACAGTCGAGCGACAACCTGCAATTCTACCATATGTGAAGGGAGTTACTGACAGAATAGGCAACATCTTGAAGAAGGTTTCAATTAAGACTATTTATAAACCACATAAGAAAGTGAGCCAATTCTTGAGACCAATCAAGAGTAACATTCCTTTACAACAAGCGGGTGTATATAAACTTGATTGTGACTGTGGCTTGTCATACATCGGACAGACAAAGAGAAGCATCGGTACAAGGGTTAAGGAACATATTTCAGACGTTAGGAATAGGCGCGCGTCGAAGTCAGCAGTGTGCGAACATGCATTGGACAAACCAGGCCATTACATTAGATTTGATCAACCACATATCCTCGCTCGTGAAGACAGATATATACCAAGGTTAATCCGCGAGGCTATTGAAATTAAAAAACACCCTAATTTCAATAGAGAAGATTGCTGGAACCTATCAAACACCTGGGATCCTCTTCTTAAAAATATAAAATCCCATGTCCGTGACCACACCGCAGGACCTCGAGACACCGTGAGCGCATTTTGCCGGCATCCAGAGCGGTACGCAAGACAATTAAGAAATCGATGGCGGTAGGAGATAAAATGACCAGACCAACTGACAGACACTCACATCTCGTCTGCCCGTGATCACGGTTGCTGAAAAGTAGCCGAAACGTCGGGAGTATGTAGTTTCTAAAATAAAACGCGAAGTAAAATCCGAAAATATTAGTTTCATTTAAATGTGTACTCGCGAAAATCTTAGATCTCATTACTTTATTTTTTTCTGAAAGTGCCAGGAAACATAAAATAATGATTGATATTGCTAGAGTTAAGCTTCTCAAGCAAATCATAGCCATAATCTGTTAGAAACCTGTCGTTTTTATGTAATACTAGTGAACCCGACAGACGTTGTTCCGCCAAGTATCTGAACGCATGCAACACATTTCTTGATGATTTTATTACTTGTCTAACCTAATATGTATATCGGGGTGCCATTTTTATATATTAAAAAAATGGGCCTAGAAGCACTTTTAACTGATTTTGTACCATTTCATGTCGGATTTGATCATATGACGCGAGAGCAAGTGGCGCAGAGGAACCTCATTGTGCCAGAGCGATAATTTGGTAATCCTGATAGTCCGATTGAAGAAAGAAAGGCCATCTCTATACTTGATGGCACTTACATATATTTACGGAAGAGCACTAATTTCTTTTTTCAAAGAAAATCTTATAGCAACCATAACTTTCGAAATCTTTTAAAGCCTTTTTTAAATATTTGTTGCAATGGAACCATAATAGCGGTAGATGGCCCATCGCTGCAACAACCTCCGATGCCCAGATTTTAAATGATGCACTGAATAATGTATTTCACTGGTTTTACCGGCCTGGTGACATTTTTATATTAGACCGTGGTTTTAGAGATGCTATAGAAAATCTGGAGTCATGCGGTTATGTACATGCTCTGCGCCACTTGCTCTCGCGTCATATGATCAAATCCGACATGAAATGGTACAAAATCAGTTCAAAGTGCTTCTAGGCCCATTTTTTTAATATATAAAAATGGCACACCGATATACTTATTAGGTTAGACAAAGAATAAAATCATCAAGAAATGTGTTGCATGCGTTCAGATACTTGGCGGAACAACGTCTGTCGGGTTCGCTAGTATTACATAAAAACGACAGGTTTTTAACAGATTATGGCTATGATTTGCTTGAGAAGTTTAACTCTAGCAATATCAATCATTATTTTATGTTTCCTGGCACTTTCAGAAAAAAATAAAGTACCAAAATGATGAATCTTGAAACTTGTATAACTTCTATATCTTGGATCCTACAACTTTTGCGCCATATTAACTATTGTTCCAAATGGTTAGTTCTACAAATATGTACCATTTTTTTTTGTTGGCCGGCACTTTCAAAAAAGGCCCAAAACTGTATGAAGCCTGAATGATCTCCTTTAATGTGAATACAGTAGGACCCCGATTATCCAGACCTCGGTTATCCAAATTCGCTATTATCCAGACTGCCAATCGCGAGGAGTTTATTCTAACATTAACATGTCAGAACTTGCATAACGCCACGCCATTCTTGCCGTCCGTGATTTTCGTTGATTCTCGCTCATATTTATTTGTTGTTTTAAATATGTAAACACCTAACATTACATATGTATGGTACAGACTACATATGTATACTAGCTTTTGCCGCGACTTCGTCCGCGTGGAATAGTGACTTCCGGCAGATTTTTGATTTTTCCCACATAGTTCCCGTTCTTGGGGGGTTTTCGATTGGTCGAGTTACCGTAGAATTTTCAGGATAAAACCTATATATTTTTTTTAAATTCACAATGAAGTACTCTTAACCAACAACATATTTATTTGTTTATTTGAATATAGATTAATATTATTATGTTGATATAACTTAAACAAATTATTTCGACCAAATTAGGTTTTTGTGAGTTAATCTTAAAAGATAGACATATACTGTCTCGGACTGTTTTTTAGATTATTAAAAGAGCTATTATTCTTTAATACATATATTTTGTGTATCTTGAACCGTTTTCACGGCGCACCCAACGGAAGTCTTCAAAGATGAAATAATTTCTCCCGTTTTTTACACATTTACCACTATATCTTTGCTCCTATTGGTCGTAGCGTGATGTTATATAGCCCACAGCCTTCCTCGATAACTGGACTATCCAACACAAAAAGAACTATTCAATTCTAACGAGTAGTTTCGGAGATTAGCGCTTTCAAACAAACAAACAAACTCTTCAGCTTTATAATATTAGTATAGATTAGTATAGATATGCAAAAAGCCCGTTTTTCTTCATATATTGGATTATCCGGACTTTCAATTATCCGGATGCCTACCGACAACAATTAGTCCGGATAATCGAGGTCCTACTGTATATGCTTTTAAATGAAAAATTAAAAAGTAATGTTTTTGGATATACTAGGCTTTATTTTATTATTGATTTTTTTTCATTTATTCTGCCATGATCATGTTTGTTGCAATGGAACAGAAACATCAAGATTATGCTGTTTTAATAAGAATAATAAAAATCTGTTTGTTCATTGAAAAATGTTAGGTTTATTTAAATGAATACTTACAAAACTCTTAGATATCATTATTTAAATAAAAATGCTACAAATGCTATATATCTTTTAAAACAACAAGAAAATAATCAATTATATTTTCATTTATTTAAATATCTTACAAAATGTTAATATTATATTTCCTTATGTTTCAGTTGGAGGTGATACTTAGCAGCTTGTACACTAATATCCAAGTGTTACCATTTGGTTCGTCTGTTAATGGTTTTGGTAAAATGGGATGTGACTTGGATTTAGTTCTGACAAACTCATTGACAGATGAAATGGTAAATGTATAAACATTGTCTTAAAGTAAAATTAATATAGGTATATTAATATTTACTAGAATTTAAAACCCCACTGAAAATAATTTGCTTTATGCTCTGAAGAGTACATTTAAAGGCAACATGACACATAGTCTTTTGAGCAGTATAAAAATTTAAATTAATCATCCAATATAAAACATTTTCCAGTAAATTTCTAGTCATGTTTGAAACAATAACATTAAATGTCCCAAAGAATACAAAATAATTAACATTATTAGTATTATTATAAGTATTATTAAGTCAGTGGTGGCCTATTGGTTAAAGGGCCTGCTTCTTGCCCACAAGGATGCTTTTTCAATCCTGGCGAGTACCAATGTGATTTTTCCGGGTTATATGTAGTATGTACTTTCTGAGAGTATTTAGACACCACTGACAGACGGTGAAGGATAACATAGTGAAGAAACCTGGACTTATAATTTCACAATTATAAGTTTGAAATCACCAAGTCTTCTTGAGTAATTGTGGTTAATAATGCTCAAACCTTCTCCATGTGAGAATGAGGCCTTTGCTCAACAGTGGGCTCTGTAGGCCACAGTACGATTAGTACTATTAATAAAAACACAAATGATACGTTGGTGGGTGATGGTGCGAACAAAATTAGATGTTAAAATATATTCAGGAGTTTTAATTTAATTATGTGTTGACACTTATATACATATTTATTTTTTTCACAAATAATAAAAATTGTGTGATAATTCTCGAAAGAATTTGTTAATCTTATATAGAACATTCATATGTTATGTAGATGTCTCCTTCAAACCGCCTGGTGTACCAGGAGAAGAGGTCTGATAGTAGTCGAGGTCCGTGGCAGAGACACATGGAGCTCGTGGGAGCCTTGTTGGAGCTGCGGGTCCCTGGCGCCGCAAGGGTGCAGCGGATACTGAATGCACGGGTCCCTATAGTGAAGTACTCACAGGAACTTGTTGATGTTGATGTCGACCTCTGCTTTAATAATATGTGAGTGATGTTAAATTGAATGTCTTATTTGATAAGTAGAGTGTGTGTGACGGCATACCATTAGTTGTACTCTTGATTAATTCTCCTTGGTCTTGCTCTATGTTACATCGGTGCTAAAAAGTTAAGATGGATCCTATTAGAGGTGATAGTTTTCCTTCTCTCTGAGGTGATGGACATTGATTGTGTTTCATGTCAATAATGTGTTGTCTGTGATTAGCATTCATTGTTATGAAAACAATAGTCCTAGACAACTTGTCCCGATTGAAGCCGAGTTTGTGAACCTCTAGGAAAACCCAACTCACTAATGCTGTATAATTCCAAGATTCACACTAAACCAAATTTAAGGTCCGTGGAATTGAAATAATAGGTGACGGCCACTCCATACCATCGACTGACCTTACGCTTGTTTGCAACCGACGTGGTTTAAAGAAATCTCTAACATTAAGTAACAGCACTTTTGATCTGTTCTGTGAAGGCGTGAACTAAAAACATGCCTTTAACGAAGTAAATGATACTAAAACTAGCCTTTCTCTATTTATTATGTAGCTATATACTTTCTTTTTCGCCTCTAACGTTTCGGTAATTCGCTAATATTGTGAAAAAGTCCCATCTCCAATCTCTGTGCCTAATTCAATATTTTCTCTATAGTTAGTATTGTGGTTTGTACTATACTGTCTGTACCTATCGTTTCAGGTCCGGCGTCCACATGTCGTCCTTACTATACGCGCTAGGCTCGCTGGTCCCGGCGGGCCCGGCGCTGGCCGTCACAGTTCGTCGCTGGGCCGCGGCCGTTCAGCTGACCCAGCCTCACCCCGGCCGATGGATCACAAACTTTCCACTCACACTCATGGTTCTATTCTTCCTCATGACACAGAAGATCTTACCTACCTTCAGGCGACTGATAGAATGTGCCGGTCGGTTAAATAACATACACTCTCCAACATATACGATTATCATTCTTATATTTTTATCCGTAATCATTTCCAGGTAAGCAGGACGTCCGTGTCACCGAGGACAACATAAACTGTACGTTCGTCCGCGACCTGTCCCGCCTGCCTCCTCACTCGTATCAACCTTCATCAGACAACCTCCAAACTCTTCTGCTCAAATTCTTCGAGTTCTACTCCCAGTTCGACTTCCAAGAGCACGCGATATCTGTCATCGAAGGTAAACCGATCAGGAAGCCCAACACCCTGCCGCTGTACATAGTGAACCCGCTGGAGCCCGCGCTTAATGTGAGTAGGAACGTGAGCTATGAGGAGTGCGAGAGACTTAAGATGGAGGTGAGGAACGCGGCCTGGCATCTGGAGGCGTGTCTGGACAACAACCAGGCAGATGACTGGGGGATACTGGGGCTCGTGGAGAAGAAGACCACCCGGGGATTGAAGAAGCTGCTGCGGGCCGGGAACCAGCAGCGGCTCGTGTCTGTGAAGGACCTGTTCAAGGACGACCAGCCCGAGACCACACCCGGCTCTGATAGAGAAGTACAGCCCACCAGAGATAACAAACACGATAGAGTCAAACTAAAGAACACACAGACGGCCAGAGAAGTGTACCGGATACGGAGAGACAAACTGATCTGACCACGGAGAGAGAGGAGTGAGTGGGTGAGGTGTAGAATGAGAAGCGGATGATGTTTGTAAATAAATTGTTTATTCAAAAATTTCTTTAATTTCAACTTACATTAATAACGAAATGTGAAACGATGTGCTAAAATAAAATAAATATGTGTATATATATAAAAACCATACATCAAAACATTAGCTTAAGAGCCAGTGAACGGATACCTGAGAACGGATACGTATGTATTTGAGCAGACCAGGGCTTTTGCACGATGAGACCCCTTTGCCTACCGTACATGAGATGGGGACTCACTAAGCCCTAAGTGGTGGACGCGGCTAGTGCGCAGGTGGGACAGGTATCGATTTGTGGCTATCTATAAATGCATTTGACCACGTCTGCCGTTTTGATATTTGAAAATATTATTATTATTATTGGAAAAAAACAATGGCAGACCATTATCACGCGTTTAACATTGTGGCAGACGATTTTGAAAATGTTAAAAAATGGTTTTTTTTTTTAAAGTAATTGACCAGATCTGCCATCAATATATTTTATTTATTATGGTCTTGAAAACTTATATTGTGAATGGCAGACTTATTCATTGATAAACATCAGCAGATCAAAAAATCGGAGATACACTACCCGGTCAGATGTCTATATATTACGATAGCAGTTTTACATTAATATAATTTACTTAATCACTGTATTTAATGAACTTAATATATTCCATGTAGTCTACATACTAAACTTTTAAAGTTAAACGATAAAGAAGGAGATACATAACGAAAAATTTTAAATATTGACGTATACTGCTAAGAACAAAAAATAATTTTTATTTTGTACATATTTTAACCTAACAATTCACCAAGCTCTGTATAAATTTTTGTGATGTTAATATATCTTTTATTATTTCCTTTTCCACTGAGCATCCAAATATTAGATTTAGAATTCTTCAAGTGTGCCATATTACCAATCATTATGATTAAATTATCGGTGTCAGAGGCTCTGATAACAATATTCGACTGCTCGGCGATATTACAAGCATGATAGATTATTGTGTCTGCTTCTTCCTGTGCAGTACCACATAAATCTTCAACAATACTTGACTGTATCTTCTCATCAACAACTTGATATGATTGACAATTTCGGAAATTTAAGTGAATTTTCCGATTGAATATGTTCGAATCAATTTACAAATTATTATATTTTACAATAAACGTTTAATTATGCAGAATCCGCTTCAATGGATATGGATGATGATGATGATGATTGAAGATCAAAATTAATAAATGTATAGGTATATATATTGATTTAGTAATGCATCAATGATTGTTTTTTATTTATCTAACTTTAAAATTTTATATTCAACAAATAAATTTAATAAATAAAATATGTACAAATTAAAATTATTTTTTGTTCTTAGCAGTATACGTCTATATTTAAGATTTTTTCGTTATGTATCTCCTTCTTTATCGTTTAACTTTAAAAGTTTAGTATGCAGACTACATGGAATATATTAAGTTCATTAAATAAAGTGATTAAGTAAATTATATTAATGTAAAACTTCTATCGTAATATATGTATAGACATCTGACCGGGTAGTGTATCTCTGATTTTTTCATCTGCTGATATTTATCCGCAATGAATAAGTCTGCCATTCACAATATAAGTTTTTAAGACCATAATAAATAAAATATATTGATGGCAGATCTGGTCAATTACTTTCAAAATTTTTTTTTAACATTTTCAAAATCGTCTGCCACAATGTTAACTGCGTGATAGTGGTCTGCCATTGTTTTTTTCCACTAATAATAATAATAATATATTTTCAAATATCAAAACGGCAGACGTGGTCAAATTAATTTATAGATAGCCAATAATCGATACCTGTCCTACCTGCGCACTAGCCGCGTCCACTACTTAGGGCTTAGTGAGTCCCCATCTCATGTACGGTAGGTGAAGGGGTCTCAACATGCAAAAGCCCAGGTCCGCTCAAATACATACAGGTATCCGTTCACTGGCTCTTAAGCTATACATTCATTGTATAAAAATCATACATCAAAACATGATATGTATCTGAACACAGGAAATTACGATAAGATCACTTCTTGTAGCTGATAATATCTTATAACTATCTTTTCGTCAATCGTTTAATGAAAGCGTGTACTTTCTGATTCCTGTCACATATATATGTGTCGTCCTTCACCATCCTCCTATATGTCTCCGCGTTCTCTCCACACAGCGCCTGGAACGTCTGTCTGTATGAGCGGTGCTGGATGACGTCACACAGTAGTAGTCGCACGTCTGTGCATGTGTGTGTGTGCAAATCGTTGATGACGTCAGCACAGGCGACCGCCCATACGGCCTCCTCCAAGTGAGTGTTGTGTTTTTCGTTGTGGTCGAACACGCGAACCTGGAACCCGAACAATTAACTGATAGAACAACATATACATTCCGAGGAATATAATTAACATTTATAGAAAGCATTTGATCGTTTTATATGACGGACAGGTTTATCATACGACTAAAATTCGAGACCGACATGTCATTGTAATTTCAAGCTTAATTACTGTTAAAATAAAGTATATTTTGTTCTGTTTGGAATAATGTCTTATTACAAATATTTTCCTCTCCAATCATTATTTGTCGTAATGTTATTTTCTATCTATCGTTACACTACCTCATCGTCTAGTTCGTCCGTGTATGACAGTTCATAATAGAAGCTGCCCAGCGCCAGTACAGCCAGCAGGGCGAGGCCGTGTGTCTCGCGGGCCTGTATGTGTGTCAGCAGCAGGTCCCGGGCCCGGGCCGGCAGCACGTGTGTGTGTTTGAGTGTGACGTCACAGTACCGTGTGAGTGTGTGCGCGGTCAACGTGCGTGTGTGTGTGTTGTCATCCTCCAACAGAGCCACGCATGTGCTGTACAAGGTCGCCCTCAGCTCGACTGGGGATAATGATATTATTATATTTAGTACAGAGTGATGTCAAGCAGACCCTGGCTAAAGCTGGGAAATTGCTAGGTAGAAAAGGATAGTACTGAGTGATGTTATTTTGACCATTTTTAAAATTTGTTTTCGTTAATGCTAGAAAAATGAGGGAGGACCTGGCTGATGTGAAGCTAACGAGATATTTCACCTTAAATCTCCGGATAAGCAAATAGATTTTTTCTTGATTTGTTAAAAAAATGGTGAATCAAAAACAAAAGTTGAAAATTATTTTTCTCATGTGATCTAAACTGTATTTTTCGTATTATGTTTAAGAAAAAACTATAAATTTTAAATAAAAAAAAAATGTCGTCGTACTCTCGAATCCAATACAGGATATTATATGTGTGCATTCAGAAACAAACTAGTGCGGCTAATTAAAACATGTAAGCATCTCACTCACATACCAAGAAGAGACTAGCATTAACGCAAGGGAAATATAAATTATACTCATTATGATAGTCTACTCACACTGATCTTCTTCATTCAGTTGGTCATATTGTTTGGTCATCAGTCGCTCCAGGTTCCTATGTACGAAGTCTCCGACCACGTCCCGGGTTTCCTCGCTGTTGTCTGATAAACTACACCTGAAAATAGTCCTGACCGTCTCTAATATTAAGTTCTGTTGAATACTATGTAATTTCTGTTCAAGGAACTGCGCCAATCCCTTCAGGTATATGTGTATGAAGTGTTCGTGTTCATTCTCTATGTAATTGAAGTAGTTCGTCATGATGTGTTCATCGCTGATGTCTTCCAAACCACTCTTGGTCCGTACTATATGTTCCTGTGTGTTTGGTTCCATAGTGAGGAGTATCAGACACTTCTGTACACACTCCAGATATTTATTCTTCTTCAACACTGTACACAACACGTTTATATACTCCGGGTCTGTCCTCAGCCTATCGAGAACCTTCGTGTTCCGTGTTCTATGTATGTGTTCGTGTAGAGTATTCTCCGGTTCCATCTTATCATGTATGATGAGTATGTAGTTGAGAGCCGCTAAAACAACTTCGTAAGTGTGGTGAGTGAGGCAGGCGTATAATATTCGCGAGATGTCGCCACTATCGTCGTGAGTGTTCATGATGAGCAACAAGTACCCCGCGTCCGCCAGACAAAGCTCCCGGCCCGGGTTAATAGTCCATTTGATCTCATTAAAAATCAACTTCGTCAGGCAACCCTTGATGTAACTCAGATGATTCTTTTCTATTAGTGCCGGGAATCTAAAAGTATAAAAGTAAGCTCATTATGACCTGATTCATTAATTAATGTATATTTATTTATTCTTAGTACCAAAAACAGACGTACTTCCATAGAATAATATGAATCAATTTAATGAATTCATCAATTATAACATAGCAGGGTCTTTCTGTCTCACTCTGCTCTAATATCCAAGAGCTTCTCTCTATGTGAACCATAATCCTGCGGCGCGCGTCACCTTCCATACACACGGGCTCCGGGCAGCCGTCCAGGAGCTTTATAATCTGGAAAATATCGTATATATTATATTTCCCTTACATTTATATTATTTTTTAATATTCCTGTGTATATGTTACCTGTAGTAAGGTGCCGTGTATGAAGTTCCTCTTCGCGCTCGGGTCACTCAGTGATGTGAACAGAGCTTCTAATTGTGATAAGTATCTGAAACGAAATATATAGTTTACATAGAAATATGTCTGACAACATTAAAAGAGTGATAGTTAATGAGTTTAAACAGACAGTTCTTATTGAAGCAAAGAAGCAAGATAAACAATGTAAAAAATATTAGGTTTTTAACTCGTGAGAATTTCACAACATACTAAACCTAAATTTTACTTTATAAAGAAATTATTATATAGATTATATAGACAAAGAATATAGATTATATAGACCCTGGCTAAAGCTGGGAAATTGCCAGGAAGAAGAAGAAGATAGACAAAGAATATGTAACTTACTAACTGTTTACTTAAATACCTATGTGCGTATACGGCACAAAATCAAAGATAAAAACTAAACACATTATGTTGCTGTCAACATAATGTGTCTTGTTTTGCCATTTATGAGATTGTGTAAACCTTCTCATAGACGGCGCTAATCAATATTTTATTACATATTATATCACATTCTAACAAACAAATCTTAATATATTTTGTATGGTGCATATGTCGTGTATCTCTATAATGTGTGTGATGTATATTATCAGTATACTGACTGTGTGTGTGGTATAAGCGGCGTGAGAGCGCGCGCGGCCAGCTGTCTCACGCGCAGCGACGGGCCTTGTCCGCACACCAACACGCTCGGCACGAACGATACCAACTGAAATACGAATATGATATCACTATTAAACCCATTGCTTCACTATAATAACACTCATATACAATACTATAGAAACTAAGCTAGCCGTTTAGTTAGGAGCAGTGGCGGCTGGTGGGTTATCGAATTGGTGGTGCAGTTTACTAAAATACTAAAATTACAAAAAGCAGCAAAACATCAATTGACATAAAATATGTTTATTTTTTATATATTAAATCAATGCAACGACATTTTTCTGAAGCGAAATGTTCAATCACCTTTTTTATTAAAATCGGGTATTGTTTGTATATTTTTTATACAATACTAAGCACAGAAAGTGCATTTAACAAGTGCAAGGTATTTCGGAGAAAAGTTTTGATTCTTTTCAATTCCAATTCGTCATACATCGGGTGCTCTCGGTAATCTTCGGCCGCTCGTGCGGCGCTCGAGAACCGACTCATTACTCGGTACATTTCTATAAACTATCTTTTGTTTCACGCGTCAGGCGTATTAATGCGTATCTCATACAAGATGTATTAGGAGTCCTCGTGCACTCGCCGAAGCGCACGATATTAGATTAGTAAAACGCTCAAACTTTTTGACCATAATTAGGAAATTTAATTTTTTATACGTTTTTATATGTTTTAAAAATAAATATTAAAATGGTAATTTAAAAATATAGATGAAGTAATATTTTGTAATTTTTAAATCTTTTGAATTGGTGGTTCAGCGCACGAGTGCACTTAAGGTACAGCCGCCACTGGTTAGGAGTCGTTAAAATTAAATTAGTAAGAACTTTAGCAATTCTTGTTGCCTTCTATTCTATTTGTGTTTTTTCAATCTGTAATTTTTTTAAGTTAAACTTTTCTTAACAGTTTTAACTTGTGAGAAAATTAATTATATTGAGCACGATCAAGTAATTGTGTTTGTGTGGCTCATTGTTCATTTTTCAGGAACGAAGAGTAAAGTATGAAAATTGTGTGACAACGTCCTTTCATGACATCATGATGAACTTTTAATTGTTCTTCTGACGTTTTTCCAACAAACACTATTAAGTTATAACACTAATTACATCCAAGGTTGTAACCTTTCTATTTTTATCTTTCTATCTTTCTATTTTTCTTACCGTTCTATCCTAAGTTCTAACTTATGTTCACCTTTAATATAGAGACGGATCCCTCGAGCGCGGACGGGTAGAGTCTGGCCAGTAACAGTAACACGGGGTACAGGGCCGGGTGCAGTCTGTCTACGGAGCTCGCCTCTTGTAACTTGTTCTGTAGGAGAAAACACGTCTGATTAACAAGAATATTTTGTGAAATTAAGTTTTGTGAAATTTTGTTAAGTCAGTGGTGGCCTAATGATTTTTCGTAGTTATATGTCCTTTCTGAGAGTATTTAGACACCACTGACAGACGGTGAAGGAAAACATCGTGAGGAAACCTGGACTTATAATTTCACAATTATAAGTTTGAAATCACCAACCCGTCTTGAGCAAGCGTGGTGATTAATGCATGCCCAAAGAGGGTTGATATCAGGCAGGGGGCCGGTCGCAAAAACAATTTAAAACATGTAAGGCAGACCCTGGCTAAAGCTGAGAAATTGCCAGATAGAGGAAAAATATTTTGTGAAATCAAGTCACGAACGTCTAAAGCTGTTCCTTGCAGTTATTGTATGTTTATGAATATGTTCCAACTCACCAACATAAAGTCGTACAGCAGCGGATATCTGAGGAAGAATATCCGTCCGGTCATTCTGTTCCTCACACACAGACGCTCGCTGTCTCTGGAGCGCTGCACGCCGAACACGCGCACCATGAGCGACGAGAACAACAGCGTGGCTGAGTTACGCTCCTGGAACACACGAACTCTTTTGAGATCACAAATAACTGGTATTTCAGTATAGAAGTGTAATAAATATAGTGTGTATGCTATATTATAGAATTAAGTCTAGTGTAAAGTCACTTTTATAAAACATCTCATGTATACATCCAAATATGGTGGACCGCCCATTGGCCCAAGCTTTCATTATGCTATGTTAAAATCTACTAATATTATTAAATACGACTTAAAGCTACAAAGACGTTTCTTTTCAAACCCAGTAATTAATCACATTAAAGTACATTTCAGTATCAGTTCGCGAGGAACCAAGACCTGTGTAAAGACATAATGGTTGATGTTAGGTTTAGGTTTAAAGAAGTTTATTTCCAAAAAGAACAAAGTTCGCTTACAAAGGTAATTTTAAAAACTATAACTACAAATAAAATTACAAATAATAAACAGTAGTGATATTAAACAAGATCATTGAAATCTTCTAATATATGGGTTCTTAATCGTTTTTTGAATATATTTAGAGATTTTGAATAGACAACACTTTGAGGCAAAGATTTATACAGCTATGCTATTTCAAATGAAATAGTTTTAATGCCGTACTTGGTTCGAGTTTTAGGTGTTTCTAGGTAATATCTGTTCCTTGTGTGGTAAGTAGGGGTTTTGAGAATGAGTAATGTACAATATAGTAACTCACAATCCACGCGTCACTCTCACAAGCCTGTATGGCTAACTGCAGGGCTGTCCCAGCACCTCCGCCCGCTGTTTCCGACGCTCCTCCTAGAGCCGAGCTGCGATACAGAGCGCGGAGGATGTTCATGGCGTGACAGCGAGTGGCTAAAGAATTGGAGCGAGCCGCGCGCAGCATTGAACACATGTGGCCCGGGAACGAACCCGGACAAACCTGTAGCTCTGATACTACGAGCGCCTGGAAGGGATGGGACATGTATTAGTATAGTTATCAGCCTATCAGAGTTCACCGCTGAGCTGAATATTCTCACATGGAGAAGATTTGAGCATTAATCACCACGCTTGCTCAAGACGGGTTGGTGATATCAAAACTTATAATTTGAAATTATAAGTCGTTTTCCTCACGAAGTTTTCCTTCATTTTTTATTTATTTATTTAACAATTTTTTAAACATGCCAGAAACATTTAGAACAGAAATATGACACAGGAAAAATAAGTTTAAAAGGTATACTTATCCCTAGAAGAGATTTCTTCCAGTATACCCAGGAAAGAAGAAGTGTAGACAGAGAACTTAAAAGGTGGACAGGCAAAATCGAACCCAAGGAGAAAAGATACAACAAAATCTATACATCTGTCAGTGGTGTCTAAATACTCTTAAAAAGTACGTGGGACTCAGAAAAATTCCTTTGGTATTTTACAGGTTTCGAACCCGCACCCTCATTCACGAGAGACAGGCTTTAACCTCTATGTGTCTATGTGTCTTATAGTATAACCGTTGTCCTATGTGTCCTCACCTGTATCATGAAGGGCAGGCCGGCGCTCCTCCTCGTCTCACAGACCCTGTGTGTCGCGGTTCCAGTCTGTATGTCCGTCATGAGGTCTGTCAGCCATCTCCGCGGCAGCTGATTCAGCGCCGGCTCCTGGTCGCGCCACAGACTGATCACGAACAGTGTTATAGGTACATGGGCACATCTTATATTGTTGTTTTCAATGCTCTGAGTGTTAAACTGGTGATATATATTGTCTGTTCCCTTTAATACTGAGAAAGACCTCATTGATAGTTTTATCTTATATAAACATTCACAGAATCAAAGCGAATAATAAATTTATTCAATGGAATCTACTTCCTCTTTGCCTATCATTCAGTCACAATTCAAGGATATAATCTACTTATCCTCATAAGATCTAATGGGTTCGTGGTAATAGGTTCGTGAATATTTATTGAAATAAAACTAATATACAGGGTGGGTCAAAAGTCCGGTACAATTTCGAATGGTTATAAAAAATACAAAAGACTGCTACATGCTACAGAACTTTTTTGCTCCAGCAATACAGGACTACTCTGGTTTTAATCAACGAACATGGTTTCAACAAGACGGGGCCACATGTCACACCTCCAACAACTCAATGGCAGCGGTTCGTGAAATTTTTGGGCAAAAAGTCATATCCAAAAGAGGTGACATTAACTGGCCACCCCACAGCCCACATTTGTCACCAATGGAGTTTTTCCTTTGGGGATACCTCAAAAGTAAGGTTTTTAATAACAACCCTCAGTCTATTGAAGAATTAAAAGAAAATATACGCGAGGAAATTCAGAACATTTCTCCAAACACTTGTCGGGCGGTGATGGAAAATTTCCGCTCTAGATTACAGGAGGGCCAAACTAAACAAGGGACACATTTGGACGACGCTATTGAAAAAAATAAAACCCTGATTTTTGTACTTTTACAATAAATAAACATATTTTCTGTCATATTTCTTTTGTATTTTTATAACCATTCGAAATGTTTCCGGACTTTTGGTCCAACCTGTATTTCGGATTTACCTTGAACACGGTTGCTGCAAAGCAACCGAAACGTTGTGAGTATGTTGTCAAAAATATTTATAAACTTTTAGTAAATCTAAAAATATTAGATGAGAGTTGTTATAAATGACTTGAATTAGTTTAAATCGTGATGTATTAAAACTACCTTACAAGACATGAACCTACTGAGATATGGCAAAGAAAAATAAGTTATTCATTCAACAGGAGTTGTACTTGTCACTGAAGAACTGTTTTTTATTTATTTGTACTAATATCTAAAATTCTCATTCCTAAATATGAAACCGATATAAATTGATGAAGTCTGGATCTAAGTACATCCATATTGTGATAAAAATACAATGTGTGATAGTCTAACTTGTATGAATGACATGTATATTTGTGTTCTTACCAGGCCAACATCCTACTAAACCCCACGTACACCTGCTCGAAGGCCCCGCGGTGTTTGGTGTCCGTCAACAACTGGAGGAAGGTGTCTCCGATGTTCTCCACTAGAGACACCTTGCGGCCGACTTCCATACACGACGACATTTTGGACACTATCAGGCTGAGGATCCAGGACACCTGAAAATTAAATGACGGATAGATATTTTACTTAGTGGTTTCGTTACTCAACGACTGGATCCTATGAATCAATTTCTAGTTGTTTTTTTAAGATTTGGCATTACATACTGGAGTAACTGTTGTCAAAAGGAAAGTATCTTTAAGGGTCAAAAACGATGCCTTAGATCTATTTTCAGCTTGAAGGTCACGGACAGCTGTATACCGATTTTAAAGAAATATAAGCTTTTAACATTTCCTTGTTTATATATATTTGAAATTGCAGTCTTTGTGAAAACAAATAAGCACCTTTTTCCTTCTTTAAGAGAAACCAGAAATCGCACTACAAATCTAAGGTCTCAATATCAGAACCTTTTATGTACAGGCAACTACAAAAATACATTATTAAAAATGAACATATTGGCCATGGCCCTTACTATTTATAACAAAATACCGAATGAGATAAAAGATTTAACTTATATAAAATTAAAAAAAAAATTGTTTTCCTTTCTAGTTAACAAGTGCTATTACTCAGTAAACGATTTTCTACTGGATAATTCATAATTTTGTAAGAAATTGCTGAATAAAAAATTTATAAAATATATAACTTCAATAATCTATCATTGTATCACAAATCATGGGATATATAATATAATTGCATGGTTAATTTAATTTGTAATTTTAATTGAATTGTTAATTTTAATTTATAATTTAAACCTAATATTTGCATGCCTTAGGTAGAATGTACCTGGAACTTATATTAAAATCTATTTGTACACCTATATTCTGTACCTACATTCAGAGCAAATAAATATTATTATACAGAAGGCAGGGCAGGGCACGCAAATGATATCGTAATATATATAGTGAGGGTGTTTACCTCTTTAACAGACCTCCAGGCACACAACAACACCATCTGAGCGGTCACCTCGCTACCGTCCTCCAAACGAATCTTACTGGAACATGAAAAATATTTTTTAATACTTCATCCCTACTAATAATATTATAAATGCGAAAGTAACTCTGTCTGTCTGTCTGTTACGGTTTCACGCCTAAACCACTGATCTGATTTTAATGAAATTTGGTACAGAGATGGAGTTGACCTTGAGAAAGAACATAGGATAGTTTTTATCCTAGATTTTTGAAAGGTTCTCTTGGAAACGCGATATAACCGAACTCCACGCGGTCGAAGCTGCGGGCGTAAAGCTAGTGTACATATAAACACTTGATTTAATTTGTTAAAATTCTTCCACAGGTTGGTAATAAAGTGCCTTCATTATAATAGCTATAAAGTTTGTAATGAATATCGTATATTGTATATCGTATATTGTATGTATTGGATATAATTATTGTGTGAGTTACTAACCCTCCATCAGCGTGTGGCATGTGCCCCTCGGGCGCGGCGCTGTTCAACACAGGCGCGGTGCACGCACACACGGACACACACACAGACACTAGCGACTCACACATACACGTTAGAGATGGGGACCACGAGCGTTCATCACTGGAATGGAAGAGGTTTTACTATATTACTATTTAAAATTATTAACAGCCTTAGAGATTTGCCTTATTTCCTAAATAAAATATTATTTAAATGTCCTCGCTTAAGTGCGCGGTACAAAGCCACTTTCGCAACTCCAAATCATAAAACAAATTATTATAAAAATAGTTTTATAGTAAGATCGTGTAGCAACTATAACGATAAATATAACCACATAGACTTGTTCAGCAACGGTCTCGGAAACTTTAACTCAATACTTAAAAATAATTGGATTTAATTTGTTATTAACTTTTTTTTCCTTTTTCATATTTCACATGATATAAGTTTGGTTTATATACATTTTTACACTTGTTAGGTTTTCTTTTTAATTATTACCATACATTTAATTTTACTGTTTTATCTCTTTTATATATATGTTCACTTATAGATTAATTATTTGTGGAAACTGTATTGTATTTAAGGTTTATAAGTTTTATGTAATATAAAATATGCTGTTTTTTCACTCACTTACAAATAAATAAATATACAGGGTGTATGAAAAACTGTGTCAACCCTCTTAACTACGTTATCAGTATCGATAATGTAACACAATAAAACAACTTACATTTACAAACTCTTCAATAAAAATAATAAAATTAAATATTAAATGATTATTATATGTAGAGTAACAAAATGTTTGTAAACCCTGGTATAACACGATGACACGCAATGACGTCATCACAGCTGCTGCGCTACTAGTGACGACCTTGAAGTTACTTTCACATTATTGAAAATATCGATATTTAAAAAATCATAACAATAAATAAATATTTAATATTCATATTATTTCGATACTTATTTTGATATATCAAACATTAATATTATGTTTGATTGTAAAACACCATTTTTAACAGAAATAGATTAACGATTTATCCTAATAATACAACATATGTAGTTAATTTACCTGAACAAGTTTCAAATTATAATATTTATTATTAATAAAAGTTATTTTAAATGAATTTATTTTAATGTGAAAAGCATAACTATTTATAGCAATATTGAAAATGTCGATAGAATATTTATCGATATAACTAATTTTTACACTTTCAAATCTCTATTCGAACAACTAACAGAATAGTAATAATAACGCCGGCGGCCCGGCGCGTGCGGTCAATGGTCACGCATGCGCCGTTGCGACTATACGATGTCTTGACCTTGTATGAGTCAGATGTTTGGAACATTTCTTCGAATAATGTCGATTTAAAACTTATTTGCGTATGCACTGTAACTGACGTCTGCTTGATATTTTTTAAGTTATACTATTTTTTATAATAAGTTTATACTTATATGTCTACATGCCTTCAAGGGTTGACACAGTTTTTCATATACCCTGTATAGGCATGCATGTGCAAAAACAGACTATATTTAGACTAAAAGAAATTCAAATCAACCAAATACAAAAAAAAATGTGTGTGAGCATTGAATGTATTATTGAAGGGATCAAATGAGTACACTCACAGAAGGTCTAAGGCTGTCCCCACACAATGCAGCAGGCCGTAGAGCGGAGCGTGTCTGGCGCCCAGTGCGAGGTCTGCCTCACACACAACGAGCTGATGCTGCACTTGTACTTGCAGCATTTGCAGCAACTTGGACGAAACTTCGCTTATTGATTTACTGAAAATACAGCAATATACGGCTTTATTCAGTGACAGCAATAGTTTTGTAATCATTTAAATGAAACTAATATTTTTCGGATGTACTACGCGATTTTATTTTTGATAAAAAAACTATGAACTCTCATTTCGGCTACTTTACAGCAACCGTGATCACGGTAATAAATTTGAGTAGTATATCCAAAAAATATTACTTTTGTTTAAATGAATAAGATTAGTGAAAATCTTAGACTTCATTCGTTTTGTGATGAGTCCAAAAAGGACATCGGAGTTCTATATACACCTAAGAGTTTTCAAGAGATATATTCTGAGGAAATCCTATGATGACGTAGTTCCATCGCTCCGAAAAGACAAAGATGCCCCCGAGCTAGAGTAACGACTTCAATTCCATAAGCAGTTTATGATAGGAGCACAAAGTAATAGAGTGGGTTTAGGATCAATTAGGAAAGTCCAAGATACGGATATATTGAAGTCTTTTATTTAGCTAGACGAGAATGATAAATATAAGATACATGTGAATGACTTTAGAGATGCAGAACGAGTGGTTAAACGTTAGATGTCTAAAACCAACTTTATGTGATCAATTTAGAAAGTTAATATAATTTTCTAATCATGATTTTGTCATATCAACATTAATCAAAGGTATTTTAAACAGTTTATGGAGATGTTAATGTCCGTTATGTTGGTTTAATAAAAGTCCACGACACTATTTAGAATGTAATTGCACACAGAAGAAAGTTACAAGACTGACACAGAAAGGTTAAAGTTCATAACGTGGAAATCATATCGTCGCGCGCAGACTTGACGCATACTCGCCTTGACGCATACTACGCGCTTCACCCGAGTATGATCGTGAATTAATTTTTATTATAAATAATATTATATAAAATTTTTATCCATATAATATTGAAAATACAAATGCGTAGTGTGAATGTATAGTGTGTAATATACGTAGATAAATATTAAATATAATTTTATATATCAAATATGTCGTGTAATAAATAAATATAATATAGTTACATATATAGAATGATAATACGCATACAAGTTTGTGTTCATGAAATTTATGTTTCAAGATTATTTGTTCCTATAGTGTATATAAAGAAGCCTCACCAGTCCTCGTGTATGTATTTGGTGAGTTTATTGGCCAGTAGTCTCATCTTGTAAGCCGCAGTCACACATTCAGTGGGCTTCATCGACGAAGCTTGTTTGATAACCGACACCAGATTAAGGATTGCTGCGTGTTTGTCGCTCTGAAACGGATTATTAGGCTATGTTAAGAAAGTACAGTTTTTATATTGACATGTGTATATACAGGGTGACTGGTGAATTACTATCGATATTTGAGGACGTGATATTTGACGATCTTATATGACAAAATAAAAATTAATATAACATAAATATTAATAAACTTCTAAGTAAAGTTAACCAAAAGTTATGTAATTAATTACGCATCGTATGAACACCCTACAGATTAGGTATACACACACACTCACACATACGCGCGCGGAGGCGTGTTGTTGTATCAGCACGCCGCCGCACGCGTCCACACTTGGAACACTTGGAACGTGTACACACTTTATTTATTTATACGGAAATTTGGTCAAAAATTAAGTACCTATTTTTTTTACATAATTCGAATGAGAATCATGTACCGAGTATGCTCCTTAAATATTGATAGTAATTCACCAGTCACCCTGTATATTTAGTCCAGTCAAAATAGATTATATTATGATGCCAGATTCATTAATTCTTAACAAGCTGTATGTTCGTGCAGGCCTTGAATACGTCATTAAAAATGGTATGTCAAAAGTGCCCATCCTTTCAGTACTTAAATCCATTTAAGCCTTAGCCCACGATTAATAACTACAATTTCACTTTCAATCAAAAATTCATTGCAACTAAAACGAATTTCTGACATTTTTACAACAATTTTGCAACGGAATTGTTTTAAAATAGACTATGATTCATAAACACGTCTATTCACTAAGAAAACTCGTTGAAACGTGACCGCATTTACTAGAGCTACATATGTCCTTGGGGAACAGCAAGTATGCTCTGGTTTCGACGACAACGACGATGACTCACTCATAAATGTATATTTTTCACGTACTTGTGTACATGGGGCTCATGAAACTATGTTCTAATATTTTTTGTTCAAATGATTAACCCGATGATGCATACTGGCCACGTATGAGTGCATATTCGTATGTTTAAAGTAGCCATAATTCGAAAACAGTACATCGTAGAAGAAAAAGTACTGAGATCTTTTTTGTAGACAATTTTACCATCTACAAACTTTGTTTGAACAATTTTTCGATAGCTGTCATTGTTTCAGAGATATACGCAAAAAACGTAAAGTTGTGACCTTTGACCTCGAATAAAAAACAACACACAAGCGGGATCGATGGGGTCTTTGACATATCATTTGTAAAGACATATTCAAGTCCTGAACAAAAATGCAGCTTGTTGGGAATTAATGCAAACTTGAATGTCTATTTGTATGGACTAATTGCTTTTTAAACTGTATATGAAACTGAATAGTATATATACAAGCAAATTATAATCTTACAGGTGATATAGCAGTATAACAAATTAATATACATACATATAGTTCTTCATCCGAACATCTATACAGCAGATGAAGCGCCATATCTTTGTTGGTCTCGTAACTATCACCCAGAACATCAAGCAGAAGAGACACTCGCTCAGATGATGCATTTATATCATTTGATGGAGCCACATGTCTGTAATATATGCAGTCGTAATTAAATAAAATAGAAAATGTAATAGATAAGGAAATAAAAATAGGATGATATTGATAAATGGAACGGCAAATCAATTTTAACAAATTATATTGAAATGTATATTAAATGACCCTAATGTAAATAAATGAAACAGCAGCCCCCATAGTCCTAAGAATAAAAGAGAATATAAATACACGGTTAGATAAATATCCCAGGAATGAGATGAATGAAAGAAAGAATTAGAATGCAGAATGAAAGGCCCTTACAATAGCGAGAACTGGTATGAATGTAGTTAGCAGAAAAAGACTATCAAGACCAGAAGACAGACATTTATATATCATCTGCCTGTGATCACTTGCTGAAAAGTAACCGAAACATGTAGTATGTAGTTAATGAGATCTAAGATTTTCGTAAGTTTAATTCATTTAAATGAAACTTATATTTTTCGGATATACTACGATATTTTATTTTTGATAAAAACGTTGCTGAATAGTAACCGAAACATGTAGTATGTAGTTTTTAATAAAAATAAAGTCTCGTAGTACATCCCAAAAATATTAGTTTCATTCAAATGAGTATGTAGTTTCTTTAGTAGTCGCGGTAGTCACAGATATCTTTATATTCCATCATTCTGACCTGCTTGTTTTTTCAAGCTGTAGTTTCTCTATCCAGAGTAGTATCTGTAGGGCCGCGTGTCGTCTGTAGTGGTTCCCGCCCGGTATCAAACTCTCATAACATTGTCCTGTCACTTTGTCCAGGAAAAGCCAGTAGTAATCAGTATGACGCTCTTCATTTCCTGATATATCCCTTAATAAAGTCCTGTGACTTTGCTCGAAACGCTTGAAAAACTGAAATGGAATTTGTGTAGATTGGAGTTATTTACATTTTGGAAATCGTCATCAGCCTATCAGAGTCCACTGCTGAGCTGCCTCTTCTCACATGGAGAAGGTTAGAGCATTAATCACCACGCTTGCTCAAGGCGGGTTGGTGATTTCAAACTTATAATTGTGAAAAAGTCCAGGTTTAATCACGATATTTTCCTTCACCGTATGTTATATTTTGGAAATATTAGAAACAAGAAATTAATAGACGTGATAAAAAGGAAAGGCATAATAAATAAATAATGAAGCTATAAGCCATCAGCAATCGAATTCTACGTCTCTAGAGGACGAGATTTATGGAGAAGACTAGGAAAAAGTCTCTCTAAATTCTATTTTTTCAGAGTTAAACAAAACCTTAGCTTTAGCCAACAAAGTGCTGGTAGACAAATATTTCGTTACCTTCTTCATGAGTGATAGTACTAGTGATCTGAAGTGCGGCGACTGTTCATTGATGTTGTATGAGAGGAACCACAGAATAATATCTAACTCCTCGGAACTGAACACCTCTGAAGACTTGGGAGATTGTACTATAAGAGACAGGGTCAGGAACCGGATCTAGAACACACCAGGAATTATTATTAAATCAGGATATTATTGAATACATAAATTTATAAAGCTATAGTTTTTCAAAAAGATTTAGATCAAGCTTTCTGTCACTATGGCGCTATTGCTCATCCGAGTAACAAAACTTAGTCTATGGATGGATATGCTCTATACATATATTATGACTTGTGCCTCGTGGTAGGATATTTGATCAATAAAGTTATTATTTTAAAGAAATTTGTTTGCGGATGATACATGTTTGTTCTATTTTGGTAACAAAATAAATGACATTATCACTCAAGCACAACAAGATCTAGAACTTTTACATGAATGGTTCCGCCATAACTTATTAACTGTAAATGCTTCTAAGACATGTTACATAATATTTAAACCTAAAAATAAAATAATTTTGCAACATGATCCGCTAACTATTGACAACATGGTAATCGAGCAAAAAACCTGCGAAAAATATCTTAGCTTAAGAATAGATAACCACCTTAATTTTCACAATCAAATAGACCATATTAAAGGAAAACTATCCTCTTTAATTGGGTCACTACAGAATATTTTTAGGTGCATACCACAAAAACTACACTATAGTATTTTATATACTTAACACTAAACAATATAATATTTACAACTATTTAGTTAAGTCCCATTTGTTATCTTTAATTGAAGTATGGGGTAATGCTAATAAAACAAAATTAGAAGAACTTCAAAGAAAACAAAATAAAATGATAAAAATACTCTTTAAATATCCGTTATCTACATCTAAGGTTAAAATTTTTGAAGAAACGAAGATTATGAATTTAAAACAACTTTATATATACAATTCCTGCATTCTAATAAGAAAAATTATTAATAAATCTGTACACTCTAAATTGTCATTTATGAAACAAGTCGTATGCGTAGCACCCGTCGACCTAGCTTACTAGTTCTCCCAAAGACTGGGACAAAATTTGCAAAAAAGGATATTACATCTGAGGGACAACCTTACAACAAATTACTATGTCTACTATAAGAAATGCAAGCTCAATTAACGAATTTAAATCTAAACTTTCACAACATATTTTAGAAAATAATTGATATACCAACGATGTAACACACTTATAATAATATCTTACTATCCTTAATTGATTTCCAAATAATCTGGCGACTACTTTTGTATTTTCACTTTTGTATGTATGGTCTCATGTGACTATGTCTTTTTGAGAATAAATTCTTAAAACCTAAATTTAAGAAGAGTTTTATTGGAATGCCCAAATACAATAGATATGAAGTGGACAACACTGTTCTAAGAAAAAAGGATATCTAAATTAAATGCAAGTTGCAAGGTGTAGGTGATTAAAGATGAATGATATATAAGCACTAGATGTGAAATACGACGTTGAGTCTCTTATACAATAACTTGAAAACTTGAATTCTCATCGCACGAGTAGCGTGATCAAATCGTCAATAGTTCGATGGCTCCTATGTATAAAGGCCAATGTAGCAATTTTGCCATTTTCATTTTTTTGCTTTAAACACTTCATAATAGTATTGCAGTAAAAATCATAAGTAACACACTTTTAACATACAAGTTTTTACAAAAGTTTACCAAGCTTATAAACGTACATGTATGTTATAGTTGCTATGCAAAGTTTTAAAAGCATCAGTTGTCGCATGTACAAGATACATTGAAATCAAACTTGAAACGCCTCTACTGAAAAATTGTCTTTTGCACATTGGCCCTTAAACATAGGAGCCATCGAGTTATATAAATGAAAGAAATTAATATAAACTCCTACCTGGCAATTTCCCGGCTATAGCCAGGGTCTGCCTTACATGTTGTGAATAGTTTTTGGCTAATTGTTTTTACGACCGGCCGCCTGCCTGACATCAACCCTCTTTTGGGAATCAGCATTCATCAGTGGTGTCTAATATTCTTAGAAAGTACATATGACTCAGAAAAATCACATTGGTACTTTGCCCGGGTCAGGATCGAACCCGCGACCTTGGTGACGAGAGGCGGGTCCCTTAACCATTAGGCCACCACTGACTTAAACTAATATAAACTATAATATAATGTAACTAAACTGTATATCCTGTATACCTCATCGTTAGTATGTACGGCTGTATTCCTCAGCGCCTCATACGCGATGACGTCCCTCCACCGCCCCCCTCCCTCACCCCCTGCCTTTCCCTGGCGGGCCGGCAGGTGCCCCGTCTGTCTCACCACACTCAGTAACATCAAAACACACACCAGCTCCTGGCTGTCTGGACTTTCTGATGCTTGTCGTATGTATGGCAACCTGGAAATGAGATATACAGGATGTTCTAAAAACTGTGACCTTCCTTAAATGCATGTATACATAATATGTATAAGTATAAGCTTATTATAAAAAATTGTATAACTTAAATATATCAAGCAGAGGTCAGTTACAGTGCATAGGTGAAAAAAGTTTTAAATCGACATTACTTGAAAAAAACGTTTCAAACATCTGACCCATAAAAGGTTAAGGCGCCGTATAGTCGCGCGGGCGCACGCGCGGTCATCTACCACAGGCGCCGGGCCACCGGCGTTATTATTATTATTTTGTTAGTTTTTCGAATAGAGATTTGCATGTTTAAAAATTAGGTATATCGATAAATATTCTATCGATATTTTCAATATTGCTATAAAAAGTAATGCTTTTCACATTAAAATAATTTCATTTAAAATAACTTTTATTAATCAATATTATAATTTGGAACTTCTTCAGACACATTAACTATGTTGTATTATTAGGATAAATCGTTAATGTATTTCTGTTAAAAATGGTGTTTTACAATCAAAAATAATATTAATGTTTGATATATCAAAATACGTACCGTAATAATATGAATATTAAATATTTATTTATTATTGTGATTTTTTAAATACCGATATTTTCAATAATGTGAAAGTAACTTCGAGTTCGTCACTAGTAGCGCAGCAGGTGTGATGACGTCATTGAGTCTCATCGTGTTATACCAGTGGGTACAAACATTTGGTTACTCTACGTCATATAATAATCATTTAATATTTAATTTTATTATTTTTATTGAAGAGTTTGTAAATGTAAGTTGGGTAAGGGACGAATAGGAAAGGTCAGTAAAAGGTCAGCAAAAGGGCTTAGAAAAATACTTACAAAGTCAATACACACACAAATAATATTTAAAACTAAAACGTATAAACATAACACGAGATATAAACACAAACTTGAATTACCCAAGACCAGGACCAAATATGGAATTAAAACTATACAGTTTGAGGGAGCGAAACTATATAATAGCTTACCTAATGAAGTTTTTAATGAAAAAACCTTTACGATTTTTAGAAAGAAATTATTAACTTATTGTAAAAAGCACTTAGATTAACTACTCTTGAATTGTATAAGTGGTTATAGTGCGTTTGATTTAAGCTGAGCTTTGCATTTGTATGGGTGCACACGGATAGTGTAGGTGTGATGTCAACTTTTATAGTTTTGAACCGGTTTATTCCGCTTTTACTCCGCCCCGCACCTTCCACACTTCACCTTTTGTACTGGTAGCAACGTCAAATGTTGAAAACGCAATGTCAAGTGAAGAAAAAATTGTATTATTTTTTCAAAATGTTTATTACTTAATAATTTTTTTTACCATAATATTTCCATTTGGCCTTTTACAAGTTTTGGTTATTTTATTTTTAATCTAGAAAAGATCTAGCACTTATGTTATGTATCTATTTAAAATATAATAATATTTAACTCTAAAGTTTTTTGTCTACCTCTACTTTTACTTTCACTCACACAAATCAAAGCTCAGCTTAAGTCTAACTGACTATACTACTATACTAAATTGTTAATTAAATTAAATTATGTAAAATATCTCATTTAAGTGAACTTTGTATGTTCTTTATGAGAAATAAAGTTCTTTAACCACAAAGGGCAAGCGGCTCTCTCATTCGAGCTGTAGTAACTTGATCACAGGTAGGCTCTACCACCTTGTTGCTGTGTATGTATGTATGTGTGTGTGTGTGTATGTGTGCGTGTGTGTTGTGACGTCACAATAAGGACATGCTCATACATATAGCCCACGACCCCGCCGTCCTTCTTCGCAATGAGTATCAGTAGTCCGGTGAGTATGTTGACAGGCCCCGCCCCTCCACGCACACACTGTAACACAGGCTCCACCCACTGTGTGTGTATGCTTCGAGTGTCCGTGTGTGTGTGTCGGAGAAGTGTCTCCAGTGACGTCGTTGCCTGAAAAGACAACGTAAACTTTATTGTTTGGAATGTGAGGGAACTAATTGTTGGACTTTTGTTTACAGACAAAGTCAAAGGCTATTTTTTTTAACTTATCTACCCTTCGGTACAACCCTACTCTCTATTGTGCTTAGAACCTCATCTTACAAAACATAATGGAATTTGAAGATACTGTATAATGCAATATTTTTCGAATGTATAAGGGTATCGTCAAAAAAAAAAGAAATTATATTATTTCTATAACCAAAATTAAAATATATGTCTGTATAATTCATGTTTACTTGGATACCACACGATTTCTGTGTCCAAGTCGATATCACCTACATTGACGTCATTTTGGATAAAAAATTGTGAACAGAATAGAAGCTAAAACAATTTTTTTCCATACCCTCTCCTTTGTAAAGAAAAAAATATGTTTATAATTATTATTAAAAGTTAAGGTTAAATAAAAGTATATGCTTATATTGATTTCTTTTTATCATTTGCTTCATTTAAATCAGTGATTCCCAAAGTGGTCCAGGTGGACCCCCAGGGGTCCACGGGAGACTTGCTTGGGGTCTACGTAGGCGTGAACAAAAAATGGGGGTCCACGAAAATTTATCTGCTTTTGATAGTAAAGAGCAAAAATGTAAGCATAGTTTTTATAAGGGCCTACCTACATTGTTTTAAGTACCTAACTAAGCAGATAATATTTTAATAAGGCAAGCGACTGTTACTTGTCCAAACTTGCGTATTCGATATTACATACTATTTCGTGTACAGACTTACAAAGCGCTATCCGCCCGTCAATGCTTAATGCTTGTTCAGACATGAACTTGATCACCACTATAAATACTTGATGCCAAAGGCAAACTCATTCATTTGTTTCCAAAATTTCTAAAATTTTATTTTACCTATCGGAATATAGATACAGAACTCAGAAGTGACACAATTTTTATTTTTTGGCGACTTTAAGAATGTGGTAGAAATGTAGCAGCAGGGGGTCCACCGTAACCAGTAAAATTTTGAAAGTGGTCCACGAGAAAAATAAGTTTGGGGACTACTGATTTAAATCTTCATTAACATCCTTTATGACGTAAAATAAAGCAAAAGGTATCACAGTGAGCGGTATATCTACTAGTCATTTATTGATTATAGTAATATATACTAACACTAGCTTGTACAGCTTGTATATGAAGCATATTGAGCGTGTGTTGTATGACGTCCGGCCACACGTCCAGCACACAATCGAGCCCAACCTCGTTAGTGACGGCCGTCAGGCTGAGATAGAAACTCTTACGACTCCTCTCTAGAGACGACAGGGTTGAAAACAGTTTGGACATAGCTGACTCATTACCTGGAATAAAAACATAAACAATATACAGGGTGACTGGTGAATTACTATCAATATTTAAGGAGGATACTCGGTACATGATTCTCATTCGAATTATGTAAATAAATTAGGCACTTAATTTTTGACAAAATTTCCGTATAAATAAATAAAGTGTGGAGACGTTCCAAGTGTTCCAAGTGTGGAAGCGTGCGGCGGCGTGCTGATACAACACTACGTCACCAAACGCGTATGTGTGAGTGTGTGTGTATACCTAATCTGTAGGGTGTTCACACGATGCGTAATTAATTACATAACTTTCTGTCAACTTTACTAAGAAGTTTATTAATATTTATGTTATATTAATTTTTATTTTGTCATATATGATCGTCAAATATCACGTCCTCAAGGATCGATAGTAATTCACCAGTCACCCTGTATATGTTGAAATGATTTGTTTGAAAGATTTGAATGTTCTGTACTTGTTATATAAATCAGTAGTCCTAAACTTCAAATGTGACATTGTATTAAAAACTAATTCTATTCCTACTAATATTATAAACGCGAAAGTAACTCTATCTGTCTGTCTGTCTGTTACGCTTTCACGCCTAAACCACTGAACTGATTTTAATGAAATTTAGTACGAAGAGTTGACCTTGAGAAAGAACATAGGATAGTTCTTATCCCAGACTTTTAAAAGGTTCTCTTGGAAACGCGATATAACCGAACTCCACGCGGGCGAAGCTGCGGGCGGAAAGCTAGTATAATATAATTATGTTGAAATTGTATTATACTAGCTTTCCGAATTTATTTTTTAACTAATCCTACTTTAAACGATTTTGATAAAATTTTGTATACAGGAAGCTGACGTCCAGGAATAACACATAGGCTACTTTACATACCGGAAAGTTTGGAAATCCCAGAAATCCTCGGGTAACACCGCGGGGCGCAGCTAATTCTATAAAATGTCAAGGAAAGATTTTTCTGATCTAATATTGATAATGTTAGAAAACTTACCCTCCTTCTTCAGATGAGAGCAAAATTTTATAATATTTGTGAGTATTTGAGCGCTCAGATGTTGTACGCTGTCCGTGTTGTGTTCCAGGTGAGACCACACAAATATGAACAGTCTGTCCAGCAGATAGAGTCCACATTCACCAAACACTTCCAGTCCTTTAGTGATTTGTACTATAGTACGAGAGATGCCGAGGGTAAATGTTGATTCAGAAGAATAACTGAAATGTAGAGAAAAGGATTAAAAACATGGATAACAGGGGAACTACAAATCTTTAGTTTTGTTTAATTAATTTATTGAAGTATCTCATATATGTTTAAATATATGGATGTGAGAAAATTGTGAATATGACCTCCTATAGTGTATTATTATATACACACATTAATATTAATTAATTATGACCATGATAGTGGCGAGTTATATGTTAGTTTTTTGAAATTTTTGACACTCCCCCCCCCGCCTTGGTAATGTATAACGTCGAAGTATAAAAGATTTTTTTTAATGAATTAGGGAATGATCTTCATCGTATAAAGATTACATTTAACAAATTAAATCTTATATGTATAATCTGGATTAAATGGACCAATATAGTTTTTTTGTTTCATTTAGAAAAAAATTACGTGATATTTGCCCAGACCCCCCTCTCTAACGTAAGATTAGATGAGATTTGACTCGACTCCCTCCGCCCCTTAAATATCTCACTTATTTAATGAACGCCCCTTATCAGGGAGTTTTATACAATCTGATTACTAGTAACATGGATCAAACAATAAAATTTTATTATGAACACATTTTAAACCCCCATGTTTATTTTTTCAGCTGTTTTCCTCACCTGTCTCCCAGATCCAATATATCATTAGTCAATTTGATGATGGCCGGCACACCATCAATATTTGTAATGTGTAACTTGTCCATTGACATCACAGTGGCTAAGGCCGACAACAAACTGAGCTTGCAGGAATCATTCAACAGAAACTCTTGGAGATACATAGTTTGGTTATTAGAATTCAATATCTGAAATGTAACAATTATTATCATATAGAAAACATTATTTTAACTATATAGCACATACAATTATATAAGTACTAGCTTTCCGCCCGCGGCTTCGCTTCGGTTATATCGCGTTTCCAAGAGAACTTTTCAAAAGTCTGGGATAAAAACTATCCTATGTTTTTTCTCAAGGTCAACTCTATGTCTGTACCAAATTTCATTAAAATCAGTTCAGTGGTTTAGGCGTGAAAGCGTAACAGACAGAGTTACTTTCGCATTTATAATATTACTAGGGATTTCGGAAAAAAAATAAAAAAAAATAAACTTACATCAACCCAGGAGTCATCACCATTCTCCAAAATATGCATCGTCACTAACAAAATGCCACAAACAGATTTGGTGTCCATCGGAGAATCATTGAACAGAAGATGTTTCAAACAAGACCTTATATATTTAAACATAAGGTCCATATCTATATTATCCATATCAATTTTCTGTATAACATATAGCAAGAGTCTTAGGACTGTATGACTCAGACCAAACACTTCATTTCTGCCAGTCGGAGTTAGCTTGTCGTTGCTGGAAATTAAATAGTTCAATATATTTATAATGCAACTTATATTTTTCTAAACTACATATTCCCGACGTTTTGGTTACTTTTCAGCATCCGTGATCATTAAGACGAAATGTGAATGTCTGTCAATTGGTGTTGTTATTTATAGCCTAGTTCCATATAGTTGATGATTAAAAATATATTATCATTTTTACATAGGATAAAGCTCAAATTTCATATGGAATATTTTAGTGCATATAAGTTAATTTAAAAGAATGTACCTATATGTATACTATCGATACTTGAGGACGTGATATTTGACGATCATATATGACAAAATAAAAATTAATATAACATAAATATTAATACACTTCTAAGTAAAGTTAACCAAAAGTTATGTAATTAATTACGCATCGTGTGAACACCCTACAGATTAGGTATACATCCACACTCACACATACGCGTGCGGCGGCGTAGTGTTGTATCAGCACGCCGCCGCACGCGTTCACACTTTGAACACTTGGAATGTGTCAACACTTTATTTATTTATACGGAAATTTTGTCAAAATATAAGTGCCTATTTTTTTTACATAATTCGAATGAGAATCATGTTCCGAGTATTCTCCTTAAATATTGATAGTAATTCACCAGTCACCCTGTATAAAAAATATTAGATTGTACCTCAAGGATGTCACACAACAGGCCAAGCAATTCTTGAGGAATGTCGCGAGGTTTACTTCAATATTCTTAAAAGCAACCGCACCTACAGGAAAATTCTCAATACAACATGCTATCTTAGATACAACTTTAACATAATCTGTGTAATCTTCCAGTTTTTCATTACTAAGTTGTAATAATTGTCTTGTGAGGTACTCTGTAAAAGATCCTTGAATAAAAGGATTCTTTGTGACAAATCTGTGGAACAGTTAATTAAAAAGAAATTATTAAAGCAAATAAGAAATTATTGAATTTCTTAACTATATGTACTGTAACAAGAATGTAATTATATTTTGGTAATATTTCCAACTGACAACTTAATAAACTTTAGTTTATACTAACAATTTGAACAAAAATTAAACAGTTTTTTTTATAATTTTGAAATGTCTACTAAATTGAAAGCTTTAAAACATTTATTACCTAATTTAATAAATTTTTGCATGGCTTACCTCATTATCATACACTTCACAGGATGTTTATTTTCTGCATATAAATAAGTTATTACAAGAAATTCAACAACATCATCATGATAAGACTCCTTAACATTATTGAGTAACTTTTTTACCGCTGCAACTTGTTCTTCTGCAGTCAAGTTCGGAAATGATTTACAGAGTTCATGTTTATCAACTGGAAAAAAGTGTTATATTGAAAATATAACTCACTGTAGTAAATGATTGTAATGAAGTTATTGTTTAGAATACTATTTAATTTTGTATGTATTATCGAGATGAAGAATTTGATGTGAAATATATTTTATAGTGTACATACATTTGTAAACATCTGGTATAACCACGGGTTTGAAAGACATTCCACCGGCGTTGTTTTTGCCCTCACTAGCCTTTATTCTGAGTCCGTAGGAGTTCATTTTCTCTCGTTTTGAATGCTGTTTCTTTTATATTATAAGTAAAATTAATGTTTTTTAAACTCATATAGCGAACTACAATTGCACGAGTTAAATACAAAGAAAGTAATATGTTAAACAAAGTTAGGTTGTAATTTCACTTTCGTTTTGTTAGATTTATTTATGAATTATTATTTTTTTAGTTCATAACCAATTCGGAAATTTGTAACCAATTCATATTTGAACACATTACAAACTTACACCTAGAGGTAGTCAATGTCAAACTGACAATTATTATTTGACATATAAAACTTATTAAACTAAATAAACATTTAAGCAGATACAAACCATTTTATCACAGACTTTTGGATAATAAGATAATAAGATTCAGATTCAATTGATTTTTTTAAAATTTAAAGTTAAAGTTAAACTAAATTTAAATTCTAAGGTATAAATAATGTACTTTAATATTCTCTGTATTACACTAGAAACTAAATCGATCTTTTAATATTATTATATTCAAAGAAATATATATATATAAGAAATATTATCAAGGGCATTCAAAGCAATCCACAATTTGTTTCTCTGAAAATACAAAGCAACGACATTAAAGTCCACTAATATCGCCTCCTCGATTATGTCCCTTAGTTTATCTCTCTACACGTTTTAATAATCATAAGTGCACAAAAACTTAAACGCGCGGCAAATTTGAATTTAATAAAATGTCATTTCATTACATGTAAATTTAAATTATTCACTCTTAAGCTAAAACAATTATGTTTATAGAAATTGATTTTTATTATCATTACATACACAATTATATTTTTTAATAATATCGATTGTACACACGAAAGAAATTTCTGATCAATCTTTTTATTAGCGTTTTATAAAAATGTACTTATTGATATGGGTCCGATACAAAATCAATCCTACATAATATATAAATAGGCATAATTGATAATAATTTTATGCGTAAAATTTACTAAGACGTTGAAGACATGGTAATGTACCATGTTACAAATAAAAGATAAATCAATTATCAATCCTTTTCGAGTGAAAACTAAAATAAATGAAATTGACAAAGTGAATACATAAAACAAAAAATCTTTCGTATTATTATAATATGTAACACCCCATACAAAATAATAAAAAAATACTAAGGGCGCATGATTGGTGAATCCGGTTGCGGTTATAAGCCAAGATAAGAATAACCTAAATGTTATTTTAGTTGCTCTGTGATAAAAACTGTTTCCTTTCTCTGAGGAATGGCACCTTCTTTGTGGTTCTTTTTGTAGAACATATATTTTATGTATTTAAAGTGTCCTAAATGTAAATGTAATAGTGACACCAAAATTCAGTTTCAATGACAATTTCTCTTGTGGTTTTTCACTATGCTTTTTTATATCAACAGATAGGTAAAACATATGATTATTAATTTGGTATCTAGTTTTAAATCGTTACTTATAATATATACTTTCAATGTGGGAATTGGTTGATAAACGGTTTTTAATATTTTTTCTTGTAAATATATTTGTTATTAAAAAAATAATTATAATAGTGTCTTATATTGAATTTGTGTATGAATGTTTATGTCTTTACTCTTTACGTAATTATGACAAAACGGATTTTAAGAAACTTTATAGTTATGTTGTTCACTTATTAAAATATGTAATAAAAAACAACATATAAAAAGTCACTTCATTTATTTCTTTAATAAATGAAATATTATCGGTTTATTTACATAAATACTTAAATAAATAATTTGTTTAAACTAATCAGTTGTATCACACTGCTCAATCAGTCTTATCAGAAATCGATGGGACGTTTTCTTCCGCAACCTTCTCAGCGATTTCCTTCTCACTTTTAGCGGGAATAACTTCTTGTTGGATTCCTTCCGATTCGGGTAATCCTCCTACCCTGCCACTGAACTTATTATCGCCTAAAAATAATAATAATTTGATTAAAATAAGTTCATTAAATTTGTTATTTCAGACACAACATAATTAGTAATACAACACAATCTATGAATAATGTTAAAAGTACATGTATATAATCTGTTAAACACAGCTTAAAAACATAGAATCTAGTGACACATCCCTACTAATATTATAAATGCGAAAGTAACTCTGTCTGTCTGTCTGTCTGTCTGTCTGCTACGCTTTCACGCCTAAACCACTGAACTGATTTTAATGAAATTCGGTACAGAGATAGAGTTGACCTTGAGAAAGAACATAGGATAGTTTTTATTCCAGACTTTTGAAAGGTTCTCTTGGAAACGCGATATAACCGAACTCCACGCGGCGAAGCTGCGGGCGGAAAGCTAGTATTTTTTATAAAAAACATATTCTTTCGTACAATATTATTATCGTTCAAGTCACGTACATATAATTGTTATTTACTAAATCTACTCACTTTTTGTAATACTTAAAACAAATACAGATCTAAAACATTATTTTTTTTAGTAAAAAACACTACGTGTATATGTAAACACCTAAAACACAGATACACACATAAATCTCCCCGACACAACATACATGGTTAAACACATGACCCGACACACTTGTGGCGAGTCAATGCTAATTTATTTGGCACATTGAAAGCGTGGCGAACCCTTTCCAATACCTGAATGTTTGTGCCTAACGTGTTTATGGCGCTGTTAACGGCTGTGGATATGTTGCCAGTCGTGCCGTTTATTACAGCCCCTATGGAACCTATAAGACCGCTTACAAAATTTCCCCAAGCCACGACTATGGAAAAATATTGTATAAAAATATATTTATGTATATTGAAATAAAGTTTGCCTACATCTAATATAATTATAGAAAGTATCATACTAACTTTGTTGGTTGCTGCCGCCGCCATGGCCTTTGGTTTCAACATTGTTGTCTATGTGATCTTCTTTGATTTCTTCATTTCTTGGAGTGTCAGCGCTAGGATTCTGTATTCTTTGAACGGCGCTTTGGATTCCTTTTATGATAGGATTATTTTGTACTAGTTGCTGGATAGGTCCTGCTGAAGGCACAGCCGGCTGTACGGGTTGGGCTTTAACTGGCTCTGCTGCAGCGGGAGCTGGGTTTACAGGTGCTGGGTTTGCTGGTGCTGGGTTTGCAGGTGCTGGGTTTGCCAGAGCTGGGTTTGCTGGGACGTCGTTACTCGCTTCAGGCACGGCGCTTTGTGAGCCTTTGTTAGGGTTTGCAGCTGGAGCTGGCTGCTGAGTTTGCTGTGCATTATTTTGACCAGGTCCGATGAACTGGACTATGTTTTGAATGGCCTGTGTAATGGGTCCAGGGCTAGCTGGTTGTGGTTGGTTCTGCTGCTGATTTTGTTGTGGGTTAATCAAATTTTGGAATGAATTCTGTACTTGTTGGAATATCGCTCCAGGGCTCCACGGAGCCGGTGACGGTGCAGGTGGAGCTGGGACGACGTCGCTCTGTGCGCCGGCTGGTGGGGCCGGCGATGAGTTGGCAGTAGATGAAGCTTGACCTTGGGCTGAATTAGACCCGGTAATTCCATTCCAGAAGTTTACAAATGGGCCGACAACTGTGGATTGCGGGCTAGAGGATTGTCCGCTGCCAGACAAGGTACTCTGGACGGCGTTGTTAATGTTAGTAAACGCATTAAGGATACCCTGTTGGAACCCTTGTATAAAACTTAGAACGGGTTGTGTGATTTGTGAAGGATTTGTAACTGGAAGGCCGGCTGGAACTGCGGGACTCTGAGATGCAGGTGCATCCGAAACTGGACTCGCGGCTTGCTCGACGACGGCCTCTTCCCTCGCAGCCTCATCCTCTTCTCTCAATATCGTCAGTACTTCCACTCCTTCGGTCAAAGTATCAACACCTGATTTAAAATTATTTTCCAAGTTTCTGAGCCCAGACTCGACAATTTCTAAATTTGGATTAGGGTTTAAATAGGATCTGATGGTTGTGTTAAGTTTTTCGATTTGACTCGTGAAGGTCTGTCTTAAGTTCTGGATGTTCTGTTGAATGGCTGGCAAGTCTTCGTTTTCGGCGAACAGAGTTTTGAAACTGTTTGAGACACTTTTGAGTCCCTCGTTGAAAATGTTCTGAGTCTCATCCATACTTTGTCTAATAGCGAATATCGCTTTTTCCTTATCGCCGTAACTCTCCGGGTTCTGTGTCTCATGTTCCTGTCGCTGTGGAGCTCCTGGATTTTGGAGGTCGATTTCTAGCCTTTTAATATTGGTGTTGTCATTCTCGCTGGGGATATAATCGTTGGAGTTCTCGTCTAATATCACATTGGACTCTTGAACAACTTTGACCGGTATGTCAACAACGTTTTTCCTCAGGTTATTGTCGAGTTCCAGCACGCTGGGTTGTTCCAGGTCCGTTTCAGAGTCGAGGTCAACGTTATCTAGATCGTCGAGTTTTTTCTCCGGCACGTTAATGGAGGCTGCGCGCGCCTGGTGCAGACACACGCACAGGGCCAGTATACACGCGTGTAATCTCATTGCGACTCGTCTCAGAACACTGGCGTCGCTCGTGAGCCGCTTACCTTTATAGTGAGCCTAACGGTCTCCGTACGGCTGGCTGTGATGTTGACGCTAAATGTTTGTGGCATTATTTATGATCTGAACTCGTGCTTTACCGCGACTTTACTTTCGATGCACATTATTATTATCATATTTATTTCAATGTTATCGTGTATATAATGTGGTTTTATATATTATGTTTCATTGTAACATAAATTAATAATATATTTTTAAGAGGAAAATGTATCATATGTTTCAAGGTAAATATTATGTTTCTTAGTATTTTTATATTTTGAATATATATGAAGGAGAAATATATTTTCAAGAATTTAAATTTATGAACCAATACTAACATAAGTTGGTGTTTAACCTTTTGTACATACAATAATTTAAATCAAACGGCTACATATAATTATGTGTTAAATGTTAAACAGTTAACGGTTGTAGGTATTAAAGTTTAATGTTAATTATTATCTAGGTTTTTGGTTCTACTTTATGTTTTTCAACTTTCCCCCGAAGCCTCGAGGCTTTATAGACTTATGATCGTATCAGAACCATAAAAATAGTGTTACCTACACTTTTTTTTGTTTCCGATTTAAAAATGGCAGCAAAATGAAACTGTAAAATTATTGACATTATCGTTTAGAAAGATTAATATTATTTATTTATAAATAGATAAAGTATGTAATGTATTATTGTTTTGTACAGAGCGATGTTTGGGGTCAGGTGTTGTAGGAAAGTGTTCTCGTATTCATTACAAGAGAGAGATGTGAAGTGATTCTAGTGTAGTGCGGATGTTCACGGCATTGTAAACAGTACACATTTAACATATAACTTTGTAGTTTAGACGTTCTTCTTAACCTAAGAAATATTAAAATTATATTTGCCAATAATATATCAAACCACAATCATTAGGGAGTAACAAAGTAATTGAAACAGGATCAAATTAATAAAATACACCGAGGTTGACTTAAAAATATATATTTGAAGAACTTCTTAAATGTTTAAGCACTTACATCTCGTCTGCCAGTTATCACGATCTGTGCAAAGCTTGAGTAAAATGTATTTTTATCCTTATAATAAAATGCGACATGTATCCGTATAGTATAATCTTATTAAACTTTTGGAGATCCTCTTATAATATATTATTAAAATCATAGTTCAAGCATTATTTAGTTCTCATCTAATTTATATAAAAGATACATCATTCATCGTAACTTTTTACAAGTATTTACTTCAAGAATTAAATTATTGGAGATATATACAACTTAATCCCTTTTATATAAGAACAACTCTCAAACCTTTTCTGAACTGAATCGATGTAAAATTTTAAATTCCATATATAAAATAAGATAAAAACTCACATATTTTATGAAACAAGCAAAAAACAAGATTACGTTTTATTACAACATTTTATGAACGGTTTATTGAACTTGGCCGAAAACTTTAAAAACGCTTCGAATTCAAATTATTCTTTAATTTTAATAATATATAAATATTTATTTAAATTAATGTATTAGAACTGTTATGTATGGAAATGTCCGCGTCTCGAGTCGACGAGGAGATCGAACCGTTATGTTAATATTAACTTCTAACTAATCGTTTCAAATATTTGATCAAGAATTAAGAATTCTTTTAAACAATCATCAGTGTCTATACTTCTAGGATACTGGAGTAGAAATTCTGAGACCGATTTAATCTTCCCTGGAACACGATGAACACACACAATGATAAGATTTATAAATGGCATCAGATTGTGTAAATATGAATTTCAAATAATGCTGTTGTTTGTTTACGCCAAATATAATATAACTTTAATATATTAACAAATGTTAATTAATAAAATGACAGCTTTTACAAGCAATAAGCAAGGTTTTGTTTATGTTTATAACCTGTTATATAGAGCTATTAAAATAAGTACTTAAAGGCCTCTTCACGAATGAATAACAATGTTTGTAGGTAGGTACATAATTTGCTGTGTATAACAAAATAAAAGTAATATAATTAAGATGAGTGAAAAATCTTTAAATAATGCTATAAATAATTATGAAAAAATGTCTTTGTAAATGGTTATTTTAAGGCCTCGGCCTCGAATCTCGCGGGTAGCGGGGCGGCAGCGGCAGCGGCGCGCCAATGGGGTGGGCAACGCATACCTGTTCTCGAAACTAGCGGGCAGATCGCGCGGCACTATAGCGGTGTAGTGTTGTGTTCGTGGTTGTGTTGTCGAGATATTTGTTTTATTCGCGAACAAAATGTCTGAAAAACGGCGACATCTTTATGATTCGAAATCATTCCTAATGCTCGATTTATTGTGGGCAAAAGAAGAAGTGGATCCCTACTATAGGGCAAGGAAAATAAATGGCGAGTTTTATCGAAACTATGAAGAACAGAGACAAAATCCCGACAGATTCTACGACTACACCAGAATGAGTGTAGAAACATTTGACTATATTCTTGAAACTATCAAGAGTGATTTAGAGTCTGGAATTAATTCAAAACGATTTAGATCTATATCTTTTAGAAATTGTGTTGCACTAATTTAGTAAATCAGTGTAAACTCTATATAACGACAACAATTAAGTAATAAAAAATACCTTTTAAGTGGCTAAAATTAGTAAAAACTGCGCAGCTGTGTACGCTCTTTTGTCGCTTTGTTATCCTAACCCGCAATAAACTCGACAGTCATACCGAACTTTCTAAGAAATTTGTTCTTTTGTTTACAATTACAAATTGCTTACACGTGAAAAATTCGAAGAATATTTTGTAAATAATCGCATTAGTTACTAATTAATTTGTAAAAGATAATAAATATTGTATTTGACATAATAAATCATTATTATATTTACCTTCAATATTCAGTTCGTTTTTTATTTCTTCCCATAATTGGTTAATTCATCTTCTATTTTTATGGTTCACATCTTTGCTGTTCTATAAGGGTGTCCTCTCAAAGATTCCCGAAATAATTTGCTCTCGCACGTCCGAATACATTTTGATACGTCACAAAAAAAAATTACAACACTACAATGCAGACGCGCAACGCGGGCGGTCACCGCTTCACTGGAGTGCACCCGTGCACCGCTCGTTGCCCGCCCCCGCCCTGCTCCTGCACCGCTGTATTCGAGGGTCGGTCCATTTGATTATACGCGTATGATCTTGCCGCTCCCGCTGCCGCTCCGCTGCCCGCAAAATTCGAGGCCGAGGCCTAACAGTAGTAAGTTAGTAACAGGACAGTTGTATGTTTACGAAAATAACAGTATTTTTCTAATTCTATCTGTTCTGTCACTGTGACTTGAATCAATGTTTATGTATCCTCTATAAAGCATTCCAGCAAAATAACTCTTAACAACACGGCAAGCCATAATAATGTAGATATATAAATACGATCAAAGAAGTTGCTACTAGGAAAATTTATTATTATATAGGAATAGGTTCAGAGATCGCCGTAAATATTATTATAAAAAGCAACGTTAATACTATATTATAAATAAATATCAATACAATATAATGTAAGTTAGATTTTGTAAATATTACATATTAAAATAAATTTGTTACGATGGTACAAGTTATTTGATGTCCAGATTAAGTTTGGAACTGTATTTATTTATTTTTAATTTAGATATCAAATCTTTCGCGCCATCGTGTGCATAACCACCGAAATTGTATGGGTTACCTATAATCCATAAATAAGAAAAGATGTTCCATTACGCCCAATAAATTTGTTAAATAAAGTCTACATATTGGTATCAATGTTACTGGGTTAATCATTTGAATTGAACCGATCTAGATTATTAGGATGTAGTGAGCGTTCGACCCAGACGCATGTAGATTCTGCAAGATCCCAGCTGGCCTACTTTATGAGAAATATTACCTCTACAAACACACAGACAGACACACAATGTGTGAACAACACATGGTTCTTAATTAGTTTTAGAATAAGTACGAATATTTAAAAATTCAAGAGGTTCTGGCTTCCATTGCTTGGTTACAATGTAATGTAAGCTTTGGACAGCCGTTAGAAACAAGTTGAAATACAAGTAGTAGTTAAATGGTGAAACAGAATTATCGTTGATTTTTTATGCAAATGGCATTTTGAACTTAATGTAATCGTTCTGGAACATGCTTATTACATATGAATTAATAAAATATTCGAAGGATTTTGTGAAGGTTGTCATTCTACAAAAATTTAAAAGCTGTTACATGAACACACAGAATTAAATCTTCAAACCTTTCTTATAAATTTATCTCTAGTAGACTAGTTGTCATTGAATATGTTGTGCTTGTATTTCTTTTCTGCATTTATATAAGCAACACATTTATTTTTAATTTTTCTAAAACTTCCATCTCTTTAAACCAGTCCTGCTTACATGTTATTGTAAACTATACATACTGACATTCAGTTTTGAATAATTATTTGGTAGAAAACTCTTTTAATACTGAGATAATATGGAGATTTTAAATTCAAAATAATATTTTGTATTTATTTCTTATTCTTAGAAAGGCTGCGGGAATTCTTTACACGTACATAAAAATCAAAGGTGAGTTATTAAAATGAGTAGTTTTAGCAATTAAAACATTTAAGTTTACCCAGCGAGTTGTAACATAACTTAGAACAAACAGACGGACAGACCGACGATTGTAGATATATTATATGTATATTTCCTTTATATTAAGTATAAATTAAGATTTTTCTTACCAACCCGTCAAGTCGCCTTTGTACTATGACAGTAAATGTAACATTTTAAAACTATTTCATTTAATGCTTTTAGATTCAAAACATCGATTTTCATTATATTTATTGTATGATAGATTTAAAATATAATTACAGTGCCTTCAAAGCCCAGTGTTTTGTGAGGAAGAGTAAAAGCTGGTTGTACGGGCGACAGCAGACGTGCGCTTTTATCGGTCGTTGACCCCGACCACTCGTTAAACTTGATTGTACCGTTATCAATAAAATTGGGACAGCTTTTTATTTTTACCTGCTTATTAATAAACACGATATTTAAGTTCATAATTATATTTAAGTCTTTTATTATTATCGCGGTCTTAAAATTTATCCTACAGCCAGTTCAGATTACATATTTTTAAGAGAAATAAAAGAGTACCTCCATTTTGGTGTAATATTTTATTTATTTTCACATTCAATTAAAAATAAGAATACGGAAAATATATCTCTTGAATGTTGTCTCAAATGCCTTTATAAACGAAATTAAAAAATTGTAACTAGGGAACCCCTTTATATGTATATATTTTTAAAAGATTAACGAAAAACTAAGTAAATTGGAAACCAAATATTTAATGTTCATAATGCGAAACCTCGGTTTGATTGCATTATTATTCGATTTGAAGGTACTGGTGAATATTTTCTTATATTCTATGTATTCATTGTTCAACGTATAAAAACTTGTCAATGAAAACAAAACAACTGTTACTCATACTATATTAATAGAAAGAAATAAAAATGCTCTGATGTCTTTTACTGTAATGACACATGTTTAAGTACATTTTACTATATGTGTATTGAAGAAATGTAAGCTTAAACACCTCTATTCCTGAGATAGCTTTTTATCCTTAAAGCTTAGATTCGCGATAAGTACATAGACTTGTCTAAACCGGTCACTCAGGTATGAGAGGGGGGAAGATGTTAAGGGGTAGGGAGGTAGAGGGGGGGGAGAACAGACAGGGTAACATAATATAAACAGTACATAATACATTAAATAACATATCAAGATATGAAAGACGTAATGATATTATGGACACGTAAGTAGTGTAAATTGTGTCGTATAAATGAATTATAATAAGAATGAACATCAATAAATTGAGGAGTGTCTGCGGAAATAAGATGAAAGTATTGGTATTAATAAAAATACAATATTATTAGCTAAATATTTTTATATAGAACTGATGTTAAAGATAAATACAATAGCAAACTTTAAGCAGATTATAGGTCGTAATATTGATGTTAAAATAAATGTTATTTAGTGTTAGAATCTTGTTAATAACATTCCTAGATGTTCGTGTACTTCATGTATAAAGGTGCTGATGTTGTAGGAGATGTTCGATGTAAATTAATCAAGTATTGAGCTGAGACGAGCATCCAACAATTACTAGTGTATGGTTTGACATTGCGAAGAAGCCAGCTAAGACATTCATCACAACCTGTTTCAAACACATCAATCAAAACAGAATAAAATGAGTTTACGTGATAAAACTCGATTCTCTTATTCTACAGGTGCTTATAATATATGCATGTATGAATAAATAGATTGAGGATCCTTACTCCAAGTTTGCATCATACTACACGCGAGTGTCAACAGTTATTCATTCATTAATCTTCACACATGCTATTGATATATTGGTTATTAAATGAAAAACGGAAAACGTTTAGTATGTAGTATGACGATGCAAAATATGGTAATTGCACTAATCGCTAAAGTTAAAAGAGTTCTAATTTTCGTTGCCTTATTAATAAAAAATAACTTTATCCATTTGTATTTCTTTTAAAGAAAGTATTTATGTTTTCGTATGAATTTGTTCTCACATTTATAATTACAACATGTACTATTGAAAACAAAACTAATTATTATGGTTTTATTATTTAAATTGTTATAAAGAGACTCGTTTGTTTCTCAAATTACTTAGTGTTTAGAATTTGCCTCAACAAGTGATGTTTTGGTAGAAGATGACTTTCATTGTCATGTTTTTGTCAGACAAGTGTTAAGTTTAATGGGCACTAATGGTTTAAACACTACCTACAAACACACAGTATTGTGAGTGCACGGACCTTCACAAAAGAAATTCATACTTTCACTCTTTGTGACTTACATCTGGAACAAAGTAAATAAAAAATATTGTCACAGCTTGACACTTTGTGAAAGTTACCTATTTTGGTTGATTTACTTTTATCCATTCGCAAATGTGAGTTTTGAAGCAGATTCAAAGGTTTAAATTTCATTAATAAACACTTGTTTTATTTTAGCTCTTTCTCCAACAGTTGACCATCAATAACATCTCTACCATCTCATGTGTTTGATGTTTTTACTGCACTTAAACAGCCCAGGACTTACCTATACATTAACTAGCTATTGTAACACCAAAGCGGTGACTGTAATTAACTTTTAATATTATTTTATAGAAAAAACTAAATGCAGTTACAATTTCGAATTTCGATGATTTGCAGTGAATGCTAATCCAATTATTTCTCACAATGGCGATAGGATAATCGTTAGTAGTTTTGATAGATAAGTCGTCAGGTATATATATTGGGTCACCTTGCATATTTTCTGGGTGTCCCGACTCTAAACCATTACAATCATCGCATCGGCTGGGTTACCAAGTCATGCACTTTTCCAAAGTTGCAAAGGTTTTGTTTAAGTGGGTTTCGCGTTACCAAATTAAACCAATGAAATATAAAATAACTGCTGTTTATTAAATGCATATTCTGTTTACACGGTATATACATGTACAAATATTACATTTATTTTATTACTGTTTGTCTAACTGGGGGTTAGTTTCGTATTATCTTTGAAACAGCTAGACTGATTTAAACGGACCTGATAATGGATAATAGCCATTGTTTTATAAACATAGTACATGTAACATGGGATATTTTTTTTTAGAAAAATAACACTAAATAATAGCGGACATAAGTATTCAATAAATAAATTATATTATGTACTTATAAAGTAACAAACTATTCTTAGAATTTAAGTATTTTCGTTTTATCATATAGGTCTCTGATCATCAATCTAATACCTTTTTTACAAGTAAGAGATTCGACAGAATTTGGCCAATTTTAAATTAAATTTTAATCGATATTGCTTGGCAATAATATTTATGGTGGTAACGTATTGAGTAGGTAGTTGTTCCTATGTGATTGTAACTTTGTTCTAGACGGTTCTCCTTCGATCTTTACCGACGGTGCTGCAGAAACTAAATGATAATATTACTGCGAGAACCTGAAACAAAATGTTTGTATATTATATATTTTTAAGACTGAAAACAAACAAAAGTCCTTATTTTTCACAGAATTAACGTATTTGAATAAATTATTAAGGCATTTTTCTTGAAACTTAATGTTATTTTAATGAATGGTAGAGATCTAATAATATTTTATTTTTGTTATCACTTCTCACGCTAAAATTGTTGTTCTGAGCCCTACCAATAAGATACATTTATTTTTTTTACCTCAATAGCCACAATCACAGCTACGATGATTCCGATGACTTCACCATAAACCTCGAAGAAGTCAGCTACAACCTTGTTGCAGCCTTCGAAGGCTGATGAAGCTACGCAGGTCTGCTCGCTAGATGGGCAGCAAGATGGCGGGAGGGTCCCAGGGTAGGAGTTTGGACCCGTTGTTCCACAGCATTGGAACTGACAAATAAATACTCAATTTAAAATCAGGCTGTAGTTTACTGCTTACATATCAAAACATTGACAAATAGCTCTGAATTTAATAGATTTTAACACAATTGACACATATTAAATTTATTTATAATTAATTATTGTTACATAAGTATTAGCTTTTCTATTTGTTGTATATTAATTCTATTATAGAATATTTCACAAAATATTGTGAAAAAAATTATTGTAAAGTATTTTGGAATAGATAGCTAAAATTACACTACTTAAATACGTTTTAGAGAATTACCGATATTTAAAAGAAGAATTTGAAAAAGCTATGATGTAAATTAAAATAAGACTTATAGACCGGGCGCTAGAGGTAAGTGAGTATGCAAAATGTGAGTACCAAATTTCGCCAACGGATTTAAGTGAGGAAAAGGTCAAAGAATAATAATGTGGATCTTGCCGGTCAATTTTTTGGTCCATTTTTTTTTTACCCCCTCTTCTCTTATTAATAAAGGGAATGTATTTAGTACATGATGTATAATCGCTTTAATGATTATTTTCGTAATAATTTATAGTATTGTCTCGTGTTATAAGTGAAGATGGATTCTTAAATAATAAAAAAAAAAACAAAAATTACAGTAATAAATTTTTTTATTGATAAAAAAATGAAAGTTATATATGAAAACCAGCTAATTAAAGCATAAATGTAGTTAAAGAAGGTAAAAAATTAATTATTTTTATTTTCACATTTGTTATTGATGCATTTACATAATGAAATACAAAACAATTCCGTTTTTTTGCAATTACAAGACATTGTGCGACAACTTGAAGTACATTTACATGGTGGAATTAATGACTCTGGTAAAGACGGCTTCGTCATTTGTCGTGGTCGTATGTCACCGTTGAGCTTTTCGTAACCAAATGAACAATAATAATCAATGGGTAGTAATTGTGTTTGGTAGTGATTTCACTACACGATTTTCAATCACTGCACCCTCAATATTTGTAAGTTTTTGAGTCTTTGAGCTAAGAAACGCACTTCAAAAGAATGTGTTGGTAACCGGTCTTTAATTTCATCTATTAGTTTGTCAAATGCATCGATAAGTATTTCTTTAGGGATTTGACTTGAAGGTCGACCAGCTGGCAATTCAGAACTTCTCGGTAATCTTAAATAATCAAGGTAACAATGTTTGTGATATCTCACTCCGATAGCAAATAAATCTTCAGGTCGTTGACAAGTACTCAGTTCAGTAAAAACATGATCTTCTTTCCTACGTGCAGTACTAAAATTTTTTTCCTCTGCTGAAATTTCCGAACATAAATGTAGCTGCTTATCTTTGTTTCTTGTTACCTTCTTACAAAATATGCATTTCAACGATTTTTTCAACGCTGCCCGTGATGACGAACGAGATTTTGGAGTCAGCTCCTCCACGTTTGCTTTGGAAATTGAAGCAGACACTTCTTCTTCTTCTTTTTTATGCAACGCAATTTCTCGACGCCTTATTTTCTCCTCACTTGTATAAGTGGCTAAACAGTCTTGATGCCATGAAAATTCTTGTTTTGTGGAGTCTGGATCATATAGTTTTGCAAACTTCTCACTAATGCTGTCCTTTCTCCTATTTGCTGCTTCTTTGATATGAAGCGACGTACTCGGCCTTGGGTTATTCACTAAACTTCACTTGAATTATCCCAGAATAAGCAAAATTGTTCGTTAGGTTTTTTTCTTTTCAAATTAACCACTTCTAACGACATTTTTTACGTTTTTCAATACAGTACACTTTGAAAAGACACTAAGAATTTACGAAAATACTATTATTTTATATGATATATAAAAAAACGACTTAAAAATGCAACGTCTGTACGTCAATAGATGTAGAAACACCCTAAACAAGTGAGCGCGCTATGCTTACTGTATGGGCGGAGAGGAGATGTGAAGGGAGCAAGAAGGGACCATAACACCTGGCGGCAAGATGTGTTTTGTCATTATATAGGGTCTCAGCTATAAGAATCCGGTCACAGTTGCCGTCACTCGGATTTTGCATACTCAACTACCTCTAGCGCCTGGACTATTAAATATACTTTGAGAAATAGTAGCTGTTGGTTCATTAGGAAAACATAACTTACCGTGGATAAAAAGGAGGTTAAAAAAAATTGAGGTAAATGATAATAAGACTTAAATATACTTTGAGAAATAGTATCTGTTGGTTCATTTAGAAAATATAACTTACCGTGGATTGCATAACATAGAACTGTTCCCTGATCTCCAGCCTGCTGAAGGCTTCCTCCAGCCACTCCTTCACCAGGTCCTTGATGTCGCTGAGATTTCTGAACACAACCACCACCACGAATAGCTTGGCTGCAGCCAACGCTATCATGCATATAGCGTACTGCAAAGATATTCAATATTCATCACATACTATACGAGTTTATAATAATAATAAGTGGCCTAAGATAAATTATTTATGTGAGTTTGTGATTATAACCAAAAAAGGCATTAATATTTTAAGTAATCTTCATTTAATTTTAAGTAGCACTCTAATGCTAGTAAGTCAATGAAGGCCTTAAAATTATTCTGTGTTGAATTTAACTCTGTTGTGTCTTTTTGGATCAAATTTTAAACAGTAAGTAAATGTTATGTTAAAAATTATTATCATTCAATTTCTGTTATTTTTAATACGGAAACGGATCTTGTTTGTGTTTCAAATAATTGATTATATCCTTATCTTGATAAAGTTATAGTTTGTTTAAATGATTTGTTTTGTTATCAATAAAATAATTTTATAATCCACATTTCCGGAAATTGAATTGTTACTATTGATATTGTATAAATATGGCCATGCAAAGTGATCTTTTTATTGATAATAACTGTAAAATTTGTTGATTTCAACATTACTGTAAAATACACATAATACGTGTATACGCGGTATAATTTAAAAACATATACAAATATATACATATGTATATTTTTTTTCTCTAAATATTTGAACTGGCAGAAACGATTTTGTGCAACGTATCGAAATATTAAGACAACAATAAGTATTTATATACATATAATCCAAAAATGCCTTTGAAATCTAGTTAGTGAATTAAGCTCCTAAATTTTCCGTAATTGAATTGGACTAGTGACTATCTTTACTACGAGTTAACATTAGTCAAATCTTTTTCTTCCTGGAAATTTCCCAGCTTTAGCCAGGGTCTGCCAAGTTGTATATAGTTTTGGGTAATTGTTTTTACAGCCGGCCGTCTGCCTGACATCAACCCTCTTTGGGAATGCATTAATCACCACGCCTGCTCAAGACGAGTTGGTGATTTCAAACTTATAGTTGTTAAATTAAAAGTCCAGGTTTCTCACGATGTTTTCCTTCACCGTCTGTCAGTGATGCTAAATACTCTTAGAAAGTACATATGACTCGGAAAAATCACTTTGGTACTTGCTAGGAACGAAACCGCGTCCTCATGCATGAGAGGCGGGCCTTTAACCACTAGGCCACCACTGATAGCCTGACTTGAAATACGGAGTATTTCACGTTTTTATTCATAAACATTCTTACAGGATGCTATCTACTAAGGTTTACGAATGAAAGATTCAAGATGCTCATTATTAAGTTCGACGTTGCAAACTTGTGTTAAGAAACATACCTACAGTTTGAAGTTATATTGGTTTACTAAATTTATAGTAGAAAGTATATTTGTGTATCCATGGTATTAAATAGTAACTCGTGTTCTAGGAATTATTGATCCAGTGATAACAACGGAACGTCATCGATACAAGTTACAACGTGAAGTGACTCATGCTGACGTATTTGTATCACTTACTCATAATTAAGTTTTCTTACTGAAAATTAATATACGTTACACAATGATTTTATTTCATGTTATGCCCAAATTGGACACGTTTTGATGTTCTTATAAAGAATTTTGAATATTCAATTACAATTTTACTTAACTCGATTGATAGATTTGATTAATCTGGTCAATGTAGACAAAGACGTGCAAATAGTGGTGAAATAACAAAAAATCCCGGAAAGTAAATAGGTGGAAGAGGTTTGTATAAAGCTTTGGGAAAAATATAATGATGGGATTATTTAACACAATTTTTTGTATTAGATATATTAAACAAACACATGTTGCTATTTTATGAGAATTTAAAGGTCGAAGATGTGAAATAAACTCTGTTAGCTCTTTTTTTATGCTTAAAAATCTTTCAAATTTTTACGTACTGAACCTAGTTCTTAGAGGATCTCAAATACATAAAAGACATGAACAATAGATATAAACTGATATGAAAATCGTGCAAAAACTCAAAAATTGATATTAATTATTACCAGCATATCCAGCATGACTATTCTATAGAATATAATTAGACACCAATGACAGACGGTGAAGGAAAACATCGTGAGGAAACCTGGACTTATAATATCACAATTATAAGTTTCAACAACAGCATTCCCAAAGAGGGTTGATGTCAGGCAGGCGGTCGGTCGCAAAACGATTAGCCAGAACTGTTTACAACTTGCTAGGCAAACCCTGGCCAAAGCTGGGAAATTGCCAGGTAGAAGAAGAAGATCGAGTATGACTACTCATGAATAAAGAAATATATCAGGAAGGCAACATATTTGTTCTAACTTTTGTGATAAAAATGTATTCTTTATTAGATGTAAATGCTTTAGGATTTATAACAGTTAAAATGTGTGTTAGTTGATGACACGAAACTTCCTTAACTGATTTGAATAATCTTTTTGTAAAATATAATATTGTGTAATAGAATGAAATCTCCAAAAAAACATATCAAACTGAAGTTTTATGTTTTATGCATACAATCAAAACTATATAGTTAAGTGGATTTTATTATGTACGAGTTTATTACCCATATTTTAAGTCAATATTTATATTATTATTTATATTATTATTATTATAATTTTTAAATTATGCCAATCATATTAAAGTTATAACCTATTCAGTTATCCCTACTAATATATAAATGCGAAAGTAACTCTGTCTGTCTGTTACGCTTTCACGCCTAAACCATTGAACTGATTTTAATGAAATTTGGTACAGAGATAGAGTTGACCTTGAGAAAGAATATAGGATAAGTTTTATCCCAGAATTTTGAAAGTTTCTCGTGGAAACGCGATATAACCGAACTCCACGCGGGCGAAGCTGCGGGCGGAAAGCTAGTCATATATAAGTATTACTTACCAAAGTGAGAAAGCATCTGTTCTCCCGTATCGCCCCACAACATCCCAGGAACGCTATCAGGAAGATAAGAGCCCCGAGTACTATAACAGTGATGGGGATGAAGTTCACATTAGTAGTGACTTCCTCTAACACATCAGTTAGTTGAAGAAGTGTCGCTACTCCAAGACCGATGAGAGCCAGCCCGCCGAGCTGTAATTTTACCAAGAAAGAATTTCACCTTCCATTGCTTTTCAAATCTCTTATAAGTTAAAAGGAAGATAGGCCAATGTTACTCACAGTAAAAACAAGATTGGAAAAGAATAATCCATATTTGACGAGCATACAACACATTTTGAAATGTTGATTTTATTCAATTTACAACAGAAAGTGTTTGTTGTCCGTATCAACAGTTGTTCAACTCCACAGTCCACACTACTCTCTACTTATATTGTTCTATGTCAGGATGGCATTATCTCCGCGATAAACAGATAACAAGTACTAATCAAACCATATATTCATAAATATTACTAACGACCGTCTGTTTATAGCGGCTCATATTATATTTAATGAATTCTTATCAAAGTTTTTGTGAGAAGAATCGAGGAGAATATGTGTCATGTGGACATTTAATGACAGTCTCCTAGAGATCTTTTGTTAAAGAAAAAGAGACGTAGATATGTAAGTAGAAAGTTCAGTCACTTTTTTTACTCACACTGAAAGAATAAAATAAATTCAGCTATGATACTAAATATTTTGAAATTTTCAAATAATACTATTGAGTTTTTCTAAGGGTAAGTATGGACTAATTTTATATTATATTGCATTATTTTATCGTCATCAATGGGAAAAACCAAGAAACAAGTATAAAGATAGAAGGATCTATAGGAATCCCCGCAGTAAAAAGCTAATCATGAAAATATTAATTTCTGAATCTTTAATATATTACCTTATCGTATGAAAAACACGTTTCTTTTATTTATCGCCGCGACTCGTACATCGGTACAGAACACAATCAAAACGTTATCGTTTACAGAACACCAGAAATTACTCATATTTTATTTATATTTTTTATTTAGAAATGGGACTCAAGAGATAGCGGGTGGTGATTTCACTACAAGGGGTTTTAAAAATATGTAATTGTTATGTTTAAAATCATGTTTTTCTGCCACTTATTGCGACCAATTATTTAATTTTACTTTGCCATGAGAATATCGGTGTATTTTTTTTTTCTTTTTAAAAATAGTAGATAGAGTTTAATTAATTATAATGTAAGTAATTAGGACATCATAGCTAAGTGTATATAATACATGTAAAGATCCTCAGTCAACTATCTAGTTGACTATCTAGTTACTAAATACCATCTGGTATTTAGTTCGTGATTGTGTATTCTTATTATATTTATAGAATGAGGTGATTTATTTGACTCCATAATAAACGCGTATATTTTCAGTATTAGGAAAAACGTGGAGGTTTTTCAGTTCTTGGAAGTGATCTAGTTAGTTTGTTTCTGTGTCGTACTGTCTTTGATCACCAGATCACGGCTTCGAAGACAGTTATGTTTGACATAACTACTATTAAATGAAAAATTATTTTTGATTAAGATCACATTTCCTACCGACGGTTTTCGGTTTTGTAAAAAAGTATATGTGTCTAAAGTATATATGTCTTATTTCCTAATGAACATTTGAAGCTGTTAGTTTTAAAAATATCATCCCTTTTGAAATACTCATTATCATTTTATACAAAATATAATAAGAGTATTCAGTGACGCAAAAGTTGAAATAAATACCGTCTAAGGTTTAATTAAGGTTTATGACTTTAGGTTCCTCACTTTCAACTTTACCTGCACCTGCTGCATCCTGGTAATGATCAGATGAAAGTACCTATTAATTTTTAGCGCTTGACCCACATAAAGACCAATAAATACTTATAGTGCACAAGGATAGTGTAGGTGTGATGTCAAATTTATGAATGCCACGTTCTTTTCTAGTATTGAACCGGTTTATTCTGCTTTTACTTCGCCCCGCACCTTCCCTACTTCACCCTTTGTACTGGTAGCAATATCAAGTGTTGAAAACGCAATTTCAAGTGAAGAAGAATTTGTATAGTTTAAAAAAATAATAATAATTTATTTTCCATAATATTCATAATTTTTCTTATTATTTTAATACTAAAAGTTTTTTGTCTAACTGTACTTTTATTTTCACTCACACAAATGCAAAGCTTAGCCTAAGTCTGACGGACTATACCTTGATGATAGGTAGCAAGACCTTCAGAGAATAGTCCTGGCGACTGCTATCACCAATCCACCTCTTTAACGTGATAACATCTCGGAATCAATACCACAGATTCCCTGTAGTCATACTATTCTTGGCTGCGGTATCATTTATGAGATTATCTTATCATCTCGTCTGCCCGTGGTCAGTTACTTTAAAGCAGTGGTTTTCAATCTTTTTGATATCGTGACCTCTTTAGGAGTTGAAAAATTTTGACGTGTGCCATACACAGGCTAGGAAATAATTAAATTAAAATTCTAAACATAACTTTTTTATTTTTCAAAAGCTTGTCAAATCGTGGTACTATTTTTGAAATATTATCTATCAGTTTTTTTAATAATATATGTGGTATATGTTTGTTTGTGCAATATTTGTTAATTATCTGTAAACCACGTCAGTTCTTGTGATTTTATCTGCATATTTTACATATAATAGCCGTTTTAAAGTATCCATGAAAGTGGTTTTATGATAAACAAAATGACTATGATGATTATAATTAAAATTTAAATATATATTGAAGTAATGTTATCATAGTTTATACTTAGCATAGATTACCTTCCGATCACCTGTTCATCAGAAAACACTTGACGATGTATTTTCCGTTATGAAAAGCTTTTAAATAAATTTATTCAAACGTCTGAAGTTGAAGATATTTTATCTTTAGAATGCAAAGTACCTAGTTCTGCTTGTGAGCATCGTAGGTACTTTGTGTTGGTTTAAATTGTGATGTATAAAAAATATCAAAGATTAATATTCATGTTTTTGCATTTAGTTTTTATCAGGCGTTATAATTATTACTCTCAGCTTTGACTTATAATCTTCAGCGAACGCAATCGTTTAAGGCGATATCTACAAAATTTATTACTTTCTCACCTGATGTTCGGTAGCAGACCATTTATGAGTTTAGCTCCCCTCTCTACCTAACCCAATTATAAACAAACTTACTAGGCCGCCTTTCGAATACCTTCAAAGGATGAATTCTGTTTCTTTCTGAGTTCTGGACGGATCCCAATCTTTTCGAAGGCTGTAGAGAGATTTAGCTGATATACTTCTCTCTCCCACCTTCATAGTGTACAAATCCATGACGAACCTATTCCTTGTGAGTTCGTTAGTGAGTTCGTAATATTGATAGACCTAGATGGTATGGTCTTTGGGGATGTTGGTTACCCAAGGAACCGTAAGCTCTATAAACTCAATGCGTTTTAAAATTCGCGAATACAGTATGTACTTAGTATATCTTTTCTGAACGCCGTCGTACAAATATCCTATGGCATTTTATTTTGCCCGTGATCACGGTTGCTGAAAAGTAACCTAAACGGTGGGAGTATGTAATTTTAAAATGATAAAATACGCGTAGTTATCCGAATAATATTAGTTTCATTTAAAGTCTTAGATCTCATCCATCATAATAGTCCAATCTGGGGCCGATTTAAGCATAGAATAAGGATTGACGTTTGAATTTATAGCCCTCTTGCCTTCCCTCACAAAGCCTATTGGTATCTTGTTTGTAGTGTGATATGTTAATTAATGAAAGATTCTTGAAAATACGTTTACATAATGAACGAGTATCATCACCTTGAATTCTGCAGTTATAAACACAGACAGACATACAATTAAAACATGTATTTGGTATAACAAACGTTATTTATTGCTTAGCAACTAAGGAGGTACATTGTAAACAATTAATGTATTGTAAAACTTAAAGCTATTTATTTTCGATGTTAATAGCGGCTTCTTCTGTTTTTGTTGCGAGCGTGGTTCGCCAGGCAGAGCGCAAACACGACGGCGACGAGCTGAAAAATATACATGGATATCATCATCATCAGCCTATCAGAGCCCACTGCTGAACAAAGGCCTCTTCTCACATGAAGGTTAAATACTTCTATACAGTTCACGAAATTCATGGCCAACTTTAAGTTAAGTTATTGAAAATATATTCAGTGTTCGTGTGTGGTGTACCTCAATAGCTCCGACCACAATCGCCACTGATCCGATGGCCAGTCCGAATGTTTCAAAGAACTCAGTGACAATATCTCCACAGCCGCTGTAAGCGTTGATCAGAGTACAGGGGCTGTTGGGGCAGCACGTAGCTGGTAAGGGAGCGAAGCCATAGGACGCCGCGCCGGCAGGACCGCAACACGAGAACTGTAGAGTACCACATGATGCTGATGATTAATGTCCTCTTCACGAAATAAGAACAATAATCATACATAATACTCTTGTTAATTAGGTAGGAGTTAAGAATGTTGCTAATATTGAAGTATGACACTATATTAAACTTATTTTTGGTAATAAATTCTGTGTCTTAAGTTGTATATTGTAGTTTTCTCAACAATAATTGTGACTTCATCGACTGACGTGAAGATCTATCTATCTATCTATTCATTCTATGCATTTTTTGTATTAAATGTGATTATCAGAACATTTTATTTTTATTAGTGACTCGGAATCATTACTCATGAATTTTTAAAAAGTATTATTAAGAGACATATGTAGATTTAGATAATAAGTTTACATTTAAAAACTAATGACAATATTCTTATCGAAGTGTTTCATCCAAATTATCCTTATAATAATAATCATCGCAGCGGATTTTCTTTAATTTTTCATATATTTTTAAATAAGAGATTTAATGTATGCTATCTGTGAAAGCCACGATAAACTATCTAATCTACTACTTATGACATAAATAAATATTTCAAGGAATAACGATGATGCCATTGTTTGCACCTTTTCTATTGTCAAATAATACTATGTAGAGGCTAATTTTGCACTAAAAATGAACTTTAAAATGTATAATGAAGTAAATATTATGAGGAAGTAGTGTATACTTACGGATTTTTCGATGTTCTGGAAGGCGATCTGGTCCCTGGTGAAGGTTTCGTTCAGCCAGACAGGGATGTTAGTCAGGAGTTCGTCTTGTTTAACGAAGATCAAGGTGGCCAGCGTCACTTTGAGGATCATCAGCATTATCATGAATATGGCGTACTGAAATATACATCAACTAATTAAAACACTGCTCGAGCATATTTAATTGGTAGTCATATAAAAATTTAATACACTTTAAAGATATAACTAAATATATTTAAGACAATATCAGTCCCAGTAGAAGAAGTTTTGGTTGCTTACAACAATGAGCATGCAATTGCTTTCCCGAATCGCGCCGCAGCATCCGAAGAAGGCCACGAGGAATATGATGGATCCAATGACCATCGCTCCGATGGGAGTGAGCTGGAATATCGGAGACTTGTCCAGGATTTCGTCGGCATTTGAAATGCGGAGCTCGACGGCCACACCGAGACCAAGGAGAGCTAAACCTGCGAGCTATACAGACATTCAACATTAACTCTTTGTATTTTAAGCGTTAAAAATCTTCTATAAGATTGTTATAATATAAGATAATGAGATCTAAGAGTATCACGAGTATTCATTGAAATGAAACTAATATTTTTCAAATTACAACTTATATTTTATTGTTTTAAAAAGTACATATTTCCTACGTTTCGGTTACTTTGCAGCAACCGTATTCATTAAGATGAGATGTGAATAAGAATACATTGTTATTTAGAGTACATTTAATTTAAATTCTAGAATTTCTTTGGCTAATGTAATAAAAAACATTAAGGAATGTTAAATATAGATTTTATTCAACAAAACTTTAGTAGAATTTGATACGGTAGTAAACAGTAAAAGTAATCATTTGTACATCGTTCTCGTGTCATTAATATATATATATATATAATATGTATTTCTTAAGCACTTGAACATTAATTCGAGATTTAATACATTAAATATATGTTATTATTGTGTATCATCCGGTGTCGGATTATCATGTGTCCTAAAAAGATATATGTTTGTACCGAGCATTATCTTATCAGATATAACGAAGGTGCGACGGGTGACCGGATCAATTTAAGTTATTTTAAAATCTGCATCAAATATACTTATTTTCCCTTATACTGTGTACTTGAACATATAATACACAAAACATGTATTTTGATTAGATATTGTGATTCATTTAAATTTCACATCTCGTCTGCCCGTGATCACGGTTGCTGAAAAGTAACCGAAATGTCTGGAATACGCAGTTTTTTACAAAAATAAACCACGTAATATATCCGAAAAATATTAGTTTCATTTAAATGAATACTCGCAAAAGTCTTAAATATTGTGATAGTCACATGAAAGGCATAAATTACGTAAATCTGATTAAAGATAAATATATTATAATGATAAAAATTAATATTAATAAAATAATAAGTATATCTTTAAAGCGGATGATTGTTAACTATTTTATTAAACAGTCCTTAAATGTTAATTTGACATCAAGTTCGTGGTGATTAAAATGTTTACGAATTTATTGTTCTCTCTAATGACTATGCTCATTAATAGGAATACATAACTATATTTCACGAGTTGTATATACATTTTAAACTTCTTCTTCCTGGCAATTTCCCAGCTTTAGCCAGGGTCTGCGGAACATTTTAAACTATGTATGTATATATAAACATTTCTGTACTACAGCCGCGGGAGTGCCATAAGTTTGATAAGATGTTGAAAAACAATGCGCAGGTGTCCCAATAGGTGATAATCAAGTATTTTTTACTCACCGCAAAGAAGAGATTCGCAAAGAATAGCACGTATTTGACCAGGAATTCACCGCAACCCATTTTGATAATATTATTAATGTATTGTAACAAGACAAGCAGTCCTCACACCGCGTTATATCAGTACACACTGAGCTGATTCGCAAACGATAAAGTGTGGTTACAGCGATAACACACCGGGAAAAAAATGTTACCACAGTCACACCTACTGACTAATATTCAAATATACTCGGAATTATTATTGTTTAGTGAGAAAAAATTAAGCAATCTGTTTTATTAATAATGCACAAATATTATCAATATTATTAGTCGGAAAAATATATTTATTTATGGATGTAATTTTCTTATTACACTATATACATGGTCGTTTGTTTGAATATTCAGATTCTGAGTATAAAGTTGAAAGAAACGGTTGTCATTAAAAAAAATAGTACAATAGTACGTTGTTTATGCAAAATACGTTTAAAAAATGGCTTTCTTGTGTCTGTCTATTATGTATGTAAAAGAAATGTCTAATAAATTATTAAATTATAACGTTCCTTTAAAAACAGTATTCTTAGTCTGAATACGCATGCGCGTAGCGTACCGCGCGCGCCTCAAAGAGCCATCGGACCAACACAGATGGGGCCCTAGAGCCGATGCCTGGCCAGGTCGCGGGTGTAAGCGCAATGATGTACCGCGGCCAGGCTCGGAGCAGGAGTAGGTACGGGGGGTTTTTAGTCAGTAAGAGTCTGACACTCCCTCTTGCCCCACCCAGGCAAGAGGGGTCATTTGATGATTTTCCCCTTAAAAAAAAAAGAAAAAATGTCTGAATTCGCATTGTCACACTAGATAGGGATCGTTGGCAGTATTTAAATCTTCACTCATAGTACTAATGCAGGTAATTGAATGAGAAACGGGAAACACTTCGTATGTAGTGTGATGATGCAAACTTAGAGTATGCAGTATGCAAAATACAGAAAATAACACTGGTGCATTGTGTATCTATGTAATTACACCAATGATTAGATAACGATCGATTTTATTGAAGTACTGATATTATAAATACGTTACACTGTATACACTCGTACACTCATACACTCAAAGACACTCAAAAACATGTGGAATTACTTTAAACAATTCATATAACAAATCATGTATGTTTGAGAAAGGTATTTGTTGATAAAAGTAACTATTGGTAATTTCAAGTTTTGTCAGTGTCAGTGAACCCATAATTAAGGATATTTTAACAAATTTCGTAAACAATGTAAAAGGCAAATTTATTAATTTGAAATGTTGAGATCTAAGACATTTGCGAGTATTCATTTAAATGAAACTAATATTTTAAGGATTTGTAGTAATACGAAAAATATTAGTTTTATACAACTTCAAATGTATTAAACTTAAAGGTTTTTCATGTACCTATTTTGGTATTAGCTAAGTAAAAAAATATTGTACTTACTTTATCCTTTAAAAGGAAACTATGAGCAAAAAAAAATATGTACAATTGTGAACCAAAAAAATTGTAGGCGCTTTAAGGTTTGTGTATTTATTTTAACTTTCCATTTTGATTCGATGAAGATATTATGATGAGAGAGAAGAGATGAGCCCACCTAGATCTCAATCAGTCAAGAAAACTAAGAAATTAGTTTAGTTCATGAGATAGTCTGCTAATATATATACAAATTTTAAAGGGAAAGGGAGGAGTTTTTCAAAGATTTTGTTGCAATTAAATTACAGTAGAAATAAAGTATAAATATAATAAGTAGTTTCTAATAACTACTGTTAGAAATAATTTATTCAGTCCTTTCACTGAGATGTTTATTGGTTAAAGATCTTTATTCTCATAAGAACATGCACAGGTTCACTTACATGAGTGATGAGATTAAATAATGTTACACACATACGTTAATATTTCATACATAGAATGGCTAATACTACTTAATATTGTCTAATATATATTTTAAGTTTATTTTTAAAAGCAATTAAACATTTACATTCTTTTATGTAGTTTGGCAAGTCATTATGTAGCTTTACTCCATCAAAACGTATATTTTTGTGTCCATAATTTAAGGATCTGACTTTAGGTAATTCAAGTTTATGTCTGTTTCTTAAGTTATGCTTGTTTGATTTTTGTGTAAATGTTATGTTTAAATGAATACTTTTAGATAGTATCTTCTTAATTAAAATACATGTGTTATAAATATATGTTTGATTTAGGTTGAATAATTTTGATTTTTTGTATAGTTCTATCGACGGTGTGAAAAAGTCATAATGAAAAAGTACTTTTATAATTTTGTTCTGCCTAATTTGTAAGATTTATTGTTCCCATAATCCTATTAACCCATAATCACTTACATCCTATTTATAATAAAGGTTACAATATCATACAGATGATAGTTGAGTATCATAAGAATTCCCAGTTAATATCAGAATATAAATAACGTTAAACTTAGAATTATAAAATGCATCACAATTTAAATTATTATAAATAATAATTATTATTAACACTACTTACTTATTTGTTATTCGGTCTTACAATACAACGAAAACAGTTCACACGCGAGGTTTATAATAACAGAAAATAGGCAAATACAGCGAACATTAATTAAAATAAATATAATACATGTAAGAAATAACAATGCTAAAAAATTAAATATAATTTATAAAACGACGGGAGTTAAGGAACAATTATCGTTTTACAAATCGTATATACAGCTGAATATGGAACCTCTACTGAACTACTTAAAAAAAGACGTAAGAAAGAGAAGAAAAGACCGATAACATTTGTTATTAGTCTTCTTCTACCTGGCAATTTTCCCAGCTTTAGCCAGGGTCTGCCTTACATGTTGTGAATAGTTTTGGCTAATTTTTTTTTACGACCGGCCGCCTGCCTGACATCAACCCTCTTTGGGTATGCATTAATCAGTGATGTCTAAATACTTTTAGAAAATACATATGAGTCGGAAAAATCACATTAGTACTTGCCAGGATCAAACCCGTGCCATCATGCATGAGAGGCGGGCTTTTTAACTACTAGGCCATCACTGAATTTATGACTATTTATTTAAAAGAAACTTTCAAAACGAGTTAAAATATTATTACCATTTATATAGTAATGATTTGACGTAGTCTGTAATATTTGTTATTTGAATGACGTTTATTGTGGTTTAACCCTGGACCTGATACACCTTTGACTAATTAAACTTTGGTAATTCGTATTGACAATATATATTCAGGAACTTTTAATCTACGTTAATACACACCAAGATTGAAGAGTATGGACAATAAGTGACAGAAGTTATTTTGTGAAAGGGGCTTAGATTCTGTAATTGTTAAGATGACTTGTATTGAAAAATCATAGTATTGCACATTTACATTTTGTCCTGTATATGTTTGGAATGAGAGCCTTACCACCGAGGATGCACAAAGACCGTGTAAAATTGGAGAAGTTTGAGCAGGAAGGGAGACCCTCGCTAAAGCTTGGATAATTGGCAAGAAGAGGAAGATCCTTCGGAACTGGTTAAACTTACCAAAATTATAAATTAAACGAGCAGTTAATGCTGAAATAGCTTACATATACTTAACCGCAACGAAAGGAAGTAGCGACACACATTTCTTTTATATAAATTAGTAACAATTTATTTACAAAATTAATTATCTTCTATAAAAGACTCATATAGTCTGTATTTACCTGTAATATGTATTTGACAAATTTTATTCCAAGTTATTCCGAAACGTCACAGGTTTTCCCGTGCCGTGTGTGACATGCCAACTATATAATAATAATTATTAAATAAACTCACTTACCTTCGATATACAGTTAGTTAGTTAGTCATATAATATATAAACAAGGTAAAAACACTTGTAATAAACAATGCATTATACAGTTACATTTATTCTAGATATCTTACATATGTTAAATTGTATACATGTTTGTAGAAATAGCAGTAGAAAACTTTTAAATAAAACTAATATTTAAGGATGTTCTATCATGTTTTTGGATGATAAATAATAAGACCAACAGATAGACATTCACATCTCGTCTTGCTCAAGGTGGCTGAAAAGTAAACGAAACGTCAGGAGTATATAGTTTAAAAGAATAAAGAACGCTCAGTACATCCGAAATATTAGTTTCATTTAAATGAATATACGAAAGTTTTAGATATCGTAAGAAGACTTTCATTTAATAAGATGGGTTTATTATTTGTTTGTGGTAGATACAAGCGCGTGACAATCATAACACAGTGTGTCGGTCTGTGTACGTTGTGAGTCGTGTCGGCTCCGTGTCGTCACAGTCCGCGCCAACTCCGGTATTTTTAGAGATCAAGTCATTAAGTCCGTAGAACACAAACCAGTCAGTATCGGCATACCCATGACGCGAAACGAACGTGTTGCAAAATAATACTTGATATTAATAAATATAAGAACGAAAAGAATAAAGTAACTTGAGTAACGTCAAGTATTGTGTATATAGTGATTGTGTTATAACAATGTCGACAGAAATTAATTTGGTTACTGACGCTTCATCTCCAAAGGATTCTCACAAGGATTTTAAGGCTATAGATCTAAATGATGTGGAAATGGTGTTTGGGACTCCCGCCTCTCCTAAAGGGAAGCCTGGGCAGGTGAAGCCAGATGTACATCTTATAGAAAACGAAAAACATCATGATAAAGAAGCTGTAAGTTATTTTCATTAACCAATATTAGGAAACAAATAAATTTTCATTTATAATTACTCCATTATTATAATTGATTTGGAAACGACTGTTCAGAAATGTGTGTACGTTTTCATCTTCAAAGACCTCGTTTTTGCATTATTGTATCCAACTAAATAAGAATTATTGTAACAAAGAATTAATATAATTAAATAAAGAAAATAAACTAACTTTAGTTTTCTTCAACGTATACAGTCAGAGTAGCTAGTGATTGAATAATAATAAATTTATTAATATAAATAAACAATTATGATAAGATAAATTAAATTAATCAATTTTAATGCAAAATAATATAAATATTATGATTAAATTCAATCTCACCTACATTCATAATGATCCCATTTTCTTTGAGTACATTTAATACATTTTAAATGCTTGCACTAAATGTACGAGTGATTCTGATTACAGAAAAATAATAAATGTATATTTTATTACTGTTATTTAAATATAATTTTAAAATATGTTTTATATATCCATGCTTCGTATGCCACAGCTTTTTAGTATTATTTTCACGAAATAACACTTTTTATGCTACAGTTGTCAAAATAATATTTTGATTAGATATTATTTTATTGACCAGACACAATTAGATTTAAATAATGTAATAATTATATTAACTAACATGAGATCGTTTTTCAATTCATTTTTTAAATGAATACATATTTCAGAATCCTGTTATCTTTTTATTATAATTTTAACCTAAACTAATTAAATAGTGTCGTTAATTTATAAAGTATTGAAAACTATTTATATACATAAAAATAAATTGTTGTTCGTTAGTCTGACTAAAACTCGAGAACGACTGAACAGATTTATCTCTTCTTAGTCTTGAAATGTTCGTGGAGGTACAGGGAAGGTTTAAAAGCTAAAAAAATTGATTTATTTCCGGGGAAAAACCTAAAAACAGCCCTTTTCTATTTGCGATACAAAGGTTTTTTTCACATTAGATTTGACAACTTACTAATATGTCAATCATTCTGTTTGATTGAAACAGGAAAAATTTAATAAATACCAATACCTGGTTATTTAAGACGGAATAGAGTTCGCCCGGTTAGCTAAACATATATTACTAATGACGAAATTAACGCAGACGAAGTCGCGGGCAAAAACTAGTATGTAAATACATTCTGTTACAATAATTTTAATCATTATGCTATGCATGATTAATAAGTGTTCATATTTAATTTTATCGTGTAATTATTTTAATTCTCGTGCAACTATCCGATCTCATGAAGCCTCGTGAAAGTCGTCATTACTATTCATAATTTTTTCATCAAGAAATTGGCATTTAATAGCAGAATGTATTCGAGAAACTGCTTGTAGATTAGGAATGTAGATATTTATGCATTGTGACAAAAAAAGCTGGTTTATTTCAACCTTGGACTTTATTGACAGAATGGCACAGAAGTTGGAGTAATATGATATAATAATTAATATTAATTTAAAATTATTATCAAATACATAAACAAATGTAAATCGATTTAATTAGACAAAAATTCCTACTATATTTTTTTACAAAACTTGATATTTTGTGAATAGTTTTGAACAAAATGGAAGAGAAAAGAGGACAAAATTAATGACTTTGTCTTCAGAATCTATCGATCCTAAAAAGATTAAGTTTATTAAAATTATGAACCTCACTGTAAACCTGAAAAGAAGCTTCTTAATTATAGTCAAACTTAAAGCAAATGACAATCATACAATAATATTATTTTAGATACTTACAATTTATCTAACTATTGTGTTATTGAGAAAAGTTCCCCATTTCGTCTTTACGTATGTACAACATTTGAATGATAAAAAAAACATGTAAAACACGAACCTGTTACTAACAAACTGTCAAATTCAAATTATTTAAGTATTACAAAACTATCTCTTATAATCTAGTCTCACTAAAACTCGAGTACGGCTGAACGGATTTGACTTATCTTAGTCTTGAAATGTTCGTGGAGGTTCAGGGAAGGTTTGAAAGCTGAAAAAAATTGATTCATGTCCGGGAAAACCCTAAAAACAGCTCTTTTCTATTTCCCATACAAACGTTTTCTTTGACATTAGATTTGACAACTAACTAATATGTCAATAATTCATTTCGATTGAAACAGGAGAAACCTGATTATTAATGGCCTCTAAAACGGAATAGAGTTCGCCCGGTCAGCTATACATATATTACTCATGACGAAACTAACGCGGACGAAGTCGCGGGCAAAAACTAGTTGGATATATATATGATATATGTTAAATATTAAATTCTGTCCGTCATCTCGGTATATTTTGGGTTATCTCACTGTTTGTGTCATTTTCCTGTTAGTGAATCCCCACGAGACATCTCTAGTGTAAAATATTAATATCGAAGGATCAACAAATACAAATATGAGAATTTTCATCAATCCGAACATTTTATTACAGAAGATGAAAGATTATACAATCTTATTTTTCTTAACCTGTGATCCAAGACTGTATTTTTTCGACCTTTGTATAATATAATGTTTTCCTAATATGAGAACATCGTCAAATAAAAATGATTCAGTTATCACTTACAAAATTATGGTGCCAAAACGCACGTACACATTTTGGGGAATTTGGGTACATTATTTAAACAAATTTTTGGCTGTAATTTCCGTTCATACTATTTAAAAGAGTTCCGAGACAATTTCGGATGAAGTAAAAGATGATGTTTCCTATTTTTTAATGATTCCAGAGAATTCTGTTTAATATATTTTGCCAATGAGGCTGTAATATACTCGTTGAGCGTCTCGGGTCAACAACCTGTCTCGCCCACGCACCTGATTGCCAAATTCTGACATTGAACTTAGTGCGTCGTACATTACTCGGAAGTGTGAACAATTATTATGAAATATATTTAATAAGATTGAGAAGTTTCTGCTTGAGTTGATGATTAATTTATTACTAGCTTTGCCTCACGTCTCCGCTCGTATAAATAGCCACATGCTTGTTGTATTTCGAAACCGGTCCTCTAATTTTAATATAGATAATATGATATTAATTCAGTGTTGGGTTTATTATAACAAATAAATTAAAATTTGTTTAACAAAAACCTAAATATATATGGCATAATATATTACATATAATATGTTATGTTGCTCTACAATTATTCCTATTATTAATACAAAATCCCAGTAAAATCCACAGGAAAAAAAACGATAATATTAAGATATTGAGATTTTTGACATCACCAAAATAAACTTTAAATTTGTTTATACCTCAGTTGTTAAATTTAAAATAATGGTTAATTAAAATTTAAATCGATAGGGTCAGTACCTAACAAACTTACTAACTCTCACAACTTATAACTTTAAAAATTAACATAAATGAAATAGTAAAATAAATCTGAGTTTATTTATTTAACAGATCAAAAGTGTGAACTGTGTAATTATTTACAAATCGTTAAAACAATCTATTCGTAGCAATTGAGTTTATATGGAGTACTGATAGGAAAAATTCCTTGATTATACTTCACTTGCCAAACAGAATGCTCATAAGTATATAAGATGTTCTACGAAAATATACAGATGTGAATGCTGGCAAGGAAAGTGGGTTAGTTTAGTAATAATTAGGGCTATTTTAAACTCATCTCTGATGATTAATGTACGCTTTATAAAAACACGAGTTACTTTTTGAATGAGTTTGGGTAATCTCGATAATTTCTTTTGTCTAATAACTCATTACCTATAGAAAATATGTATAAATTATATATATTTTTTTTATCTCGTGTTTATAGGCTTTAATTATTAACGTAAGTTTATGTTCTGTTTAAAGAGTAAAGCCTTAAACATTCATTTACAAGCAAGGTCGTGGCGCGAGTACATTCAATTCCAATAGTGATTCGTCATTACCAACTCTTTAGACATAAGAGGACTGTTCAGATCAAAAGAACTCAGTGATCATTCAAACGGTGATGTAAAAACAAGTGATTAGCTATTATTAATAATTTGTTATACTTAATACGTTGTTTTAGTGCAGATTTAAACTATTTGGGCTAATTGCTTTACTCTAGTCCAAGAGGTGGCCGTGACCCTAAATCATATTGAAGTACTTAGCGACTACAAACTACAAATAACAGTTGACATCTAAACGTGTATCTGTGTAGTGCAGTAAATATGTTACGGAGAGATTTCTTTGCTGAATTTTATATAGTAAGTAAATATATAGAGTTTAATTATTGTCATTATTTTAATCATAGATGGCGTTAAATAACATAGTGTCCACTGTATTGTGTGCAAATAGGATTAACTTTAATTGATGTTTCTTTAACGGAAAAGAATTATTATGAGTAATAAACCTGAATGCATCATGATGTGCAGTCCCGGAGGTCATTGGAAATGATTGTCTCGTGTTGTAAGTATGTTTATAGGTTATCTGGCCTGCCCCATTTGACAACTCCTACACTACTGGGATTCACCCAGTGGACTGAAATATAAAATATAATATCGCGATTTGTATGACACAATCAATTAAAAGATTTATGAGTATCTCTGTATTAAAGTTTTTACTGTTAGGTTTTCCATAAAGCTAACAATTTCTGTTAGGTTCACAATGAAGTTTACAACACTAACCTATAAGAAAAGAAACGACATTTAAAGCTATTAATTTACAATGTCGATTCCAATATGACAATTAAATAAATATGATGTATTTTACAAGTTCTCCTTTTGGCAATAGTTTCGTTACACGTTACAAAATTTAAAATAAACCACAGATAATAATATTTGGTGTTTGTCTATGATACGTTAAGAAAATTATGTTTTTCTTGACATATCTACTTATTCTAAATGCTGTAGAAATTTAAAATTCTAACTGTCACTTTACAAAATAGGTGGTACTTAGTTCATTTCAGTAAAGGTGGCGAAGCAAGAAAGGTAGTTTAATAAACAAAAAAATTTTGTTATAAGTATTTGTCGTAGTATTACAAAATGTTTTTGTTCTGTCTGACTCACTTTAAATTCTACGAGGAAAAACCTCGCCACATTGTGCTATAGAAATTACAGGATTAACTAATTACTCATGAGAAAAATGACCATGATTATTAACAACGAGCGTTCCCGAGGATAAAATTATTTAGAGAATCATACACTCACTGAGAGAATTATGTTTACTCTAAGGTGGCTCTTCACTTGGCGTTTATTTGTTGTGTTCGGCCAAATGAGACCATGTGTGGAGGATTTAATCATAATCATTTCACACGTTTGCACAAATAAGACACATACACAAATAAGCGAAAACACGTTAAGACGTGTTGGCATGCCAAATGTGGATGTCGTCTTTGCGCTATTTGGACTACGTACAAATATTTGGACTAATGTGGCGAATACGCTACGCGAATACTCAACGCCAAGTGAAGTGCCACCTTAATGTAAAACTGTTAACGCTACGTCCGTCGTGTGACGATTCGAACTTAGGGTAAGCTTGATGTAGCTGTATCAAGAGACTATTAAATGTCTATATAAATAAACAGGTTTAATATATGAAGATAATAACATTGATTAAAAAATATATTTGTATTGCAACGATACTGATTTTTGTTTAATATGTTCTAAGGATTTCATAATATCCTTTTTAGCAAGGTTGAAAAGTTACCTTATTATAACCTTTAGGAGTTATCTTGAAACTATTAGCTAAGTCATTTTGTATTTTACTATACTAGTTGATCTTTAACAAAAGGCAAATTTTCAGTATATTTTGATTAATGTCTATTGCAAAATTCATTACGAAGCAAGCAAAAAGAAATAAGAATAATAAGCGTAGGTGTAGTTTTTGTCTTGAATAAACACAACTAAGGAGTGTATTCAAAAGATAAAAGAGCTTTTTTTCTTTAAATGTAATAAAAACAGCCTTCATGAAATACAAAAGACCTAAATGATTTCTTAAACTACATACTTATTTTGGTTTATCATATTGGCCAAATTGGAATATATACCTAATTTACTTAATATTATATACCCAGTAAAATGATTTAAGTAAATTTCTGTCTGATCTGTGAATCTCGTGTAAAATGTTTACGGTTTTTTTTTCAGAACGGTCATCCTCACAAGAATGAAGATAAGACTGAACAGCCGTCTCTACAGCCTCTCCTGGAACCAGACAAGGAAAAGCAGAAGCCACCTCTCGCTGGTAAAATAATAGATTATCTGAACTACTCTGTTCGTGACCATTTGGTTCTAAATATTGTTTTTTCCCAAAAGAATCTTCAATTAATCCAGAACTTTTCAAAGCATAAAAAAACTGATTTTTATCTCGTTTCCAGGTCCAGAAATCGATGATCTTGATGAACGGCCAGTAGATGCCACTCCTTACCCTGGTATAGATGATGGACTTCTGGAAAATGGTGACAAAAATCCATACGACCCTCATGTAGGTGAGTAATACTTACGATGTTCAAGAAAATATTTATTAATTGAAGACATCTCAACTGTTAAGAATTTTATCGTGATATTACAACATAAGTTTATAGATGAAGATTAAAATTTAGATAATTTATATTGACAATCAAGAACTAGAATGACTTAAACAAAGACTCTCAGTACTCGTTAAGGAAAAACTGCATGTCTACTATATGTTTAATTAATTAAAGTAATAAAAATGTAAATGATACGTTATATATAACACTAGCGGTTGCTCTCTGCATGACTCGCATTTTGAACCCATTTTGACGTATCTGTCATTTGTTATTCTAATAATCTTTCATTCGATTTACACATCAAATTTTTATTCTGACTTGGTGACAATACTTTACTTGGTGACTTGGTGGTTACTACACAAGAAAAATTCCTTTTCGATACTAAAATAATTTAATAATTTTATCTTTGATTGAATGAGAGATATGGTAACAAACTTGGAAAACAAGGAAAACTTTGTGCTTTTTGAGTCGTTTAAAATCTAGAACTTCTCACAATAGTTCCTACCTGTGAAATAAAGTCGTTTTAAAATCTATCCAGCGAACAATTAGATAAACAAAATTATCAAAAATATATCGTTTCCGTAAGTATCCTAAAAGTTTTTATATAAATTAGATCAAAAACGATTAAGTTACAATCACGAACTTAAAGTATTAAAAAGTAATTCTATTTATTGTAAGAAAATAGTAATCTTAGAAGAGAATAAACAATATTGTTCATTTTATTTCAATCTACCTATTCATCTCTGGGCAGTCAGCACAACAGATTAATTAAATTAATTTAATTGTGAAAACCTGATTTGGCTGAAAATTTATCGAGAGATGGTTTGGAACAAGGGAAAGGACATAAAGACAGGTTACTTTTCACCCGATCGAAAAAGAGAAAAAAAAAAGTTGATCAAATACAAAATGTTCTATTATATTCAAATGTTCTACTGTCTTTAAGGAGGAATAGAGTTGACCCGTCCCATACATTTCTAATTCTGAAACTAACTCAGACAAAATCGCGGGCAAGAGCTAGTTGTGTAAGATAAATAATTGAAAAATACATTGTATTGTAATTGCATTTTTTAGCGGTTCACTCAACCAATGTGTTGATAAGTTTTTATCAACTGTAGGATGTGGTCTGGAGTATGAACCACTGTTCTTGAATACGTTTTTACAATAACAACAACACAAATATAACTTCGATGGACGATAACTAAAACTTGTCTATGAAACTGAAGAATAAAATCATTGAAGTAATTTCATGTTATACGTTATAATACTATAAGTTCTAGGTTTAGACTTTGGAATATTAAAATCAACTTAAAATCGTCATATGTATAAAATTTTATGTTAGTATCTTTGATGTATTGTAGTTAATACTTAATGCCTCATGTGTCGGAAGACTTTAGTTATATCCATTCCTTATAAAAAGTAGAGAAATCTAAAGTCATACGAGTATACTTTATTATAACAAAAATTTATAATGTAATTGACAACGCTAATAAAACATCGACAAGGCTCGACAGATGTGACTCATTCTGATTCATTACAATAAACTTTAATTTTTCTTAATTCCTAATGAATGTTTAATTTTGCAGGCGTGGACACAGACGCGGAGACTCACCACTCTCACGAGACGCATCCGACACGAGATGACGGAGTCGTTACGGACGGTAAATGGCCCTGGCCGCCTGCCGACGAGGCGGACTACCCATACGGTGGTTGGTCGATGCACTTACACAAAATTCTCCACCACTTTCTTCCAAACACCTTCAACAAAAAACAGATAAAATCCGTTTAATGTTGTGCGAATTCGATCTAAATTGGTTTGGCACCCTTCTTTATTAAATCCTTAAATGTTATTTGAAATAAATTAATTTGATTGAACAAGGAAAACGGTCCTACCAGAATAAATTTTGCATGACCAGCCACAAAAATTATGTTAATTCTGTACGACCTTGGAAATAATTCGAGTTTATTTAAATATTTGATCAAATTATTTCATATCCAAGCAAAAAGTCTCGGGTGGACGGTCATTGTATTATTATTTTTATCTAACATCATTGCATGTGAATGTCTCACACTATAATCTATATTAAAGAAACTTGGCGGGAAATAACTTTATTATTATTATGGACTATGCACTTTTTAATAATCAATCAATCTTGCATGTTTAACAAATTATGGTTTAAAGATGGCACCGGTTTTATTATTGTCTTGTTCTTTCCGTCTTTGACTTTTATGGCGGCGAATACTTTTTGTTCCATTCATAACTCACATTCTTTGAATATTTTATATAAATTGTTTCATTATATTTGTTTTAGCATAATATAATATGAAAATGATATTTTTTTCCAGATGGATTCAATGGATTGAGTCCGAGATTTGGTATCGATGATAGACCTGGCTCGCCCATGATACCCGGGGTAAGAACTAGGAATATATTACATTTAATATTTAGTCAAAATTTCTTAACAGCAAAATAATATTTACCATTTACTTACGGATACCTAAAACAAGCGAGACTTATGAAATATTACACTATAGACATGTTGAAAGTTAACATTCGTATAACTTTTAATAATACAACATTGTTTTGGTATCTTTTAGAAAGGACTGAGATTTTAAAAGAAAGTTTTGCAAGACTGACGGACTATAATATGAAGTTTGAAGTATCTAATGTGTATCTGTTAACTCAGACCTCCATCCCGGACGTGAACACGTACCAACAGAAGAAGAACCTGGCTCAGGGTATGATGGACCTCGCCTTACTATCAGCTAACGCCAACCAACTCAGATACGTGCTCGAGTCAGCCAGCAGCCACCCCTACTACTACCCCAGTCTAGTGTTCATATCTCTTAGTATAGTTCTACAGGTGAGTCTCGACAAAGTATTATTTGGGACGTTCAAAATAATGAAGAATTCGAAATAAATGTACTTAATTAGTAGAAAAAAAAATTGTTATTAGAAATAAATTTCAATCAACTCCAAATTTATTAGAAAAAATTGTGAGCATCAGAGATGTAAATATAGAGATAAAGTAATCGACATAAACAAACTAATTACGCCAATTTATATACTATACAAGCACACCTTATACTTTATAGCAATCAGTAATAAAAGTTAATTGTAATATTTATTTTGGTTCAGATCGCCGTGGGCGTCGGTCTCATCATGAACAGTCGGTACAACGTCAAAGACGAGAAGGACATCTGTAAGGCTGACAAAATAAATAATATGACGGTACTAGGAGTGTTCCTGGTGACGATAGTGAATGTATTCATAACCTCCTTTAGTGTCGCTTCACCGACTGTCACTGTCGGAGTAGGGACTCAAGTGACCGCTATACAACAGAGTGGGTGATGACGAACAAGGAAGAATAGACTGAAAATAGTTGGAAAATAACTAAAAGGAACCCAAGTACACTTTAAAAGGATGTAATGTTCAAGTCTATATTGTTACGTGAATGATTCAGTTTGCGACTGACAGTTTTTAATTGTTTAATCTCTAGAAGTATTCTACGTACTTATCCGATTCTCTTTGTGTTGTGACATCTTTGTCGCGGTCTTCCTATATTAAACATGCACTGTTTTAAAATTTTCAGCCATAATTACTTCTGTATTAAGGTTTGTTTACTCATAGTAGTTGTAAGATATCTAATTTGCACCCGAATGTAACCAAACTTAGTTGAAACGAAGCGAGTCAAAGCAATCCACCAAACTCTTCCCTCCTAGATGATAGTGTTGGTAAATTAGATTTTATTTCGAATGAAAACCCGAAAAAAAACAAGTGGAGTATTCATAAAATCGTAATGTAAGTAAAATTAAAAAATATATATTTAAAGCATTAACTAATCAATGTATGTGGTGCTAAATGTTAATATATTCTAAGTAACGGGTTTTTTATATCTGTACATACGGTAAATAAAGTGTGATTAAATTTTAAAGCTCAAAAAAAATGTATACGATTCAAGGTTATTTAAGTTACAAAAAAAACATTATAGAAATATCATATCAAAACTGTTAACAATTTTTCTCGTATGACAATTTTAAAAGTAATAGTATAAGTATTAATTTATTTGCAAAGTCGATCAAATATTGTATAAAAGATTTACGTACCTATTATTGTAAATAATGTTTTTTTTAATATATTTAAAGACGCAAACGTCAAAAAGTTTTTTGTCATTTGTCACATGTCCACAAGTTTGTTGCCAAACTGAAATGGAGCTATTTTAATTTCTCTTTCATATAAATCTACGTCGTTTGACATTGCAAATTTGTTTTGAGAGTACTGCAATAAACGTTACGACATTTACAATTTCACGAGTGATATGAAATTGCTCAAGATATATATAAATACTGTTGTATAATGTATGGATCTCGTTCTTTTACAGTCGCCCAAAAACATTATTTTTATTTAAGATTCACGACTGCTTATTATTAGTTAAGTAATCGAGACGATGTCTTGAAGCATTTATTTTCTAGGCTAATGTACCTAACTGTACTTATAATCTCTAAGAATCTCATATTGTAAATTATAATATATATTTGTATACAACAATAGGATCTAGTTTTATTTTTGACTGTATCTATGTACCATATAAGAAATGGGTCCCGTCATGTCCAAATGTAGTTCCTATAACTCTTTTATGTAATACGATTTCCCTACAAATATTTTTCATACTAATTCCTACCTGTAAAATTGTCAAAGATTTCCTTGAGTACACATTGAAATGAAACTATGGTTTTCAGATATGTCACGTTTTAGCAACGTGACGTTTAAGTTTCTTTAAAGCAATTATACAACAGCACAAAATAGTTAATAGCTATTCAGCTCAACCTAAAAGATTCATTAATATCAATCTAGACTATTGTATACCTACTAGTGATTAATTTTATACGTAAATATTTCTTGTGTTTTTTTCTACTGACAAACTGTAAAGATGCTGCATCTCGTCGTTGTATGTTTCCGCTAGGTGAATTCATCATAATAAACTAACGAACTATTAATGAATTCTACTCACACGCATAAACTCAGTTTAGAGTGAAGTTGGGGATACAAAAAGAGGATAAAATTTTTAAAATAGACCCTGGAGGCTGGACAAATATCTCTCTTTAAAGAAAATTCAGATGATTTCAATCAATGTTATTAATTTTCTGGATTATCCTACTGAAGTTAAAGAATAATAATATTAGTTGTCTTATGTACCACAGCGACATAGTTTAATGACCCACGTCTTACGAACACAACCAGTTAAAATACTTTTTACTGAAAGCTATTGTTGCAAGTGACGCCATTTCTGCCGTACTATTGTACTGAACCATTGTAATTTTGTAATGATAACATTTAGGGCGATTTCAGACTAGCGTTTTTTTCAGCGCGTATACGGTCGTTTCAGTATACGCGCTTACACGCGCGCTACATTACGCGCTTCAAAAAACCGGACGCGCGTAAACGCGCATATTTCGGCGTGTTCGCTCGAACCGGTGGTATCGTGTCAGTATCAACATGGATTCTGACGAAGAAACATTACTTTTTGCGTTACTTATTCGCCGTCGACTGAGACGACGGAAAAAGTGCTGGGTGCCACCGATAGTTGCATCAAGACTGATAACCGGTCACTTTAATACACTTTACCCAGAACTGCGAAGTGATTCTAAACGATTTAAAAATTACTTTTGGCTCGCGCTTATACGAGCTTAGAAGCGCGTCAACGCTCGTACGAGTTGAGCGTGTGCCAAAAGGCGCGCCTATACGCGCCTACATGCGCTTCCAAAAACCAGCTCATACGCGCGTATAAAACGCTAGTCTGAAACCGCCCTTAAGCATCATCTTTTTGAAATTACTATAAACTATGGCTTCAATAATTTCGGAAGACATTACTGGAAGTAGCTCAATATTAATAAACACATCTATTTCGAACACTAGTGTATTTAAAATGTTTCACTGTGCATTCCAGTCAGTTTCTTCTTAGGATACTACCTAACCGTCTAAACTGTTTTTTCTGATCATGTAAATTTTAATATATAGATTTACTAGTTCTAAGATTTCAAACATTACTTAAAAATGTTTCTGCTTATTACCAAAAAATACCAGTTTTCTTAATAGTTCTAGTACCTAGATAATGTATTGATTTAATGTCGTCTTATAAGATAGCACACAAGGCAAAAAGATGTTTGTGTATCAGTTTTGTTTATGGTGATGAATGAACTTGTTTATATGAGACAAGGCAAAGACAGTAATTTTTGTACAGAGTCCTGAATTTAAATATCATTTAACATGAGTTAGAATTCTCTATAAGTAAAATAAAGGTAAAATATATAATAAATACTCTTTGCTTGCTGCCTCGGAGCGGGATCGTTAATATGTAAGGGTGATTAATAAAACACAGAGTAGAATCCAAATGTGTTAATACAAAACAAATGTAATAAAATCATCGCCGGGTGGAAATTTAAAATGTTCTAATAGACAACAGTTCCCGGAGCCGCTGGGTGGACATTTATCATCGACACTCGCCGCATAATGAAACCAGTATCTTCTTGTAATGTATTTCATTAATTGAATGCATTACTTCAATATTTCCATGTATTTCATATATCTGATGCAGCCCAGATCGAGCCTCGCGCCATTTCCTCAGCGGCTCCCGTCGAGCCATAATAAACTACACTCCAAAGTAAATAGCGGCTAAGTAGTTTAAAAAGTATAGAAAAAAAATCTGTATATAGGAACAAATATTAGCGGTGATTTAAAGAGTCTAGATTCGAAGCGGGTAGTTCTCTATTGCTAACGCTATGGGTACATGTTTATATTAATATATTCTAAAATTTTTTGCACAGCAATTATATCCAGTGCCGACTGCGGTCATGATTTTTCACAATACATCGGGAGGTTGAAGGGCTACCGAAGAAAGCCTCGGAACTGTTTCGGAATATTTAGTTTATAATCCTCCGATGGTTATATGAGCTTCAGTAGCGACTGTTTTTGAGGGGTGGTGGGTGGTAGGTATTTGGTTGTGGGGTAGTGGTTTTAGGTCGTGTGTCTAGATGGCGTCTATGTCCACGTCGATGTCATCTTCCTCGGGCTTCTGTCGCGGGGCAGAGGGCGCCACCACCGCCTTGATGGGAGTCGCCTTAGCGCGGTCGTCATACTGGATCTACAACACAAATTCATTCAAATGAGATCCAAGATTTTCGCGAGTATTCATTTAAATGAAACTAATAATTTTCGGATGCACTACGCGTTTTTTATTTTTGATCATAAACTACGTAATCCCGACGTTTCGGTTACTTTACAGCAACCGTGATCACGGGCAGACGATTGACAGTTAGTTGAATATAAATGTAAGGGACAGTAATTAAAAAAATATTAGAACTACACTAGCTAGCTACTATACTATACTAGAATATTCATTCGCTTTTCTGAGGACACCAAGTAATCAGCAATTCTACACAGACATACGGTCACAGTGACTAACTCCCCCTCAGACATCCTACTAATATTATAATTGCGAAAGTTTGTGAGTGTGCGTATGTTTGTTACTTCTTCACGCTCAAACGGCTGAAGCGATTTTGATAAAATTTTGTATACAGGAAGCTGACGTCCAGGAATAACACATAGGATACTTTACATCCCGGAAATCCGCGAGTAACACCGCGGTTCACAGCTAGTAATATATAATATAGTCACTCCTACCTCAATATCTTCCTCCTGCGAGCTGGAATCTTCCTCATCGGCCTGTTGCAGCCAGTCTATGAAGGGCTGCGCGCGCCTCACCACGTCGGCCACTGTCTCCCGCGGCGCGTACTTCTTTGACGGCTTGGCGGCCCATTCGAGGATCGTCTTCTCCTCCACAATGTCTAGATCGTAAAGCAGCTTTAAAACGGCCGGCACACGCTGTAGCAGCGCGGGGCTGGTATGCGCGAGGGCGGTGAGCGCGTGCAGCGCGGCGCGGGGAGCCTTGGCATCCGCACGCGCAAGTCGTATGAGCAGCATGCGGTGCTTCTTTACGTCGGCCGCTAGCGTGTTCGCGCCGACCAGTACTTCGAACGCGACCAACAACGCCTTTGATTTCACGTCCAGTCTGTTGTTACAGAAAATTTATTATATAAATTTACTAAAAAGGATTTAGTTCATAGTCTGTAAAGAAGAGATATAGGGTCGTCTGTAGACTATGGCCGTTACATGACTTGATATACAATAATAATGTTATTTTACGGGCACTAAATTTCGGAACAAATAAAGATCATACGTTTACTGTAAATTGTCAACAGATCAACAGAGATGTCTACGATACAGGCCTAGCCTAGTATGAACGTCAATGTTTACTGTAAATTGTATTGTAGTGTTTTTACAAATAAATACAAGTCATATACCTATCGACTTCGTGCAGTATATCGCTGATAGCCCTGTTTCCCTCCACGTCTCCCGCGTCAGCTCGTTGTTTCAGGAACGCATAGAACAGATCCATCCTCTGCTTTTCGTTCTTTTCGCTGTCCTCAGATAACGTCATACTCTTGGCGCCTTCCGTTAGATCTGAAATAAAACGATCAGTATGTAAGTGAATTATACATACATGTAATTTTTATCTTATTATACATCTACGAACTAAAAGGTCGTTCAAAAACAATCAAAATTTTTAGGCAAAACTTAAAACAAACGCGAAGTTACAAAAGGACAGGTTAACAACAATTACCGAGTATTTTTCAGTATGCCCCTCGTTCCTACAATTATTATTATTTGATCCTCATTACACAACGCAAAAAAAGATTAATAAACTTTAAACTAAACAAAAACAATATCACAAGTGATATTTACTCGTGATAACATCACTATATCGTCGGGAATACTGCAAATCCGCGAAACTACCATTGGATAATTCCACGTATCTACATTGGAAGCAGATTATCAGAAGTTTGAGCTGAAATTTTCTATATTAACGACTTTCAAGGCAATTTTTTCACAATCTATATATATAAAAATGAATTGCTGTTCCTTAGTCTCACTAAAACTCGAGTACGGCTGAACGGATTTACCTTATCTTAGTCTTGAAATGTTCGTGGAGGTTCAGGGAAGGTTTGAAAGCTGAAAAAAATTGATTCTTTTCCGGGAAAACTCTAAAAACAGCCCTTTTCTATTTCCCATACAAACGTTTTCTTTGACATAAGATTTGACAACTAACTAATGTCAATCATTCTGTTCGATTGAAACAGGAGAAACCTGATTATTAATGGCCTCTAAAACGGAATAGAGTTCGCCCGGTCAGCTATACATATATTACTAATGACGAAACTAACGCGGACGAAGTCGCGGGCAAAAACTAGTTAATCTTCTATATATATAAAAATGGATTGCTGTTCCTTAGTCTCGCTAAAACTCGAGAACGGCTGAACCGATTTGGCTAATTTTAGTCTTGAAATACTCCTGGAAGTCCAGGGAAGGTTTAAAAGGTGAGAAAAATTGGAAGAATTCCCGGAAAACCCTAAAAACAGCCCTTTTCTATTTCCCATACAAACGTTTTTTTTGACATTAGATTTGACAACTAACTAATATGTCAATCATTGTGTTTGATTGAAACAGGAAAAACCTGATTATTTATGGCCTCTAAGACGGAATAGAGTCAGTCAGCTATACCTACATATATTACTCTTGACCAAACTAACGCAGACGAAGTCGCGGGCAAAAACTAGTTAGTAATAAATAAAAAACTAAATAATCTGCTTGCAATGTAGATACATGGAATTATCCAATGGTAGTAATGATGATTTGCACTATCCCCGACGATATGCATCAAATATGCCCAGTCACCCCCACTCCCTATCCGTAGTATACATCTATCTATCTATCTCCCTCGCACCTTGCATCCTGGCCCTAACAGCCTCCTCGCTCACGTCCACGGTCCAGTTTCCGTCGTCATCATCATCCTCGGCCTTCTTCTTTTCCTTCTTGCTCTTCGGTTGAGGAGCTGTGGGCGTCACCGGAGCTTCTCCCTCCTGGAAAATTATTATTAAATTATTGACACAACATATTGATACTAAAACTTGATTTAAGACTTGTGCGTTAAAACAACATTAAATATAACTATTTTATTTTCAGTTGTTGCATCTGTCTTTTTCTGAGCCAATTTTGTGTAACACCATAATATATTTTAAGAATGTCTGTATCTGAGTATAGATTTTAACGTCCTTGGAGTTAAGTGAAGCAGACCATTATCATTGTAGTTTATGGTGGCTGCCAGTAGACTTCTTTTGTTGAGTTTCTGTTGACATTAATGGGCGTTAAATTGAGAGTCATTGAGAGAGCTTTATTTTGCATCCTCGAGTCTTTTTCCTAACGTCCTTGTAATTTTCGTGATTTCTATCTTATTTCCGCTGACTGTACTTTAGTTCCGAAAAGAAGTTGCAATTCGTCACTCTAGTGTCCTCTTTACGAGTGTTGACTATCTCATTTGATACACCTCAATGTCACTGACGTTTATTCAAGCTCAAATCTAGTACAGCCAGCCAAGTCTTTTATTGAGTCCGCTATAAAATACCCGAAGTAAAACCGAAAAAGCATGGCTTTATCGTTACTGTTTATCGTTAAGTAGTTAAATTGATGTCGATTAAGACAGGCTTTCATTTGCAACAAAAGCGTACCTTGCCAAATTAGTTTAACGGCTATATGACAATAATATTTCCTTAGCGATAGTGCAAATCCGCGTAACTAGCATGGGATAATACCGAGTATCCACATGGGAAACAGATTATCAGAAAAAGGTTTAAGCTGAAATATTTACTATATTAACGACTTTTAAATTTTTTCACAATTAGCAATTATTTTGTGTTTCATTTATTACTAATTGTGAAAAAATTACATAAAAAGTCGTTAGTGTAGAAAATATTTCAGCTAAAATTTTCTTCTGTTAATCTGCTTCCAATGCAGATACGCGGAATTATGCAATGGTAGTTACGCAGATTTGCACTATCCCCGACGATAAGTGAGTGTCTATAGTTTAGACGTCAACTCATATACATACATTCTTAGCGTCGTGTTGTTCCCCGTCGTGGTTCCCGTTAGCCGGACCGCTTCTTTTGGACCTCTTGCCGCGGTTACCCTCCGTCAGAGACGAACCCTGATGAATTAATATACAAAACATATTATACCACCATAAAGTAGCATATCGACAAATATTGAAATATAGCGCTAAGGTTATACAAGTAGGAATTGTATTTCTTCTTCATTATCTATTAGTTATTGCCCGTGATTTAAACAACGGTCGTGGATTTATTCTACGGAAAATATACGGAGATTTTAGATATATTTTTATAGCACACGTTTTATGCATGTTTGAGCTCCGAGATATATTCACGTAAGTTTTATCGAATAGCTTTCACTAGTTTTCTGTCTGAAAGAGCAATACATCAGTACGTTGTTACTCGCTTTCACATTTATAATATTACTACAGAAAAATTATAGTAGCAAGACGCGAGAATAGATATATTATATTATATATAATAAATTTATTATTTTATAGATAAAATTTTTAATATTTTGACGACATTCATAAATGAAAACGTAAGCTTAGATAACAGAGAGATAACATAGATAAACATCGTGTAGTAGCCGGCACGGAACAGATGAACGTTTTGGCGTAGTGGGGATAACTTAACGCATGCACACCTTAATGCAACAAACTGGTTACTTTTGATAGTCACCAATAACAAAAATTCGTAACAGTAACTTTAAAGTGGTCAGAATTGTACTTGGCCGTCTACTATACATGATTACCAGTGCCGTAACTAGGGCGGTGCCAGCAGTGCCCAAGCACAGGGCGCAAACCCTAGAGGGGCGCAGAAATAACCAGACTATTATCTAGTTTTATCTTATGTATGGTAGCTATATACTTTGTTACTTTGGTAAACAACAAATAGATAGATAGATTTATTTGTATTTACATTTGTCCATTTTATTTTTAGAGCCTGGTTAGAGCATTTTTTAGGGGCACAGTTTTGAAAGCTAGCACCGGGTGCATAAAAGCCTTGTTACAACACTGATAATTACATTATCAAGTATTGTCTCGTGTGTGTGTGTGGGAGTGTGTGTGTGTGCGTGTACCTGCACGGCGGGGTCGGCGGCGGGCGGGTTCTTGAGTATGAACGTGTTCAGCTTGTGGTTGAAGTCCAAGGTGCCGTGGTAGCCGCACGCCTTGCAGCCCTGCGAGATGGTGTTCCTCTTGGTGGACACGATCAGCTCCGTTTCAGGGTTGTCGCACTCCGGGCATAGAACAAACTTGCGGATGAAGCTGGAATAACATACATTATACATCAACAAATGTTACAAGGATCGTATGGACTATACCTACTAATATTATAAATGCGAAAGTAACTCTTGTCTGTCTGTCTGTTTGTTACGCTTTCACACCTAAACCACTAAACTGATTTTAATCAAATTTGGTACAGAGATAGAGTGGACCTTGAGAATGAACATAGGATAGTTTTTATCTCAGACTTTTGAAAGGTTCTCTTGGAAACGCGATATAAACGAACTCCACTCGGGCGAAGCTGCGGGCGGAAAGCTAGTGTAGTATAAGAGTTTTTGTATGAGATGTCCCACCCGTCCAGTAAGTCTTGCAGCTTGGCGGAGTCATGGCTTCCGTTCACTATGAAGCGCTCGTTCTTGAAGTCGAACTGAGTCTGGGCGCCCAGCTCGCAACCGAAGTACTTGGTCGGGTCTGAAACACAACAGGAACATTAAAAGAAAATAACGAGAGATAGGACCGAGATGGTTTGGTCGGTAAAAGCTATGCACAAAATTTATTTCAGTAATAATAGGCGTTTTTCATAGTGAAAACCTTTTCATACTAGAAAAAAAATTGGGTTTATGATGCATGCAATCTCGCAAAAACTGTAGGTCGTAATGTGCGGGAAGCAGCTTCTTTTCTAAGGTATTTTATCAATTACTAGCTTTTGCCGCGGCTTCGTCCGCGTGGAATAGTGATACGTGGATATGTGGGAACATAGTTCCCGTTCTTGCGGGGTTTCCGTAGAATTTTCAGGATAAAACCTATGTTTTTTTTTTATTTATTTATTTGTTTATTTGAATTAAGATTAATATTATTATGTTGATACAACTTAAACAAATTATTTCGACCAAATTAGGTACCATAAAAACGGTTTTTGTGAGTTAATCTTAAAAGATAGACATATACTGTCGCGGAGTGTTTTTAAGATCATTAAAAGAGCTATTATTCTTTAATACATATTTTTTGTGTATCTTGAACCGTTTTCACGGCGCACGCAACGGAAGGCTTCAAAGATGAAATAATTTCTCCCGTTTTTTACACATTTACCACTATATCTTTGCTGCTATTGGTCGTAGCGTGATGTTATATAGCCCACAGCCTTCCTCGATAAATGGACTATCCAACACAAAAAGAATTATTCAATTCGAACCAGTAGTTTCGGAGATTAGCGCTTTCAAACAAACAAACAAACAAACTCTTCAGCTTTATAATATTAGTATAGATTGCATTAGCCCTATATCCTATCTCTATGTATGTTCAGTGACCGCGTGTGTGAGTGTATAATCGTAAAGCTTTAGGACGTAATGTGCGGGAAGCAGCTTCTTTTGTACAGACAGTATTTTATTCAACATTGTATTATCTATATCCTAGATGTATGTATGTTCAGTGTATACTAACACGTGGCCGGTCTGCCGAGCGCCTTGGCCACCTCGGGCATGTTGACGATGACCGTCTTGATGCCGTTCCCCTTGCCCTCGACCTTGGCGCAGATCCGCGGCATCTTGTACCGGTAGAAGGCGTCCGCGACGTTCCGGTTCACGTTCACCGACCCCATTATGCTGTGCTTATTTATAATAACTAACTAATTATAACGGGGTTGCCTCTTTTTCTGACACTCGTTCTGAAACAAACGGTCGTTGGTTTAATATCTATCTTTATACGGGGATGGGTAGGTGGTGGTGACGTCACTCACCAGCAGGCCGCGGGTCGCCAGCTAGTGCGGCATGCGGCCGCGCTCGCGCCAGTCACGTCTGCCGCAGCAGCAGCTTCCGATGTCTGCTGCTGCACAACTTCGATCTTCTGCAACCGAAATATCTGTGTCCACGTTTATACGAAAACTGACAAACTCATACTACCGCTAGCTGTACCCTTCACCTGAACCTTAGTATGTAGTGGCCAACTAACCTGCGGGTGGTATTGTTCGGTGTGTGAAGCGTCATGCACGCTCGTCTACAGTCAGCACCCCTCGCCGCCACGCACCGACCACTCTCCTCGCACTGTACTGATGTCTCTGGAACAATCACATCCACTATTAATAAACATTCATTCACTAACATGTCCTCGGAGAACCCTCGTAAAAATACTCTTGGAAGGGATATTAATAAAGAAATTAATTCAGCGTGTTTAGTTTCGCTTTTCGTATATAAATACGTAAAATATTTAAGCATAAATAATGCCATTAGACGTCAAGTCCACGGTGTAGATTAAAAGCGATATGACGACATCAATAACACGTAGTGTAACGGTTATTTGAATGTAAGTGAAGTGTACACCGTAACAGTTATCGCCGTTTGCAGAGGATATATATTCAATAGTCCTAATCGTTTTATCAAAATTATTTATACTTTAAAAATAAAACAAACAGACGGTATCTATCGCTGGCGACGTCAAGCTCTTTTACGAATAAATATTGCGAATCCATATGGATAGCAATCTACGTTATAGTGATAATGGAATCTAAATTTGTGTATTTAAATAGCATTCCTTTTATGTAATTAAAAAAACTGATATAGAACAACAATAAACTCACGTTAAAAGAACTTATGCTAGTGTCATTACCGAAATGGCTCAAGTTCCCAAGGCCACTACGCCTCTTGTTGTAAATAACAACGCGTGTAGAGCGAGATGTCAACTATAACCTTCGCGGCAGCCTACTCCCGAAACCCCCATCGGCCACTTATAATTTGCCATACTGAGATTGCATTTCTTCACACACACAAACTACAGCGTGTATACGCGACGTCCTTGGACGACGGGCTCGCCATTGGTCGTAAAACTAGATTTTTAACTCACACATAGGCAGAAGTGTCGTAAAATTGTTATATACTTTCGACTGCCGCGTTTCGTACATTAAGAGATTTATAGTTTCCTCATCTTTATCGGCGACGCAGACATTGTACTCCGCTATGGGATATTTATACGAGCACATAGAGCTCACAACGGTTTACAGAATCTACACGCATGGTGTGAAAATCGATTATTACAGAAATAAAACCGGCCACGACATTTCGTTGAAGTGTGTAGTACGAAATTATAATGTTGATTTTAGAGGCGAAACATTTGTTTTCAGAGTTTGGTCGATTTTCGAGTGATCTCTAGTTTTACGGAGATGAAGATGTATGAGAGTTGTGGAGACGGGTCGAGTACCAATTGAGACACCATCTCCAACACTTTAGTATACTTGATGTGAGAGTTAAAGAAAAATAAACTAGAGGAAGAACATATAAGACGGTTCCATACACAGTCCACAAATAAATCTGTACAATAGACATATTATAAGACTTCACGAAATGAAATCTTTATATCTCGTCTGCCCGTGATCATGGTTGTTGCAAAGTAACCGAACCGAACCAAGCGTCGAGAGTATGTAGTTTTCAAAAATAGTAAAATAGACGTAGTAATCCGAAAATATTATTAGTTTCTTTTAAATGAATACTCGATTTTTTTTTAAAAACCCAGTACTCAACTGTCTTTAAGTAAACACAAACGTGAAAAACGATCGCATTATACGATAAACTTTCGTGTGATAATAAGTTAAAGCCTAAGTTGTTGCACTAATGCATGAAGTGTTTGTTAGAAAGCATCATACAAGATCATGTATAGAGAGACATGAGAATACATATTTACTAGGTACACGTAATGCACTGGATTAGCATAATAATCTTAATGTTTTATTGATGTAACCTCTCGTCCACATTTCATGACCTGTGTCAATATGAACCGGAGACTATCCGGTATCAGACTTCAACCAGAAATTATTCTGTTTGTAAACAGTGCTTGGACAATGGTAGGTAATGTTTTATGGACGACGAAGGGCTCTTTAAAATATTAGAGAACCAATTACTTAAGACTGCCTCTAACAGACTGAGCTTAATATTATATTTGTAACAATTTTTGCAACTCGAGATGGTCTTCCTAGTACAACAATGCTTGCTTCTAATCAGAAATACGGCCAATGATAAAGGTATCTTGTTCGTTAGTATATGTTCCTGAGAATAGTCCTAGGTGCCTGGTCAGCGGTATGTGATGATGAGTCTTTTTTTTAGACCCAGTGTCATATATAACGAGAGACCGTCAGCCGGAACAGCCGGCCGCTGTTTATCCGGTTACACTGCCATTGTTTCGTAATGGACATACATACACTATTGTTACAATTAAATTCAACATACGTGAATGATTTCTGTTCTACTCTAACTACGTATTTTGTTACATATAATTTTCGTTTAAGTTTTTAACAGGTAATCAAAATGCTTGACGTAGTAATCTATAGAAAATAACGGTGGACAAATTTGAATTATATAATTGTACTAGCTTTCCGCCCGCAGCTTCGCCCGCGTGGAGTTCGATTATATCGCGTTTCCAAGAGAACCTTTTAAAAGTCTGGGATAAAAACTATGCTGTTCTTTCTCAAGGTCAATTCTACCTCTGTACCAAATTTCATTAAAATCATTTAATCAATCAATTAATCATATTATATACTAAAAAGCGTTTGTTTCTCCAAATATAAATACTGTTACGATATTTAATCCATCTATACAGTTGCAGCTATCTTTATAGGTTAAAAAGACTAGCATGCTGCATATTTCTAATAAGTGTTATCTATGTATAATCTCATGCCTAGTTACATCAAGGGTCTCTGTATCAGCTGTTTTAGTATCATTTGTGTGTAAATTCAATTTTCCCGTTCGCTGGTTCACAGTGGTGAACAATATCACGCCGGTACAGACGAGCTGTCTCCCGATCAATACACGTGGGAGTCATCTCGTATTAATGACGCGTGCGGTAATACATACATTAAAAATATCATTAATGATAAATAAAGCGTTTTTATGTTATACTAATATTATAAATGCGAAAGTAACTCTGTCTGACTGTCCGTCTGTTACGCTTTCAAGCCTAAACCACTGAACTGATTTTGATGAAATTTGACATAGAGATGGAGTTGACCTTGAGAAAGAACATAGGATAGTTTTTACTTTTTATCCTAGACTTTTGAAAGGTTCTCTCTTAAACGCGATATAACCGAACTCCACGCGGGCGAAGCTGCGGGCGGAAAGCTAGTGTTATATAACATTAATGAGTTACCAATATTATCATGACGCGTACATTACATACTGATAGTGTCTTTACAGAAGCCGAGTTTGTACAACCGTCATTACAAGTACATTTTACATCGCTAATATTATAATAAACTACTTATGTTGCTCACTGTACAGGTCAACCTCACGCCTCAAGGTTGTATTACTTTGTCGCATGCAAATTGGCAGTGACGTCATGCAGAAAGACCAAAACTATTATTTTCGGGTAGACGTGTAATATTGTTGGTTGATAATATTTTTTTCGCATTTCGTGTCAGCGGATGCGATACATTGATTTACGAGCGACCAATTACAAAGCGTTTCCTTTGATACATACATAACATCCGCTGGTCGTGGTAATGTATAAAGAATGTAACAAGATCGAAACAATCGCTTCTCAGCTGACCATCGGATTCCGATCATCAGTCGACAACTGATCGGATAATAAAATGTAGGTTTGAGTTGTATAGAATACTAGCTGCGTCCCGCGGTGTTACCCGCGGTTTCCCGGGATGTAAAGTAGCCTATGTGTTATTCGTGAACGTCAGCTTCCTGTATACAAAATTTTATCAAAATCGGTTCAGCCGTTTGAGCGTGAAGAAGTAATAAACATACACACACTCACAAACATTCGCAATTATAATATTAGTAGGATTATATCATTCGTGACGAGGCTGAACTTTTAAGGTCAAGCGATTCAATTACACCCTTCATGACAAAAACGCGTTTCCTACATACATATATCATCGCTGCAATAATTAAATAAAATATATGTAATAATTGGCCGGCACGAGTCAGGCGTATGTCTAGTATGTGTGAAGTGTCATGTTACAACACGTAAGGCTACGTATTAAGACAATTTACGTCATATATTGTACAAGGAAATTTTTATATATGAACATTACATCGATCAAGACTATTCCGCATTGAGAAACGGGTGGAGGTTTTGTAGGTGGGACGGGGTTGGAGGGGGTCGGAGGGGGTTACCTACTGTAAGGGGAGAGGGTTGCCGAGGGCTCATGCGCCGTGCTATTGATTAGAAACACCGCACCTACCGGGCGTTCGACGATTAAAATTAACACAGCTATATATTATAGGACGGACCCAGATGAAATGAAATATTATACAATAGAGAAAATAATATTGAATATTATAATTATATGTCCTTAATGTAACAATGGGATGCTGATTAAGATGTTCCCACAGCGATAAGACGATCAGTTCGGACGGTACAAGGGCTCGGGCAGGTCAATGAACTTGCCAATTCCAAATTACAAATGCATCGCAGCAGTCGGTTAAATACCAGCGTCAAGCGGTGAAAGTTTTTCACGGATATCATTATATTTTTTCTTATTGCTTTGTGACTATAATAATAAGTAACTAATTAGTCTAGGTGACATTGTACAGGTTAAAATATATGGCTATGGAACAATTTATAGTAATGATTAAGTACCACATTACACGAACCCAAAAATATAATTGTGTCAACGAAAATTACACTAAATTTTCGCGAGCGGAGTCGAGTGAAGACATTGTTAAGATAAATTTACCTCCACATAGTAGTTAGAACAGTATACTAGTACTGTTGTAGTATATAAATACAAGATTTTTGATATCAATCAATCTTAATATACTTTTATACTATTTTCTGACCTGAATTCGTCTTGAGGAAAAAGTACCAACAATCATTTTCGAAAGGCAAAATATTTTTAAGGAAATACAAAAAAGAACGAACGCATGGCTTGAAAAAAACAAAGTACCCCACAAAGTCGAAACTAAGAAAATTCTACAAAGAAACTAATTTACAAGATATTAACAGTTAAGCTATTCTATATCTTCTGTAATAGGTACGGTACATTGTTTAATTCATTACTACCACGCGTATGTTAGAAAGCTCGCTACATTTTCATCCCCAGATGGATCTAATCAATCATTTCCCTCAATTCACATTATTTATAACATTTTATATATTTTTTCCGTCATCGATCAAACCACTAAGCAGCGAGACGGGCCAGAGTACGTCGACCCGCGTGACATAACACTCGCACTGCGGCCTTTACCTGCTTATACTTTCACCCAAATTAAATATTACGCAGACAAACCGACGGACGGACTCAATGAATACAATAATAGTAGCAACTTGAATGAAGCGAGATCTAAGACTTTCGTATTCATTTAAATGAAACTAATATTTAAATTACTACGCGTTTTTTATTATTTTAAACTATATAGTCCCGATGTATATGATACTTTTCAACCGTGATCATGGGTAGACGAATGAATTTTCATTTACACAATTCTCATACACCAAGTGTACATTTATTGTATGTATTTTAAACTTTTATCTCATGTATAGAGCGTAGGATACGAATCGTAAAATTCTACGGAATCTAATTGTAATCCAATCCATGTAGCGAGGGAGACGCATGCAAACTATGATACAACAAATAGTCACTTTGTATGACATTCAGAATAAGAGAAATTTGAAAAGATAAACATGAGCAGTGTTCAGACAATATTACAAATTATATTGTGAAATGGTCCAGAGATCTCAGATGTAGGTTAATCTATGGCCGGCTTATACAAAAAATTATCTAAAAACGTAAAAAACTGCAAAAATAATGTTCATTTAAAAGAATAGTAACAATTTTGTAGAATTTATATTAACTTTATTATGTGTGACCATGCTTATACCTCATGTACATAGGTTGGAGAATAATTTCAAGTGCAAATTATTCAATTGGCAAGTAAACAATTTTTTAATACAATTTTTTACCTCTATAAAATTTATTGAATGTGATAACAGCAATGATAAGGAAAAGTCACAATAAGTCTATAGCAAATGAACTAAGAAACAGTTCAATAAATATTAAAAGGATATTTTTTTTTATTTAATTGGACTTAGATGTGTACTCATGCCAGTAGATCCACGATGAATAGTTTTTCTATAGTTATCATAAAGAAATACCTATAGTTACAAATTTTCCCTATACCATGACTAATATACGAGGGATTCCAAATCATCTTAGCTTCACCGAGCACTAGACAAATGATAATCATAATTAGTACTTTCAATGTATGAAATACACAATGTAACTATATGTATCTTATTGAGCAATAAACATGCAACTCTGCATTACATATCAAAAGCAACTATCATTTGTTTCCAGAAATATTGTGATGAAATTTAACTTATCCATATTTAAAACAATTTGTGCCTTGTATAGTTTCAAAATAAGGCATATACAAGATGAGTAATTATAAATCGTTCTAATATTAAATTGTGTAATAATCTTTTTTATAGAAATCCTATAAATGTAATAAAAAATCAAACTTCTTAAACATTATAAAGCATTTAAATGGGTCAAACAAAGTAAGGAATTTGAATTGAATTATAAATAATTAGCATTCAAATAAACACATTCACACTGTTTTTATAATCTTTTTTACTGTGCTTTTCTAATCTATGCAATTTATTACTATTACAAAGGTGAATTGTATAAACTGATATATATATTGTGTAATAAAATAATACGGTGTTGCTTTCCAAAAATATATTGAATATATTATCATATATATTCAGAAATTCAATTTCATTCACTGATAATTAATAGCAAAGAAAATTAGAGTACTACAAAATATTTTCTGGCATAAAATCTCCATATTTTTAAAGCTTATTTAACATATTATCTAAATTCACCCACACTAGTGTTAAAATGAGCAAGAGTTATCTAATTGGAAATTGATAAGGAAGTTATAATTAAGTAATGCATGAAAGTTTAAAATTATTTGTCATTTTGTATACTCATTTACATATTAATACTGACTTTAATCATTTTGTAACATAATTAATTTTCATATATAAAGTTGAGACATGATATTGATTTGTAAAGATAACCTAAGAGGTATAACTTTTCGACCGTAGAATGCGTCTAATAAGTTATGTTTCGTGTTAATGGTTGTAAATATCTAATATGTACCTGTATATCTTGCTAAAGTCATATAAAATGGTAGCGCCCCACTGGACGAGAGCTCACAGATGGGATGAATTGTTGGTCCTTCCTAGCTGGCACTGAACCACGCGAGCCCGGCACTCCAAACCTGCACCAACCAAATATTACCTTCACTCGTACAAATCACTTTAACATTAAATATCAAGATAATCTAACTATATATTTAATTTCATAAACCGAAACGTACGCACCAGCTGGCGAAAACGTGGTATCTACTCGCTAGTACCTATCTACCTATATAAGTAAATATGGACTGAAGATATCCGATATTATGTGTATACCTTCCCCCTATGACGACGCGTTGCGACTCTTCAATCCACGCAGCTCGGTTATATAAAAAAATGTTATACTATTCCACAACCACGTTAATCATGAAATAACATAAAATAAATAGTATTTTACTAAACGCAATCACGAAATCGTGTTTAAAAATGACGACTGAAAATAAATGAAAATGTACACTTTCTTATGTTTCTGGAACCGACTTCACACCGGAAGCGAATGTTTTTTAAATCTTGTAACAATGGGATTAAACATTACATGTTTTAGAAAAGACAATTTATAATCGAAGAAATATTGCATTTCTAAATATTTTGAATGCAGAAGATTTACGAAAATTTTATCGTTCCTAAGAATAATATGTTGACTAAAAATAAATAATAAAATTTAAAAATCGGAAGTAACTAGTCTTGTCTATGATTCAAGATTGACAACCTCTTGAAGTCCAGAGACAAGAAACTTTTGAATAAAATTGCTTAATTATAAATTGATTCATTTATTATGATACGGAAATAATAAAATTTCTTTTTATTTCTTTTTATTATAAAACCTTAATAACCTTTGATTTTTCCATACTCATATTAAAATTATATTGGTCATTTCTACTCTGTGATACCTTCATGATTCAACATTTTAACATCTTATATCGAAATAATTAAATATTTTTAAGTTTCATTTTAGTAAAATAAATAATTACATACGTTATTTTCAATTTTGTAGCTGTCAAAAGACAAATTTTGAGCTGGCAACAAAGTTGTTGTAATAGGTTTAAAAAAATGGGCACCCAGTGCCTTCCTTGGATGTCTTAGTACAAAAAGACCGATTTTTCGGTTTCACATAAAAATAAAATAATATTATAAAATATAAAGATAACAAAATATATGTTATAACAATTGTTTAATATTATAGATTTTAATATTAATAAAAAAATGGTAATACACAACCATCTGATTTGATTTTCAAAAGGTTATGTGAATGAAGTGATTTCTTAAAAAGTTATATCTGTTGCAGCATTCATGTCGACAATTATTATGTAGTTCTGCACGCTGGAAGAGTGCTCTACCAATACACTTGAAAACACCCGTGTTAACATTGAAACCTGATCAGGTAGACTTATTTGTTAGACAATTGTTGGTTAGGACTTGATGAAAGAAACCTTGAAAAATATCATTTAGAATTTACATATTATTATAAATTTGAGTTATAAGTAATGTAACCAACATTACTGTTATTTCATATATGTTAAAGATTATACTCATTAGCAATTACTATTATAAATAAATACTATATAGTTAGTGTTATGTCATTAAAACATGATGTTTAACTTGATATAAAATTAATGATAATTTATCATATGAAGATTCTTTTTGATTGTTTAACTTTTAATATGTCATATGTATTTCATCATTCAGGGTGTAGTTCAAGAATGTCGTCAATATTCAGCACGGAAAGGTTTCTTTTCCTCAATCCTGGAAAACATAAAAGAAGATATAGCCAAAAATAAGGAAATGAAGGAAAATATCAAAAAATTCAGGGAGGAGGCTCAGAAACTTGAAAACTCAGATGCATTACAAGCAGCGAGGAAAAAGTTTCTTGCCGTTGAATCAGAGGCATCAAAAGGTTCGGAAGTGTTGAAAGAAACTATCGAAGGCATTAAGGGGAAGGTGGAGCATGTTATAGAGGAAGCCAGCAAAACTGAGATAGCTAAAAGGGCGGGTGAGTAGTGGACATGAGTGTAGTGAAATATAAATAAAACTAATATTATTTAGATTATATTATGTGTATCGATTATACTACAGTGATCACATTTGCTGAAAAATAACTGAATCTGTGGGAGTATGTAGTTTTTACTAATAATAAATTATACATGGTATAAACTATAAGTCAGTGTTAAGTCGGTGGTGGCCTAGTAGTTAAGAGAGCCTTCCTCTCATGCACGAGTGCGCAGGTTCGATCCTGGCAAGTATCAATGTAATTTTTCCGAGTCATATGTACTTTCCAAGAGTATTTAGACATAGACTGATTAATACATTCCCAATGAGGCTTGATGTCAGGTAGGCGGTCGGTCATAAAAACAATTATCCAAAACTATTCACAATATGTAAGGCAGACCCTGGCTAAAGCTGGGAAATTGCCAGGTAGAAGAAGAAAATGCACAGTATAGATTAAAAATTTTAGTTTCATTTAAATGAATACTCAAGAAAGTGTTAGATCTTAATATTAAAATACATATTGTCACTTTGTAATAGTTTCTTTGTTAATGATTTTTTTTCTATTCATTACAATAAAAAATAAATACATTATAAAATATATTACATACTTTTTCTGTATAAAACTTTCAAATCAATTAAATAAATTTCCAGGAAAAATAACAGAGGACATCTCAAAAACTGCAAAAGATGCTGCGGAGTCTTTAGCTGATAAGAGTCAAAAACTTGGTCAGACATCGGCCTTTAAAACAATATCTCAGGTATTACATTACTTGCTAATATAAAAAAGTCTATATTATGGTGGTAGATCCTAGCTGTGGTAAAGTTACAACTCGAACATGGGCTGGCTCGACCGGGGAAGTACCACCCTCTCACAGGAGATCGGTGTGAAGTAGCCTTTAATGGCTGAGTTTTGTTCGATGAGTGAGAGAGCCGGTTGCCTTTTCCCTGTTTCCACCCTTTACTGCCATTTCTATATGGGAACATATACCCCACCCTCTTCCTCAATAATCAATGTTGGCAACACATCCACAATATGTCTTATATTGTAGATAGTCATAGGCGACGGTAACTACTGCCCATAAAGTAGGCCGTCTGTACATTTGCCGCCTTTTATATAAAAAAAATTGAAAATTTCTCTTATATAAGTATTTTTGTGTAATGTGACGTTTTAAACACAATTTCTAATGAGATTTTAATGTTTTTTCAGGCTACAGAGGTAGTTAAAAATGAAATGGCTCCTAAAGGATTAGAAGGAAGAGTTTACACTTCACCGGCGACGTTACGGAAAAGACTTGAGGTATATATACATATTTGTAGAGACCATGTCTATTAAGATAATTAATTTAGTTTCACGGGGTTGACATTTTTAGTTATACATGTATAGTAATGAATGTTTTAACTAATAAAGTTGTTAAGAAGTTGTGTGAGACATGTAACTGTTTAGTCAAATACCAAGTTTACCTCAGTTTATGGGGATTTGAAGAACTTAGTGTGTCTTGGAAAGTTAATTGTATATTTCAGAGCTAGTTCCTGTTTGTAACATAGAAAATAAACAAAAATTAAAAGCTATTGTCATCTTAGTATCAAATGTACTAATTAATTGGCATAGATATGTGAAACTTTTGGTTTTCTTGGATAAATCCTTCTATATTACTGCTACAAGCACTTTTAATATGTGGTCAAGGATAGTGCAAATCAGCTTTACTACTATTGGATAATTCCGAGTATCTACATTGTAATTTTTTCACAAAAAGTAGTAAATTAAACAGTAAATAATTACTAATTTCGAAAAAATTAAATTAAAAGTCGTTATTTAAATGAAGCTAATACTTTCGGATTTACTACGAGTTTTTATTTTTGACTTATTAGTTTCATTTAAATGAGTTAGTTTCATTTAAATGAGTACTCGAGAAAATCTTAGATATCATTAAAAGTCGTTATTTTAGAAAATATTTCAGCTTAAACTTTCTTCTATGTGATTGTTAGAGTAATAGGTAATTAATCATGTTTATTGTTTGTCTGTGTGTCAGGTTGCAGCTACCGAGCGTACGTTTGAGGCTGACCCCAACGCTACCGGCCTGGAGTTACACAAGGATTCAAAATTTTATCAACAGTGGCAGGACTTTAGAGACAATAATCAGTACGTCAACAAGGTAGGCTTCATATTTAATATACGGTACATTGAGATAGAATAAGGAGGATTTAGGTAGAGAGAGGAGCTTGGACAGTGGAGGTGAGCGTTTAACGCGCGTTAGACGACCTTTAAACCTACACCTGGGTCACAAGTCACAGTCACTGTTGAAGCTCCTCTCACTACAACGATGGACCCGACACACGCACCGTGAATACATTGAATGCTGAGAGGTTTCGTCTCTTGGTATATTAGATTATTAGACTCAAAAATGGATACAACAAATTTAAATTACATGTAGGGGTGATGTTAGAAGATTTGAACTAAAATGTGATAAAGAACAATATGGAATAAAAATTAGTGTTGATATTTGAAGCATATATGTCAATTTGTAGTATTCAATAAAACTATACTAAATTTGTCATATATGTATTGTGCTAAGAAACAAGACAGAATGACAGACATCAATATAATAATCTCTCTATATTGCAATTGACGTCATATTATTTTAACAGTACCGACCATGTATACGGTATACCTCAAACATAACACTATCAAAAGCTCTGTCATAGTAATGCAGTAAATTTGATAATGTTTAAAAAAAAAAAAAAAATTATTTTTCAGGTACTGGATTGGAAAATAAAATACGAGGAATCAGAAAATCCTGTGTTCAAAGCGTCGAGGTTCGTGACGGAGAAGGTCAGCAGCTTGTTTGGGAACCTGTTCGAGAAGACGGAACTATCACACACACTCACCGAGATCTGCAAGATAGATCCTAACTTCACTTCACAGAAGTTTCTAGAAGACTGCGCAAACGATATCATACCGAACATTCTAGAAGCTATGGTGAGAGGAGACATGGATATATTAAAGGATTGGTGCTACGAGGGAGTCTTCAACATATTATCAACGCCCATCAAGCAGTGCAGACAGTTAGGATATAAATTGGACTCAAAGATACTAGACATCGAAAATATAGAGCTAGTGATGGGAAAAATGATGGACCAGGGACCCGTGCTAGTCATCACCTTCCAGTCGCAGCAGATGATGTGCGTGAGGGACGCCAAGAACAACGTAGTGGAGGGTGACCCCAACAAGGTGATGAGGGTCAACTACGTGTGGGTGTTGTGTCGCGACCCCCAAGAGATGAACCCCAAGGCCGCCTGGAGGCTGCTCGAGCTGTCCGCCAACAGCGTCGAGCAGCTCATATAGCTTATGTAGACAAATAAATGTTTTCTAATGTTCCGGTGACTTTCCTTGTTGATATCATGCGGTTAGTTTATGAAGTGTTGCTGAGCTCAAATGAATTGATTTAGTATTGATGATGATTCTGTCGTGTTGTAACTTGTATGTATATAGTCCGCTAATTGATGACGTCACTGATGACGTCACAAATTTCCGTTCCAAAGTCCGAAGCTGAACTCCGTGAACACAGATTGGACAACGCGAAGTTGTTTATATTATTTGTACAATTTTAGTTTGATAACTTTATTATTTGTTATAATAAATTGTTTTATTCAAAGATATGTTTTAATTCGAGTTCTAAATGAAACAGCGGATCAGTAAACAGTTTTTATTAGAGGCACGTTCAAAGGACAGCGATCACATACATTATATACACAGTTAGTTTACAGATAGAAGGAGACCAGACAGAAAGAAACATACGTGACTAGCTTACTAATGATTACAGCTAACGAATTTACTCATCTTATAAAAAAAATGTGTAGAAAATCAATTCATATATATCGATAGCTTTATTTGTGCTACATGCTAACTAAACCGACACTCGTGAACAAAAATAACAATAAGTCTCATTAATTTTGATCAGCACAGCTTACAAATATATAAAAGTGCAACAAACATCGTTTGTTTCATATAAACTGGCGTACAAGCTAAGTATAGTGTTACAAGTGTATAGATTATACTAAAATATATCATTGTTGCCATATAAATAATACTTAGAAGCAGATAATTCGACGGAATGCCTATTTAAGTTCGTTCAGACCTTTCATTATCACAACCACACTAATTATATAAATAATTATTATAAAATGAAAATTATAAAAGCCTTAAAACATAACTAAAATGTTTGATAATATTAATTTATCTTAAACATATACTTTTATTTTGTAATCACCTACATCGAAAAAATATCACACAACTAAAAAAAATATTAAAACTTATGTGAATTTATTAAATTGTATTGTAATAAATGATAAGATATAAAACTAAACCTTAAGTAAATTAACTTAATATTTGTACCAAATAAGATAATAAAAAATACATCATTCATTGAGTCCACATGAAGCGAGCGTAAGCCTTTATATTAACTTGTAACGACAACAAATTAATTACGTACAAGCACAGATAATATACTTTTTTCCAATGTTTTAACTTTTAATTTAAGGTACAGAGTATACCGATACGACTTCAAATCGTGAGACATCGTAGGAAAAGCTGGTATTAAAAGTAGAATTCAAAAAAAGATATTTTTCTAAGTTAGCACTTTGAAACAATTTTAATGAATCATCAGATTTAACATCGCAAAATGTTAAAATCCCAAGCAGATCAAAGGCACTTCAAAAAAACTATCTACTAGGACTAAAACACTCCATAGACAAAAATGAAAACTGATAGACCATATTTTATTAAGAAAACCTATATATTACAGATTCATAGTCTTATAGAAACACGAGATTTCAAATTAATCGGGTAGTGAATCTGTAATTTACATTTTTATATCTCGCGAGACTCATAGATGTCATTACAATATATTATGTAGTAAGGATCATGTGTGAGGTCAAAGGTCACTCGACGGCCCATTGTAGTAGAGCGGCGTCCCTACCCCCCGCAGACAACACCCGCGACCCGTCACACGAAAAACGGACACACGATACGTGGGATGAGTGACCGCCGTATGTAGCACACACGCTCTGATGAAGAACAGTATGTATGAATATCAATAATATATATAATAGGCTAGGATTAGTATGCAATTACATGTAGAATATAATTGTGTTAATATTAGAATTAAATCGCTTAAAAAACAGACCATAATATGTAAGTGTATTAAACTTAAAATATTGGAATTAACGTACAGAGTATGAATGTAGAAAGATCAAGTCAATTAAGAGTTATGCAAGGAACTTGGAGATACTATTCGTCTGTTCATATAATAACTAGGTATATTATATTGTATACAGTACCTTGGGTTGTGTGACGGGGTAAGCGTACAGTTTCACTTTTCCGAAGTCGTCTCCGGTCACCGCCAGGCGGCTGTCGCTGGACCTACAGTTACACACACATACGTATATTAGAAAACATTACATAATATCAACAAACACACACACACGAGCACGCACATAAACACACACCACACATGAAAATATGTTATAGTCCGTTAGACTTAAGCTGAGCTTAGCATTTGTGTGAATGAAAGTAAAAGTAGAGTTAGACAAAAAACTTTTAGACTTCAATTCTTTTAATTATATTTTAAATAGATACCTAATATAAGTGCTAGAGCTATTCTAGATTAAAAATAAAATAAGCAAAACTTGTAAAAGGCCAGATGGAAATATTATGGAAAAAAATGTATTAAGTAATGAAAACTTTGAAAAACAATACAAATTTTTCTTCAATTGCCATTGCGTTTTCAACATTTGAAGTTGCTACCACTACAAAGGGTGCAATGGTGCGGGGCGAAGTAAAAGCAGAATAAACTGGTTCAAAACTAGAAAAGAACGTGGTATTCAAAAATTTTACATCACACCTACACTATCCGTGTGCACTCACGCAAATGCAAAGCTCAGCTTAAATCAAACGCACTATAACCGTCTGTATGTCTTACTTGTCACATGAGTTGATGTCCGTCCCGTCAGCGCCCTCTGGCCACACGCCCACGGTGGTGAACGTGATCGGGCAGTGGTTGGTCGCCCACGTGACGTCACGCATCGAAGTCGGTGACGTCACCTGGCGGCACGTGCTCGCGTTCCCTGAAGACATGAAATAGTACATATATAATATAGTCAGATACACTATGAGAAACAAAACATCATTGTAACAAAAAAGAATCTATTACATTCCTTAGACATTTCAGGCATAGATTTAATCATTATTTCATTTGATATTAAATAAATAATACTTACAATACAACAACTCATAGTCTCCGGAATTGCTTCTCAGGTATTGGCTGTCCTCAGACCAATCCAGGTGAGTTATGAAGCTCGAATGACCCTGATACAAAAATACAACACATTTAATTATTGAAATATTTATTAAAGTATTACACTACAAGAACTACCACAATAATATTTTAACTACAGTAAATAAAACTGAACTATGACATAACTAACTACTGAACTACAGCTATGAACTAATTGAAATAAATTACTACTACATATAGCAAAACAAGAAGCTATTGACTACATCCTACATAATATATTAAGAGAATTAACTAAATATATAAATAACTACATCAGCTGTAAATAAATATATATATGTAAACTACAATTTCTATTATGTTAAGCATCAACTATGAATGTAGTGTATATGTTACCCGTCTACGTTTTTTCTCCGTGCCCTTTGTGGCATGAAATGTTATATAATGTTTGACTGGTTTATACTTTAAACTAATATTATAATGTTTCTGGTACAAATGATAATATGTTTGAAGCTAGTCAGGCGTATGGAAGTAAAGTAGACTTTATGTACTTGATCATTAAAAGTATGGTTTATAACTAATGAGATCATTTTATTGAGATTTTTATACAGGGTGACTGGTGAATTACTATCAATATTTAAGGAGAATACTCGGTACATGATTCTCATTCGAATTATGTAAAAAAATAGGTACTTAATTTTTGACCAAATTTCCGTATAAATAAATAAAGTGTGGACACGTTCCAAGTGTTCCAAGTGTGGACGCGAGCGGCGGCGTGCTGATACAACACCACGCCGCCGCACGCGTATGTGTGTGTGTGTGTATACCTAATCTGTAGGGTGTTCACACGATGCGTAATTAATTACATAACTTTTGGTTAACTTTACTTAGAAGTTTATTAATATTTATGTTATATTAATTTTTATTTTGTCATATATGATCGTCAAATATCACGTCCTCAAGTATCGATAGTAATTCACCAGTCACCCTGTATAATCAAAATTATATATTAACTAATATGCCTTTTTTGCATTTTAAGTATCTATAGTTTCTATATATCTAACCACAGGTCCATCTATATCTCTATATATGTCTATATCTCTACTCACAACACATTTCCCCAGCCTGGAGTATCTTGCTCCCTGATCATCCACTTGGTAGATGTAGATGAAGTTATCTCTTGCACCAAGCGCAACCATTTGGTTGTTAGGTGAATACACAATAGTCTGGATCGGCTCCGACCTTTAATATATAAAATCTTGGTTAAGGATCATTGTTTTAATGGAGATTTACTTTTAATATTATTATAACTCAATATTATAACTACTCAGTACTTTATATCTAAGAGATATTTCAAATACAATTGTGATTTACATAATAGAAGTTACTTTGGTATGAAACTTTTCAACATTCCATGTTATACCGCTTGGGTGTAAGGTCCTTCGTTATGGTCTCTCTCTACGTAACACAATTTTATAACTAATCTCCTAGGGCCGCCTTCGAAGTACGTGCTAAATATGAATTAATGTCAGTTCTGGTACATACATTTAGATTTTTATTACGAAATAATTTAAAAATGCATGTTATGGTTCATCTGATTGCAAAAAATACCTGTTTTAAAGACACACAACATAGAACATACTAATTATTAGTCCGTACTTCGACCGCTTTAACTTTATAACTGTGTTTGATAGAAATTAATAAGATTTACTTAATTGGAACCGATATGATAGTATTTTAGTAGAACAGCGCCATTTGTTGACTAATATGGAACTACATACAAAATACTCATCAGGAGGTAAGCACACATAATCTTTGACTTATGGCCTATCCTATATCTAAGCTTCATTATTGCATAGTTTCATCAAAACCCATTGAGTAGTGGTTCTTAGTTAATCCATGTTAGCTACATATATAAGTGTTAGATATATTTGAATTTCGCGCCTTAATTAGATTTAACTCACCCTTCCTTAATTATCTGTATTGTATTCACTTAATGTTTTTTACATATATAATTTTTCTCTGTGACATAGCGACTATATTTTCTTGTAATAAACCTAACTAGTTGAAAAGAGTGTTTTATTACTAAAACTATATATGTTATCATTACCCGTCCCTGTGATCCGCTAGCAGCGCCCTCGTGTGCGGGTCGTACACCATCCACCTCCCTGAACAGCCGCCCACAGCCACCACGCCGCCGTCTGACGACCACGCGCAGCACTGGGCGCGCTCCTGAAACATACACGATACGGATATTAAGATATAGAAGGTCAAAGGTCATATGTGGTGGGCAACAAAGATAAGGTTATATGCTAAATAAACAAATAGTGAGTTGTTACTATCTGAATGTTAGACTACTGATACTTGCTTTTGCGATGTTTTTTTTTGTGAATTTCCCTCGTAAGTAATATGAACTTTCTATCCGACATTTCGCTTACTTCATAACAATGATTGTTATGAAAGAGACATTTCTTTCTAGCGTATATTTTTCAAATCATAGTTTAATCTATGTCCTGTATGTAGTCTCGTATATCACATATCTTGTATATTATGTACAATATATTATGATAGTGTACGTACATCAATGTCCTTGCTCCAAACGGTAGAGTGACTCATTCCGTCCCACAGCTGCAGCAGCCGGTCCCAGCCCGCGGACACGAACTGAGGCAGGCTGGGGTGAGTCGCCAGGCCCCACACCTCGTCCACGTGACCTACAAACACACACATACATATACAGAATACATATACATACACAGAATAAACAAGTTTACACATTAAAGTTCCCTTCACATTAAAGACATGAGGTGACAAAGGCCGACATACTTTTTGTGCTGGATTCAGATGATTAAGACTTGAAAAATGAAATACTTGTACATTTTTACATTTTTGACAATGTTTATGAAGTCAGTTTCACTTGGGTTAGATATAAAATGGTATATTTTACCAAAGTTACATACATATATTTATTAAAGTTTATTAAGAGTATCTGTAACAGCTTAGACTCTATCTGATAATAAGAAAGTCGAGTAAATTGCTATATGGCGTATTGTATATCTTTAACCTGGCAATTTCTCAGCTTTAGCCAGGGTCTGCCTTACATGTTGTGAATAGTTTTGGCTAATGGTTTTTACCACCGACCACCTGCCTGACATCAACCCTCTTTGGGAATGTATTAATCAGTGATGTCTAAATACTCTTAGAAAGTACATATAAGACATATAAGACTCAAAAAATTACAATGGTACATGCCCGGGCCAGGATCGAACCCCGGCCTTTTAACCACTAGGCCACCATTGACTAATAGTAATATGGTGTATTGTATATATAATATTTACCGAGTACAGCGGGAGTGAAGCCCAGCTGCATGTCTCCCACGAGGATACAGTTCCTGGTGGTGCCTACGAGCAGCCGGCCGCGACCCTCCGACAACACGCGCACTCCGCCGTAGTGACCCTCGATCTGGAACACATACATACATATATACATACATACATACATACATACATACATACATACATACTCGATGATACACCTCGTGGGGTCAATAGTATAACTATATATATATACGGTATTAACTGGCTATAAATAATTATGCTATCAAAGTGCTCTGTGTTGAAATATTTAAGGATGGTGGAATAAGTTTAATTTGATTACAAGTATGTTATATTATGACGGTATCAACTTCCTCACATTCGTAAAATAAGTACGAATATTATCTAAAACTAAGGTTTCCGGATTACTGAGCGTTTTTTTTTTGAAGATTTCATCCTGTCTTTCCCCAAGATATAAAATGCCAAAAAAATGCATAGTATTCGAAAAACTTAGTTCAAATGTATAAACGCAAAAATCTTAGATATCATTAAGTACCAATATTACTCGTAAATATTCCTAACATAAGGGCAATTTCCACTTCACATAGTAAAAGCCATTGTAGTATATTGTTATTATCCAATATATATTAGCAAATACTCAAAGCAAACATTTAAACATTTTAGCCTCTAAACTGTCCTTAGATGAAACAAACATAACTAGGTATACTCATTCATACTCAAACACATTCATTCCATTACACATACTTGTTATATGCATATATATATGTATTCATTGTATCATATATATATATATATTCCTTAATAAAGTCTATTAATAAAATGTATTGTCCTAGTTCATAAACAATGAATCTTTAGGAAATCTTGTAAGGCCTTCACGGCACAGGTTTGCCTAGTGTGGAGACGAATGGTTAATTATAGTTACTGTTAACGTTTTTTTAATAATAAAGATATTATTATTATTATTATATAACTCACGATAGCCTCCGTGCCGGTCGCATTCAGTTCATCATCGAAGAGTACTATCCTTCCATCCTTGCCCCCCGCAGACAGCAGCCCGCCTTCTCTCAGCGAACACACAGAGAAAACACCACCCGAATGAGCGCCACGGACTGTACGGGACGCTACTGAGGTACCACGGGACCACAAGGTCAATGAACCCGATGAGTCACCGGATATGACGTCACCTGGATAATAAGGAATGGTTATGAAGAGACGAAACGTACAGCATTCAATGGATTCTTAAAGCTTGTGTCGGGTCAATCGTTGGATCTACTGGATCTTAGTATATTATCAAGTTTCATGTCAATGACGTAACATTTTAAATCCCAGTGTAACCTGGTGACATCTTACAGATAATGATCTGCTGTCTCTGTTACACTATGACCGTCTCACTCTTATCAGGTAAATATTGACATCACAAAAACTCTTTACAAATGTTTGTTTTTTAAAGTAGGTCACATAAAAAATGAAAACTGTACTGAAAGTACCAAAAGAATATTGTATTAAAATAAGCATTGGAAAAATAGAGACGAAACGTAGTAGCATTTAGTAGCTTCATCATGCGGTTGTCGATTCCATTGTTGTAATGAGAGGAGCTTCAACAGTGTCTGGGACTTGCGACCCAGGTGAAGGTTTAAGGGTCTAAAGATCGTTAAACGCTCACCTTCACCGTCCAAGTTTCTTTCTCCTAACCAAATTTGAAAAGAACCTATGATGACTGTCTTCGAAGTACGTTCCAAGAATGAATTAATGTTAATTCTGGACAGGCACAAACCTTTTAGAGAGATTTAGCTGTCATATCTCTCCCTCCCACTTCTACCGTGTATAAAAATGAAAAATTAATAAATAACCTACTAGGGCTACCTTCGAAGTACATTCCAAAATAAAATTCATGTGTTATGTGTTAAAATTCATGTGTTAATATTATTATGTAAATCAAAGATTTGTTCGAAATATTTTTCCCTGCATATTTTGATATTAAGAATAAGAATAAAGAAATCCCGTTACACTACTAGTTCGACGTTATAAGTTGTGGTCACCTACCGTTATGGTTGAATCCAAGACACGTGACGTATTTAGGTTTGTCCCTGGTGTCGAACACTCCCATCCGTTTGTAGAGCACGTTGGACGCGTCCAGGGTCCAAAAGGCGATGTGTCCTTTACCACACGTCACGAGCTGGTTGCGATCTAGAGGGTGGAACTCGGCTGCTATCACCGTGTCCACGGAACACTGCACATAGTATAAAACACTTTAGATACATACAATTCTTTATATTTTTGAATGACAAAGTCCTAAATTAGCGTATTGATTGGTTTACCAAAGACAGCTTTAGAGAGTTTAACACAAAACTACTTTTTTGGTGTTGGACTCTATATGTAATAGATGTTTTTTAGTTATATTTACACGTCTCAATCATATGGTATTCTGATCTATTGATTGCTCAAATAACAAGGACCATCTCCCACCAACATCTTTATCCCCAATTGCTCCGATTCTCCAGAATTCTATATTCCAGTAAATCCCCTTACCTTAGTTTCAGCCAGTAATAAAGACTATCGTCTATCCCCACCACAATTTCCATACGCCCCGCCCCTTCGTTATCTTACTTTCAATGTACATCAACCTTACCTTACCTTTTCGCTGCAAAATTTCCCCAAATCGATGGTTGTCTTTCAGAAATCGCTGCTTAGCGATAAGACCGCCTTTTTGTACATTTCAATTTATTTATTTTTTTGCCACTTAAAATTTACTGTTTGTGGTGTACTATAAAGTATATTCTATTCTATTGTACCTTGGTCTCAGCCAGACATCCTCTATCCGCCCGCTGCCAGTCCCACACGGACAGCACTCTATCCGCGCCCTCATCCACGACAGCGAGTAGCGTCCCTCCATCAGCTCGTGAGAAGCTGAGGCAGCTGACCGCACGCTCCAAGCTCCCAACACCTATCACCGCTAGTGTAGCCAGGGATACGGAGTTCCATACACGGACGTGAGGCTGAGGAACGAGAAGTCACAGTCAGATGGTACTCATCAGGATTATTAAGTCAGGATTGGTCATTGTTAAGTTAATATAGCAGTTTTTGTATCAGGATTAGAGTTTAGCTGATAGATTTTGGGCCCCACAATACAGGTCTCCTAGTGTGGGGTCCAAATATAATCAAAATTTTAAAATTTGCTAAAACCATAATGCACCTCAACCAAAGGAAAACATTGTAATAGTTTAAATTAAGTTTAAAAAGATTAACTGTGTCATATGTTAATCTATTATGTAAGCATTGTGTTTTTTCAATAAAGTTTATTTTTATTATTATAGACGACCAAAGACCAGTTCGAATCCTTAAATTTTCTTGGTAATGTGTTAGAATTTAATATGAGTTTATAGTATATTGTTGTAAGTACTTTTCTATAGCTCTAATTCCATTTAAATGGGGAGATTTATTTATGACTCGTTTTGTGTGAACGAAATAGACGCTATAAGGAGACATATAAGACGTATGGTTTTGTAACGGAAATTAACATGATTGTATTAATAAACTCTTAAAATACGATTAAAATAAACAACATAATGTAATTTTGAGTGATTGAAAACTTAAAACAAAAATATGTATTCATGGGAATCCATAGGCCAAACAGTAATGTTTTCTATAAAAGGATGTAGTTAAGCCACTAGCTGGTGACTGTGACGTCATCACTCTCTTTATCTCTCACACACTCTCCGTCTCTCTCTCACCCTGGCGTCAAGTCGGTCGTGTCCCGCGCATTGCCCGCTCGCTATGATCAGCTTGTTGGGATGTATAGCGAGACTCTTAACGTCATCAGTGTGTCCCGTGTAGTGTCTCTGGCACTGCTCCTCTACATTGAACAGCACCACAACTGCTGCTACGAAGTAAACCATTTCTCCAGTCGGCAGCATGTACAGGTTACTCCTGCAATCCTTGCCTCTGGAATACGATGAATTCGAACATTATATATAGTGATTTATGGCATGGTGGCCTAGAGGTTAAAGGCCCGCCTCTCGTGCATGAGGGCTCGGGTTCAAAACCTGGATAATACCAATGTACTTCTTCCGAGTCATATGTACTTTCTAAGAGTATTTAGACAGCACTGACAGATACGGTGAAGGAAAATATCATCGTGAGGAAAACTGAACTTATAATTTGTTGCAGCTTGAGCAAGCGTGTTGATTAGTAATCAAACCTTCTCCATGTAAGAAGAGGCCTTTAATCATCAGTAGAGTCTGATAGACTGATGATGATAATGATATAGTGACAGCATTTATGCACTCATGTTTTTTAGGCAAATATGTTTGATGTTAATCTGACTTATTTTTTTATTATTTGTAACTGTTAAGTAAAAATGAAAGTTTAAGTCACAGTGTGGCGAAAAAAGAGGCATTAAAATTACACAATCGTCGCTCGCAAGCCGAGTTTCTCAATGAGTCATTACTGAACTCGTAAACTACAAAAACTCGACTTCCTCTGTTTGTGATGGATTATCTTATATCTGTAACTTATTCGTTCGTGCATAACGCCGTCCTTGACGAGATGAAGAACCAAACAAAAGAAAACTAAACAAAGAATAATTGACGATAAAACTTCTACTAAATACTATAACACAACAACATAAAATAATAGATAGAAATAATAATGAGACTGTGATTTTGTTTCAAATAGATTTCGTTATGTATTTAACCTATATAACATATATCGCTTGTATATAAAAGCTAGAATATAAGAGTAACAGTATATACAATGTATTATATTTCAAAGTTCAGTATCGATCTAGTCTGATAATAACACAAGGTCGCAGACTTCATTATTTATTTCAGAGGCGTGACCATTTAGTTACATTTTTTTAATCATATATAATATTAATTAAAAGTGATTAAATTAATTAATATTATGAAGCCGTTGGGAAATTTATTTATACAAATTGGAAATACTAACAGAATTGCCTTCGAACTACATTACAACGCCCAACTGTTATGTTTTTTTCAAACTAGTTCGTTAATTGAAAGCGTTTTTCCAATTGTCTTTATTACTAAATAGCCGTCACTTATAAGAAAATGTTCGAATCTAGTCAATTGTCCTTGATTTTTTTATGAGACTTCTGTATAAAATTTAAGTTAACCATTATCTATGTAATATTTTGTTCTGAATCAACGGAATCGATAATAATCTATCAATCGAGATTTCTTGATAAAATCATGAAGAAAAAAAAATTTAACATTTTTGACGTATTCATGGATAGTAATTGAGAATACTACTACATATTCTACTTGGGTTTACTTGTCAGAAGCTAACGATTACTAAGTAACTTAATCCTTACTAATATTATAAATGCGAAAGTAACTCTGTCTGTTACGCTTTCACGCCTAAACGACTGCACTAATTTTAATGATTTTGGTACGGAGATGGAGTTGACCTTGAGAAAGAACATAGGATAGTTTTTATCCGCAACTTTTGAAAGGTTCGTTTGGAAACGCGATATACCTAACCGAACTCCACGCGGGCGAAGCTGCGGGGGGAAAGCTAGTGATAAGATATAACAAAGAGGTCTAAGTGTGTATTGTAGGGTTTAATCTATGTCCTAACCTGTATCCATAGACCCATTCTAACTTGAGCTTGCTCTGCGGCGGCGGCGCTACCTTCGCCAGGTCCAAGTTTTCGTGGTCGCTGGGGCCGTACATCACCACCGGCCGACCCCTGATGAACATCCTCATGGACCCTTCTTCCTCATTGTACTGACAGGTGTGGGTGCTGAAACATTTTTGATGAAACTTATTTTCAAACAGTCGTTGGGTCGTGCATATTTGGAACTCAATTTGAGTTTATAAACTAATTATGATGTTGAAACAAAGAATCGCTGTGATTTGTGCATGATAAAATAACAACATTTTTTAAAATAGTTACTTAGTTGAAATACGTTTCCATTGAAATTTTTATCTATGATTATAATTATTATCAAGGACATACTGCATATATTTAGTTATGAAAACATAATATACATTAATTTCCCAAATAATTTATTTAAGGGTACTCTTTATATATAAATTACAGCAAACAGATTATTATTAATCAAACGGAAAAATATATTTTATAGAAACCCCATTATATAGCAATTACTTTGAATAGTTTTGTAAGAAAATAATCTGGAAAAATAAAAATATTATTTAATTATAGTAGAACTTATAATAAACCAAGTTAGTATAATTATAAAGGATGCAACTATTATATACAGACATTCTTAAGTCTTATTAGTAAAGGTTAAATAGCGAGTTAATTACTTAGAAGATTACCTTAGAACTAATAAATCTCTATAATATTTTTTGCTTTAATTATTTTTATAATTAAAACTATAATAAGCGTCAGCATCTAAATCTACTTACATTGAGGTGAATGACATACTGCAACTTTAAAAATACCAAAATGAAAAGCACCCACGCAGAAAGCACCCAAATTATATAAAAAATAATCTAAAATAAGAAAAAAAAGGAATAATTTAACAATTCGTTGAATACAATAGTAATAAGGATATTGCGTGAATTACCTGTCAGCCATATTTGTAATAAATGTGTTTATAAATTTGGATTTTACGATACAAAGAAACTGAATACCGGTTTTTGAATTTAACCGATTAGTATACCGGCTTCCGAGAATAACATTGGCAGACTGCGCGTGAACAACAGGTATAAGAGCGGGAACTGTCAAATGACGACAGTTCTACAGTACGCGCTAACCATTAACACTTTAATATAAAATAATTGTTTTTATATTCAACAAAACGAGCAATGGATATCATTCATAATAAAACTTTAAATCACTCAATCATACTGAATGCAATTCGTTATCTACAATAGTCACTAGCTATTTCGAGTGACTTAAGCAAATGGCGACGTTTTTATAATAATCTTTAAAGGATGAGCTCGTACTCGTATATACTGTGGTCTGTGGGCGCGGCAAGGTCAATGTCAATTGGTAACATATATGACTTTATATGTATAATGGTGGCGTCCTCCATTAACTTTAGATATACGAAATTATTTGTAGGTATATTAGTGAATTATGTGGCTGAACTGATTGCAATAATGGGACAAGGATTTCAAAATAGTTAACATCGTGCAAGCAGTGCCATTACCAAAACAAGAAAACTATATTTTATTCTCAATTTCATGGAATTTGAAAGGTGATGCGAAAAATAATGCAATGAAGTATTTCTAATGAAATAGAAATTTGTTAGTTGATATTTCCTATACGTACTTTCCTGTAGCAGATCTGATGATTCACATAATAAACTTACATTTATGATATAACTGTAGGTATTTTAATAGCAATTTATACTTTGTAGTTTTTATAAGCATGTCCTACATAATTGTGAATACGTGCTATTTATCTTCAGAGATTTCATTAAAACAAACTGCTACACGTAGAGTAAACAGTAAGGTCTTTACGCTTACCACAAGTTTGTATCGTCACACTACATACGAAGTGTTTTCGCGTGATGAAAAAGTTTTGACGCTCCGTATGTACTCGTAGTGTAACAAAAATTTAGGAGCTACTTTTTGTTATATTCATTCATTTTTGTAAAGTATTTTAAGGTACGAGAAATAGTACTAATGAAATGTCTTTTAATGAAATGTCTTTGGAACTAATGCAACGATATTTTTCCAATATAATGTGGTTATTTACTTATGTATAAACAGACAAGTTTGCATCATGTACTTATATTTTGTGACATTCTGACTCAATGTTCATCAGCTGAATATTTGAACCGTGATAAGACATAAAAAAGGTAATATCCATATAATAAATATAAAGCATGAATAAAGAAACAGTATTGGCGATACTAAAATCATAGTTTGACAGTAATTCTCAAAAGGACTCGTATCTATAGCTGTAAAAACATTTACAAAAAAAAGTTTGACAGTTGGCGTTGACACTGACAGTAAGAAAATAAACAAAAAGAGATCATCTGATCTTAAATTATTTAATAGGTCTTTAGGTTTTTATTGATACATATACCTAATTATAGTACGTAGAATGAATGCGATATTATTTTTTTTACTTTTAATTTTATGGTAAATCTTAAATTTCATATGAATGTTAAAAGATCTTTTCAATGTATTTATATTATAAATACAGCCTTATTCCAGTCTATAAATACTTGCTTGCGGTGGGCGACATACCACGGCGTTTAACGACCGCACACACAGACACTCATACTTTATTATATATATAATGTACATGACACTGTCGGTACGTGTATTACCTAATAAGTTATGCCATGTATAGAAGGGTATAATAACCTACTTATTTAATATTACAGCGAGAGGTTGAATGGGTATGGCGTTTATTTTATATCCAAATAAAATATTGCACATTTACTTATTTTAAACTGTGGTATATAATTGTTTGACTTTTTCTTTAGTGATGTATAAAATTATTAGTATTAAAATTAAAATGGCAACGAAATTGTCTTAAATTGACTTTCGCGGTAAATTTGTAATTTCCATTAATATAATCTATGTAAACAGTAAGTAATAAAAATATCTGTATTTTAAATATGAAAATATTTATACTGGATCTTAATATATTATCAAGTTTCATATCAATGACGTAATATTTTAAATCCCAGTGTAACCTGGTGATATCTTACAGATAATGATCTGCTGTCTCTGTTACACTATGACCGTCTCACTCTTATCAGGTAAATATTGACATCACAAAAACTCTTTACAAATGTTTGTTTTTTAAAGTAGGTCACATAAAAAATGAAAACTGTACTGAAAGTACCAAAAGAATTCTGTATTAAAATAAGCATTGGAAAAATATAGAGACAAAACCTCTCAGCATTCAATGGATTCACGGTACGGGTGTCGGGTCCATCGTTGTAGTGAGAGGAGCTTCAACAGTGACTGGGACTTGCGACCCAGGTGTAGGTTTAAAGGACCCCTATCTAACGCGCGTTATACGCTCACCTCCACTGTCCAAATTCCTCTCTCTACCTAACCAAATTTGAAAAGAACCTACTAGGGCTGCCTTCGAATTACGTTCCAAGAATGAATTAATATTAGTTCTGGACAGGCACAAGCCTTTTAGTAGGTTATAGAGAGGTTTAGCTGTTATACCTCTCCCTCCCAAAATGATAAATTTAAAGCATGCAATAATAATGAAATACAGTGTAAAATATTATTATATTCCGTCTAATAGTTCCATCACCAAGACCCATCACCAAGTATTACCCATCAATATATTTGACTCACCCATGTTTCAAGATAGGTCCATTTTGTGATGGCTTAGAATACAAATTTAGCAAGGACTTGGTGCTTGTAAACCTGTGCCAATACACAAATATATAAAAAATAAATAAAAAACTTAAAATTTGTTTCACATCAACAAAAAACACTTGTTGGTGTAGAAATCTCAAGTTATAGTCAAATATTGTATAAAAAATCCCTTAATATGTATTAATTCTACCATAAAGGAATTGTAGAAAATGCTTCATGTTTGTTATTTTTATTTAATTTATTAACTTTACTTAAATCTCTATATTTTTATAAGCTATTTAAAATCAATGTAACTATATTTTTATATAACCAAGTTCATATTTCTCAAATAAAATTATTAAGGTTCAAACTGGATTATTTAAAATTTCTCATAGAATATTCTATCTATATATCCAATTCCCTAACAGAGAAAAGTTGTTAAAAAAATATATATACTAGTTTTAATAACAAAAAATCAAATAAAATAACTAAAATAAATCATTAACTATATCTATCGTTGCTTGTATGATAGGTGTTTGAGCCTATAGCTGTGTTATAATGATAGGTGTCATTAAACCTGGAGGTTGGCAGCAGTCCCTGTGTGTTGAAGTCCCCGGTGCTGTTCCATCTCTTGGTGAGGCTGGTGGTAGTCGGGGTGCTGCTTGAGGAGTTATTGCGCGATCTACAATACAGCTACTACATGCGAATGATGCACTATTTGGTTTGCAGAAGACAGGAGAATACGTAGGGTTAAACTTAAGTTCTGGTTCGCGGAATAGTTCGAGTTGTCCTTCATTTTGTGTTAAGAAAAATAAAGAAGCATTCTTCATATTACATACATATTTTAAGCAATGGTCTGCAATATTTCTAGTCTGTCACGTAATTTTGTATGAATGGAAAGATAAATAACGTATGTTATTGGGATGTCGGAGAAACATTATTACAAAGTTTCGTCAAAATATGTTCAGAAGATTTTTTTATATTTGAAGGAGCAACAAAAATTCTTACAAACTTTAGCATTTGATTAGTAGAATGCTTTAGAGAATACTGTCTATTATATTTTGTGTTTGATATTTTTTTAAGGAGATATATAGTAAATATTATCTATCTTAATAGTTTTCCCCTGTCTTCGCAAGTTTCGAAACAAATTACTATGGTAAATGGTAACACAATGTATGGCAAATGAATAGAATAAAAGGGACTATATATTAGCACATTCTAAATACAAAATGCAAAAAATTTACATATCTATTCAGCGGAACAAGACGATGTAAATCTTGTGAGCATTCACTAAGAGCATTGCAAATAAGGAAATATTATTTCATGATGTCACATGATCAATATTCATAATGAACTAACTTCAATATTACTGCTAGTTTAACGTGGAATACTAAACGACCAAATGGATGCTTATTACTCTATGTTCGCAAACAATGGATGATGTTTAGTTTCTGTGTATTTTCGTGGTACAAGTCTCACCTGTAATTAAGATGTGGTGGTGCGGGGGTGGCCCGAGGGGATGGAGACGGGGCTGGTGATAGAGAAGACGAGGACGCTGGCGAGTCAGACTGGAGAGAACCAGTTGACTGATGCTGTGGACCTCGCCTGGAGAAATATACGACATTAGGAGACTTAGATGCTGTTTATCTCAATATATCATCATCATCATCATGGAAACGCTGTGATTGGTGTATTATGATTTAAACTTTGACTAAGCAAAAAGATGTGACGAGCCTATCATCGTCATCATCAGCCTATCAGAGCCCACAGCTGTACTGCCTCTTCTCACATGGAAAAGGTTTGAGCATTAATCAAAATTTGCTCAAGACGGGTTGGCGATTATATTTACTATATATTTGCAGTATATTTGTGGAAATTTAAAAGAGTAGATTACGAGATATTATTTTATAGCAGTGACGTAAAAACAGAAGCATTTATAATCTGGATACTCAAATAAGTAATCTTAAAATGTTACAATTAGTGGTGAATTGAATTAAAAATGATCTTTGATATGTTTTATTGTAATTGTTGCTATATATATTTTACCTTTCGAAATCTTTGAGATTTGAAAGTGGTTATATTGCAGTCGGTACCTCTGTGATAAAGAAGATGCATTGGACCCGTAGCTCGAAGTACGTTTTACTGATTCCCTGTACGTCGGCTGTCGGATCCTCAGTTCTCTAGTAGGAGTGCCTGTTGGTGCTGGGGATGGAAAATGAGAAAACATTTTACTAAACATTATGGATAGAATTCGTTAATCACTAATAACGATTACTCTTCACGAAGTTAGATCGTAACTCTAAGAAAAAATCTGATTTAAACAAAGCCATTTAACTTCATTTTATAAGTTAAATTTAACTTGTACGTACAGGGATAAAGAGATCTTAATGATAATGCAACTCTATCTATACCAGTCCAAATTTTAGGGGGGTAGTTTGTTTGTGATAGTAGTTAGCTTGGTAGTTAGTGATGGCCTAGTGGTTAAAAGGCCCGCCTCTTATGCAAAAGGGGACGAGTTCGATCCTGGCCCTGGCAAGTACCAATGTGATTTTTCCGAGTCATATGTACTTTCAAAGAGTATTTAGACATCACTGATTAATGCATTTCCAAAGAGGGTTGATGTCAGGCAGGAGGCCGGTCGTAAAAACAATTAGCCAAAACTGTTCACAACATACCCTGGTTAAGTCTGGGAAATTGATAGGTAGGAGAGTAGTTAGCATGGTAGTATGATCTTTTCTTACCAGTGTAAGTACCTCCATTTCTTTGTGTTGTACTGGAAGTGGTAGTAGGTGTCCTACCCTCGATCGCGTTCAGTCTTCGCAGAGCATCAGCGAGAGTGGACCTCAGACACAGCAGCTCCTCGGCTTGTCTTGAACACCTGACCTCTAGTTCAGCAACCCGCGCCGCCAGCCCAGCACCTTCACTTTCTAGCATTTCATCTGGAAAAATTAGAAGCAGTTCAATAAGTGGAGAAACGTAACATTGTTTTTATGTTTATGGTTCAGTAACATGGGAAAATATATTAAAATATTCAAATTCAGATCATCAAAGTAAAATTTAAGAATGTTTTGTATTAGAAATAAAAATAATAATTAATCAATAACAATGGACGGATTTCATTCCAAAAACTTTTTTTATACGTTTGAAATTTCTTAAATTAAACGTCTGAAATTTTCCTAAATCAGTAAGAATTAACATTATACCTTAACAAGAAATTAGGGTCAATAATCTCTTTATATCCAAAATAGTACTACTTTCGTGAGTAGTCAATAAGTGACTAAAAAGGTCCTTTCCAGTCAATGACCATGTGTTTTATGTCGTTATGATGTCAGCTGGAGAGACAGATGTCTCGTTCAAATATAGAGAGGCAATATAATATATGGCAGCACCTTGCATTTGGAATCTATAGCAGATGTTTTCATTGTTTTATTTATTACTTTTTTATCCTCTATTAAATTTTTTATTACATGAGATGTGGTTTAAAATTGCGGCAGTACCGTCTTCATTAATATGTCTTAAGTGCCAATTAATGATATTTTGTTTAGGAAATCTTCAGTTTTACGAGCTTGATGATGTGTTATTTAATACTATAGATGGAGAATTAATAAATTATTATTATTATGCGCTGTCAGAAGCAATCTAGTTATCTTCTATATATATAACAATGGATTGCTGTTCCTTAGTCTCGCTAAAACTCGAGAACAGCTGAACAGATTTATCTTATCTTAGTCTTGAAATGTTTGTGGAGGTTCAGGGAAGGTATCAAAGCTGAAAAAAATTTATTCATTACTGGGAAAACCATAGAAATAGCCCTTTTCTATTTCCCATACAAACGTTTTTTTTGACATTAGATTTGACAACTAATATGTCAATCATTCTGTCGCACTTCAAAAGACGGAGATTTATGGTTTACAGGTAAACTCCAAAAATATATATAAAAAAACGTAATTGATATTTCTTTATTATAGGGCAACACGAAGTTCGCCAGGTCTTCTAGTAGAAAATAAATAATTAAATATTTTTTTTACTAGTATTAATACATTCCCAAAGAGGATTGATGTCAGGCAGATGGTCGGTCATAAAAAAAATTAGCCAAAGCTATTCACAACATGTAAGGCAGACCCTGGCTAAAGCTGGGAAATTGCCAGGTAGAAGAAAGATTTTATCATAAGTATGTGTATTATTTAATTTTGTTCGAGTTGAAGGTTTAATTTCGTCTTTAGTCGTGACCTGTCTCTGTCTGAATCTGCGGTATTATCTCGGTTTCGCTACACAACAGTTCTTATATAAAGTATTAAAATGCTTGCGTAACACAATTCAGGTCGCCGACAATAATGTTTGTTTGAAGTTTAAACAATACAACAATTAATTATAATGTTTCATTACAGTCTAATGTCGTTGTAGCTGTTGCTTTGTCCGCGGTTTTGTTTGAGACTGTTAATAGTATATTTAATGATCATTTCTCTTTTTATATATTTATTATATAGATAAAAAAATGGCGAAAATAAACGAACGCGGTATTACAGAGAATACATTTTTAAAATTACTCGTACCGATATTTTTTTATATACTATAATAATGGTAATGGGTCATTCAACTTAAATATTATTCCTAATTTTCTTATAAAAAATATACTATAAATTCGTGTTATAAATTACAGTGTACGTGATTTAATGAGAGCTGTATTTGGTCCAATACATTGTATCTAGAAGTCATTACTTAAGACCTAAGTAGGTTACATACATCACGTGACACTCGCCTGCCGTGAAGGCTGCATGTACACTACTGATTACATTCTACGAAACTATATACATACATAGAAATAAAGCAGTATCCGAAATATACGAGGAAAAGTTGCATTAAAAACATGTATTTTTATACGTTTATAATTATTTTATTTCTTTTGTTATATAAATAGTAAGTTATGAATTATTTTCTATATTATTTATGTACTGTAAATTAAAGAATATAATTGCAAACTGCTGAGGTTTTAAGATAAATAAAGGAAAATAATTACGGAGAGATACCTTACTTTTATTCAAAGTCAATCAATGTTGGCTTATTATAAATTACACATACTTTTCATCGTATACATTCTTAACATGATCTCATGTTATATAACCAAGTCTGACCACAATAATATGACTATATTGCTTATAACGACTATCGGATATAACGTCGGCAACTACACAGTCCTTTCAATGTCGTTATAAACGGTTTTGACTGTATATATATATGTTAACTTACGCCAGGCCGTGTATACATCATTCATAGTATCTCCGGGCGAGTCACTAGCTCTGGAGCTCCGGGATTCCCCTCGACTTTCCATACTTATATTATTTTAACACTTATACGATGAACGACATAATATTACAATTATAAGTGTCTAATATTCACAGAGTTCACTCACACACTTTATAAGACTGCAAATATGATGAATATGTTATGACCGATTTTGGCAGTGTTTTGACATCAACAATAAATAGATACTTAGTTTGGCAAACTAAGCTGTTTTATCCATATTATATTGGCTGAATGCGAAATATATTCAATTAGAATATTGGCATAAACTGATTTTTTTTGTTATTTATATAAATTACTGTAAAAAATTCTTATTATTTTGTGTTATAAAGTATTTTGATAAAATCGCTAATCAAACAAGAGTTCTAAAAGAAATATCTCATTATTTTATCGTCCAATTCAGCTTCAATGATATAGGTATATACAATATTTGTGTTTATTTAGTTAAGACTTCTCAAAATCATTGGAATCCAAATCATGCGTGCTGCAAGACATTCCGCGTGCAAGAGTATGTATGTTTTAAAAACAAATCTCACGGAATTTGAGTTAACGGTACCGAGGAGAGTTGTTTAGTGAATCTTCGCATCATGAATGTTAAAACGAACTTTTAACAGTATTCTGACCTGACTGACATTCCGAGACTCGTTTTGATTTCAAACTCAACAAAATATGGGATATAACATTTATTATCGAAATTTACGGTCGGATTTTATATGAACTTTGACTTAGGTTTACTCTAGAGCTGTTCTGATGTGTAGGAATTAAGTTTCTGTAAATTCATTTAGGTATTAATACGGCATACGAAAAATTCTTTGTTCCGTATAATGAGGAAGGCATTTATATTAAAATACAAGGAATATTATCTTCAATGATTAAAAGATTTTTATATACGCTTATAAAACGAAACATTGGAGGAAGAATTATATATACATTAAAAAAAAACCCAACCGATTACTATTTGTTACTATTGATACAAAATAAAATAATCTGATATACAATTTTAAAAATACCTAAATTTAATTATAAGGAAAAAACATTTAAATATACAAACAATATATTAATCCTTTAAAAATTAAAGTGTTACTAGTTTAGAAAAATAATCATATAAGCTTTTCTGTTTAAAAAACTTATACATCAATCATAACTCTGATCTGTTTAAGTCGGTCAATTAAAAATATTTAATTTTACAAGCTTACTAGGACATGTTCTGTAATAGCCAATTGTGACATAACCACACACATACAGTTGTGTATAAATAATGTTTCAGTGTTGCTATATCAAAATAAATGTCAATCTCGTACTAATTAAATGTCATTCCAATTACATGGTAACACATAAAAATTACGTAATCTTTGTTAAATAATATATATTAGCTATGTCAGGAAGCAAACAAATTTATTGATTAATAACTAATATTGTGAGATGTGTCGTTAACAAAGCTCAGTAAGAAAATAACAAAAGTTTAGTAATAATTAACTATTATAACAAAGGATTACGAAAATTAATATTGCTGAAGAAAATGGTTTCCTAACTAGGACGAATCTAGACCGTTTATAATTAGTATAACAATACTATAACGTGTGAAAGAGTTACTTTCGAAAATTAAAATATTCATAAGAAAAAGTCAACATGTATATTAATTCAATTATTTTTAATGACTTTGATTTTGTTAAGCAGTTATTTGAAATTATTTTAATTCGATGTTCTAAATATAGCTGTAGCATTAATATTATTAATTTGAAAGTACGAGAGATTGTATGGATGTTGGACATCAGGGAAGAATGAGGAAATCTTTGTTTTATACAGTAAGTAGAAGAAAACGTAGGCAATGTTAACAGATATTTGATTCCTAAGTAAGAGAGGTTCTCAGGCGAAACTTAAGAAAAAATAGTATAGAGTCATATTAAATATAATAAGAGCATGCAAACGCAATCAAACTACAAAGTAATTTCTATCACACCAAGCATTTTTTATTCGGACATGACTATAAGGTCACGCCATCTCTACTTATCGCGTATAGTTAGAGTAAAACAAAAGATAATAACATTTCTCACGCTGAGAAAGTTAAAGTTCATGGGAAGGCGGAGAAAATGAAGTCATTTGAAGCATACTGAGTTACGTACCGAGACTTATGTAAAGGTTATTGAAGAGATTATGGCGAAGAGGAGGAAATGAAGTATGGTCATTTGATCACAATAAAAACTCTCACGGGAAGATGAAATGGGCAAATGTAAAAAAACTGTGTTGTTCACCAATGAATATTAAATATTATTGTTTACGTCATTCTACTCATAGTTATGCTGCGCACGCGCACACCTGTCTGTCACATGCATAAACCAAAATGCTACATATTTGGTTAGAAATTCGTTGTTATAAGTATTGTTCTGTGAGCGAAGACACTTCAGGTTGCGCCTGGAATTTTGATCGACTCTGCAGGTGAAAAGCGAAAGTAATATTTTGTTATAATGACGTAGTTAATGAAAGCGGTCTATAGAAACGGTATGAGAACAATTATGTGTTAATTGACGATTGATCTTTTATATTTTTAATTAATGAGGAGAATTCTTAAAGTGATGAAATTAATTATGAGATAGGGGAGAGTCGGTTATATCGTACCACTTTTCACTTTAACTGAAATATTTCGACTATAACACGTCTTATAATAATTAATACATATGTGAAATAAAGTTTCATATTTTAGCTTCCTAAGAAGAAGAGAACAGATCCTTGCGATTATTCTAACATTGTTAAAAATGCTTTTTTATAGAGGCTTTCCATCGGTACGATTTAGCCGACTCGTCGTTTTAATCGTACCACTAAGACTTTAAATCGTACCATGGGTGTTTAAGTCGTACCACTGAATGAAAGACATTAAAATTCTCAATGAAATTATTTATTTTTGACTGTTAGGTAAGTAATAAAACAATATTATTTATATCTTTTAGGTAATAGAAACATAATTTTTAACTCTTACGTTATATAAAGGAATTATAAGCTTTCTCAGTAAAATAACATGATTATACTATGATAATGAGATCAATCAACATAACTAATAAACATGAGACAAATAAAAAAACAGTAAACTATAATAATAAAGTAACAGTTAACAAGAATGTTATTTGTAATAAAATTATTGAGCATATTTCTTAATGGAAACAATCATGACAAATGTCTGGATTCGAAGTACACGTCTCATGTAGCCACCGTTTACAGCGAACGCATTGAATCGAATCAACTTTTGGACCCTTCTTATCCTAGTAAGAACAATTTCGACATATATTTTCAAGATAATCATCGCTGTCATCATCATCATCTAGTTCTACAACAAGCGTCTCTCCTGAATCATCGCTACTGGTGATGGAATGAGATCGTTTCCTCTTATAACTTTTGTTTTTGGCCTTGGGTAGTACTTACTATACGTACTTGCGGTAGTACTATAGGTACTTGCGGTTGGTAGTCGGGTAAATCGTACCAGTACAATTTAACCAACTGCAAGTGGTACGATTAAACCAACTAAGGCATTTCTAAAACAAAAGCAAATATCCGGCATAAACTCAAAACTTAGACACGCAACAAAAACCCCCAATAATCTAGTATACAATTGTGGAATAATAAAAAAAAACTGAATAACTATAACTTACCTTGATTACGAGTTATCTCCTTACGAATGTACGACAATATTTATATTAATTCCTACAAAAAATGATTTTTTTTATTACGTGCACAGTTGTTAACTCACGTCGATTTAAACTAGTGGGTGAAGAGGGATGATGCAGAGCCACGATTTGGCTTTGTCAGTGTGGAAAAAAATATTCATTAAATGGGAAATTTAGAAGTGGTACGATTTAAATGCTAGTACGATATAACAAACTCTCCCCTATGAAGCATAGAGGAATAACTATAGTCTTGTGCTTACGTCTTGTTTGTGTTCTTTGGACTACAATATTTTTTAAATCGAGTTTTACCTTCCAAAGTTTTATTTGAGTTCTATACTGTAATATTTTTTCCGAACACTAAGTAACTTTTTCTATTAAAATAAGTAACTTTTCAGCGTCTAGAATTTTTTTAACTCTAGTGATAAAACATTATTCTTTTCATTCATAATGATTATAAAACTTATGAATAAGTATTTTTAGGTTAAATAATTATTATTTAATAAGAAATAAACTCAAGCTTACATAAATACGTCCATATGAAGTAAACGTTGTGAAAAACCAGATAATGTTTGTCTGAAAGCTGTCAATTGCGACAGGTCTGACCAGATTTGAGGAACAACACGCAAACAACACAATGTACATTATAATGTACGCGGACAATATGACCGGTGATGTCACTCCGTATGTACTAGATCTAGCTGACGTGCTTTATGTGCATTTGTTATACATATAATATAAACAAGAACAAATATATATGTGTTAATAGTTTGGAAAGATATAAGTAAAGTTTTTCTCGTCTGTTTTTTGAGAATAAAGTTATTAGAATAATGTGAGTTAATACTTTTGCGAGTATTACCACTAGAAACGTCGGTAGTATGTAGTTTTAAAACTAATATAACGCGTAGTAATTCGATAATACATATTATTTTAAGAATAACATAATTTTTGTCATATATAAATATTTAAAGCACACGACTTAGTTGTTAAAACGAAAAAAAACTAATCAAAAATTAAAATATTTTCATAATTGTCGCGACAAATAGTAAAGAATAGACCTATTATAACACGTATTAGAAGATATATGTTTGATTTTTTTAAGAATTAACGGATTTCCCAAAAATACTACAACAGTAACTAACAAAACAAGTGTAAATCACGTAACAACTTGTCATATACACTTGACAGTATTAAATATGAACCGGTTTAAGAGGATCCATTGGTTATTTTTCACTTACAGCATTTAATACGAGTGAAACAAAAATCAAGTTTTTATGTTACAGTTTCTGGGCTTGGCTCTGAATGATTGTGACAAAACAATGGAGACAGTTCACGACGATGAAAAATAACTAGAGACCTGTCGTATAATATATAA